GATCGATTCTCCATCAATCATAATCAAAATCTGGAAACAAAATATTTTTTAGATTTTTTGTCAAATTTTCTGGATGACACCCTTCAAAAAAGGCCGAAATGCATGGAAGGACAACATGGACCACAGCGAAGGCTATATCTTTGCCATAAGTCGTCTGATTCTGGAAAGGAATATCTTAAACGATTTGTAGATTGATTCTCCATCAACCTGCATCAAAATCTGGAAACAAAATATTCAAAAAATCAAAAATCACCCTTCAAAAATGGCCGAAATGCATGGAAGGACAACGTGGCCCACAGCGAAGCCCATACATTTGCCAAAAGTCGTCTGATTCTGGAGAGGAATGTCTTAAACGATTTGTAGATTGATTCTCCATCAATCTGCATCAAAATCTGGAAACAAATTATTTTTCATATTTTTAGTCAATTTTTCTTGGGGACACCCTTCAAAAATGGCCGAAATGCATGGAAGGACAACATGGCCCACTGCGAAGCCCATAACTTTGCCAAAAGTCGTCTGATTCTGGAGAGGAATGTCTTAAACGATTTGTAGATCGATTCTCCATCAATCTGCATCAAAATCTGGAAACAAAATATTTTTTAGATTTTTTGTCAAATTTTCTGGATGACACCCTTCAAAAAAGGCCGAAATGCATGGAAGGACAACATGGACCACAGCGAAGGCTATATCTTTGCCAAAAGTCGTCTGATTCTGGGAAGGAATGTCTTAAACGATTTGTAGATTGATTCTCCATCAATCTGCATCAAAATCTCGAAACAAAATATTTTTTAGATTTTTTGTCAAATTTTCTGGGGGACACCCTTCAAAAATGGCCGAAATGCATGGAAGGACAACATGGCCCACAGCGAAGCCCATAACTTTGCCAAAAGTCGTCTGATTCTGGAGAGGAATGTCTTAAACGATTTGTAGATTGATTCTCCATCAATCTGCATCAAAATCTGGAAACAAAATATTTTTTAGATTTTTTGTTAAATTTTCTTGGGGACACCCTTCAAAAATGGCCGAAATGCATGGAAGGACAACATGGCCCACAGCGAAACCCATACCTTTGCCAAAAGTCGTCTGATTCTGGAGAGGAATGTCTTAAACGATTTGTAGATTGATTCCCTATCAATCTGCATCAAAATCTGGAAACAAATTATTTTTCATATTTTTTGTCAAATTTTTTTGGGGACACCCTTCAAAAATGGCCGAAATGCATGGAAGGACAACATGGCCCACAGCGAAGGCTATATCTTTGCCAAAAGTCATCTGATTCTGGAAAGGAATGTCTTAAACGATTTGTAGATCGATTCATTATCAATCTTCATTATCTGGGAACAAACTGTTACATATTAGATTTTTGGCCAAATTTTCTTCAAGATATATGTGTTACTATTTCTTAGGCATTAAATTGGAGATTTTTAAAACGGCCAATCGAAGAAACATGCTAAAATTAGCAGGGGGCTCCTAAAATTTTCCGGCCTCCTGCCATCTGTCTATTTAGCTCCAGTGCGCCACGTGTAGTCCTTTAGCTGTCGAAGACCCCGACCTTATCGGAGCTGTTGCTGATGTTGTTATCGCCCTTGTAAGTGGCTGTCGTTGTCATCTGCCAGGGGCAAAGTAACAAAAATACGAATAAAAAAATGAAACAGAAATTCTCCATTGGACCCCAACTCCGGAGACATCAATTCCTTCCACTCATATTTCTGCGATTTGTTATTGAAATTGTTATTGTTGTCGAGTGTGCGTGACAGTGGCAACAACAACACTGTTCGAAAAAAAATAACAACGAGTTGCGTTGGCTTATTTTATAATCACAGCAATTTTCGAGCCTTTGCTCAATGATTTTTTTCATCTCTCATATTTGCATTTTATTATCGCGGGCCCTTTATATTGACACAAATCATTTAGGTGGAATTTGCGTTCGTTCCAGGACTCGCAGGTCCTTGCCTGTGTGTCTGGGTGTAAGATAGCTTTATGTCTGGGTGTGTCAGGTATCTGATATTTTATTTTTGATTGGTACAGGATTTATGTTGATGTTTATTTGGTTTGCTTATTTGCCAAATATTATGAATGGCTTTTCGGTAAATTCAAGAAATTGGATTTAAAATTTTGGAAATAGAAACAATCACTTTATTGGTTCTTATTTATTTAAAAACGCTTAAAATTGAATCGATTTTAAAGCAATTAAAACCAATGACCTAGATTCGAACTAACGATGAATTCATTTCCCCTTTTTGATCTACAAATCCACTTAACGCATTCAGTTAGGCAAACAAACAATAAACCCAACCCCAAAAACCCCTTTGGCCAGTCATTTCCCTTCCATTAAGTTCATTTGCTGGGCAAACAGTTTTGAGGAGAGTTTCTGTCTAATTGATGGAGGGATGCTGTGCCACAAAATAGAACGTGAGGAGTGAAACTAAAATTGAAATCGATGCTCTGGCAACAGAAACCAAAGCAGGAAAGCACAACAAAAGCACACATACAGTGGCCCCATTCATAAATCATATTTTCAACCGATTTTTTTCGCATTTTCTGCTCCGGTTCTGGTCCACCAGCAGTGGTAGGAATTGTTTGCTTTAGTTCGGCAACGCGGAAAAATGTACAAATATTTGTGGGGGGGTCCCTGCTGGTTTTGAGGTTTCTACTAACACAAAAGGCTTATGTTGTCATGGGCAAGGGGGCGTGGCCACCCACACGCAACCACACACATGACTATATACATATCTCTAACAATGTATGCAGAGTATTTTGTTTGAAAAAAAAATGTAGCCGGACTTGGTTTTGCCATTCACTCTATTTGGCAAACAACCGAATCATTAGCTGGACAATGTATTTTGCTAAAGTGATTTCCCTTCCAGCTTCCCCTCCTTTTTGGCCTGGCTTATATCCACTTAAACTTGCAACAAATTAAATAAGTTTCAACTCATTTACCAAGTCATTTTCCTGCCCAACTTTGCTCGTCATCAGCCTTCACAGCTATTTGTGTTTCAGTTTAGTTTTATGAGGGGTCTCCTCAGGACCTCCCCATACTTCGCATCTTCCGCCCCTTTTAGTGCCCTTTGACCCCTCTCTCCACTATGCATGCAAAACGAAATCTACACAAAAGAAATCAGCTAAAAATTTATTTACCCTGACTTTGCCAGTGGAACAGGAAAGTTTTGCGCTTTTGTTTGAAATTTGTTTCGCATTTGTAAGTTGAAATGTTTTCCGTAAGAAAAACGGCAGCCAGAGCATCAGTCCCTCCCAAAAAAAAAGACAAGAACTCAAATAAATGCTTTGTCCTGGCCAGGACTTCAGAGCCTTTGATAAACTGTCAAAAAATATATAAGAAACATATGAAGTCATCTAATCAATTATATTCAAAGCTTCATTATTTTAAAGATTTTTAAAATTATATTTTTATTTAAATTAACATTTTATGTTTCATAAGTTTTACTCTTGGAATGTAGTTTTTTTTTAAGTGTAGCCCTAAAGAAGAAAAAGAAAGTTTGGGCCCAGGGATTGGGAAGCCACTACCAAGAAAGGAAGGGGCACAATCTCAGGTTCCGTTTTTCCTGCGCCGCAACTTTCCTGGAAAAATGTTTCTCCACTTTTCCGTTTGGGCCTGGTCAGTTGGGCCCGGCTTTTATTCAATTTAACTTGCGCCCTCCGATTTCATTCGGGCTTTCGGCTTTCAGCTTAAACAAATTTGCCTCAATGCGCTTTGTACCGTTTTAAAGGTTCGTCTACCGTCTGCTGCCCAAATTGATCTTATTGACACTTTACTTACGGCCCAAATGGCTTGGGACGGGATTGGGACGGGCCTGGACCTTGGCCGGTTCCCAGCCAAAACCCAATGACCGTGTCATTTGTAACATTTTCGTTTCGGTACTGGGCCGAGAGGCAACATTATTGCAATTTGAGTGCTTGATGGGGGCCGAAATGAGGGGGTTGGAAAATGTTGACTGGCCATAAACAAAACCTTATGGGCTTTCCTCAGGGTTGGGGCGATAAATGGGTCCACCCAGCATGAAACAGATACTTTTCCATTAAATCTTTTGACTGGAAGTTAAATGGGCTAAGAAAATTTAATAAAATCGGAGAATGTCTTCACAAGATAAGAAGAGGCATGAGCCATATTGACCTTTTTAAACCATTTATTTATTAAAGTTGGCCTAAAACTCATATTTCGCTCCTTATTTCAATCGATCCATCTTGGGCATCAGCACATCTAATCTTCCCTCCAGTTGTTCGTTAAGGAATTCCTTTTCCCTGCAGCAATACGTATTCATGTTCGACCAGATTTTGGACACAAATCCCGCGCCAAAATCTCAGGCCACTGGGCAACAACACTGGGTAAACACAAGTATCAGTCACTCAATGTGGACTACAATGCCACCAAACAAACAAACTCATTTCCACACAAGTGCACAGCAGAAAATATTTGCACAGGACCAAGTTCAATCTATATTTATTCTGGCAATATGAATAATAATTATATTAAACAATGATGTTTATTGTGGGCTTTAAACTGGATTGATTAAATTGAAGGACCACCTCTTGGTATACAATTTTTAAAACAGCTCCTGAACTCATTTCTCCGTGTACAGTAGCAATTGTATTTTTATGGGAAACGGTCTGGGGAGCTGTGCTGAGTTATGACGTCCAACAGCTGTGCAAAACGATGGCTACAACATCGGGACTAGCTGCTCATATATAGCCCTGATGGGGTAGAATATGTTGCATAAGCCTCCCCGAGGGGAATGCCAGGGTCAGGGAGCAGAAGCGGGACAGGCAATATCATTTGCTGGGGCAAAAATATGGGCAAAAAACGAAGAAGTAGGTATTAAATAAAAATGGCCAAACGACAGTTGGGGTTGCATTGTTGCCCGGCCATCGTAAATCGTATGTATACATTGGTGGAAAATATTGCAGCCACTTAATACAGTCATAAGTCGGGCAGCTAGCACGAAAAAAGCCAACGTTTTAACATTCGCCCTCATTCTTTGCAGGCTACTTCCCCCTGGGCTCCGAACATTGCCTCACCTGGATCTGCCTGGATGTCCTTTTTTGCACCGCCAGCATCATGCACCTGTGCACCATCTCCGTGGACCGTTATTTATCGCTTCGCTACCCGATGAGATTTGGCCGGAATAAGACCCGTCGCCGGGTGACTCTTAAAATTGTTTTCGTGTGGCTTCTCAGCATTGCCATGAGCCTGCCATTGAGCTTGATGTATTCCAAGGTAGGTTTTATTCTCTAAAAATAATCTAAAAATATCTTTTTTTGTAGCAAATATTAGTATAAATGGCCTAATATATTTTAAAACCTTAAATTTAACAAATTTTATAACTAAACTAAAAAACCTTTTATATTCCAAAGTTGCTTTAACTTTTATAGCACACTTTTTAGGGCTGCCAATTTATTATCACAATTTATCACATTTATACGCACTGTTATACACTCTCAGTGTGTTTTTTTCGATGTTTACCTACAAAAAGATAAAAATGTGAATGTGGGTTTAAAATGTAAAAACAGTACTGACATTTTATATTTAACACTAAAACATTTTCTTTAAAAAAATAATAATAAAGTAGAAAAATATGATGTGATAGCAACCAATATCCAAGTTCTAGAATAAGAATTTCAAAATTACCTAAATTCATTTAAGTGATTGATAGATTTGGCCAACATTGTCTTAACTGTTGGTTAAATGAACTCATTTGTTATCTGCTGTTTGATTCCAGAATCACGCCTCGGTGCTAGTGAATGGAACTTGCCAGATACCGGATCCGGTCTACAAGCTGGTCGGCTCCATTGTGTGCTTCTACATTCCGCTGGGCGTAATGCTGCTGACATATTGCCTAACCGTCCGCCTCCTAGCCCGACAGCGCCAGAACCTGGGCGGAGGCCAGCAGACGGCCGCTGCCACTCCCGGATGGGCCAGTGGGTGGCTGGGACAGACTCCGGCTTTGGGTAAGAACTTTAATGTTTTTTTTCATTATCTCTGTTTTTTTTTGGCCTAAGAGATGCCTGGCCAGAAAATCTGCAGTACTGCAGAAGCTTAATATGATTTTCAGTTTGCCGAAAATTTGCATTTCGTTCTCGGTTGCACTTTTTGCGCTAGTACTCAGAAACTTTACATGGCACTCGAAATGAGGCAGGGCGAGAGCAGGGCACAAGGGGATCCAAAGTGTTGAAAGAGGCGTGGGACGACATAGGCAAACAATGCAGGGACATATGTCGGATAGCATGCCCCACCCAACACCCCCAATACGTAACCATGTCCCTAGGAATGGCAAAGTGCCCAAAGTACGACTAAGCCGCAGCAATGCACACAAAATCGACATTGTACTGGGAGAGTCGGGGTAAACACGCCCAACCACCCGCCAGATATCCAGTCTACATGTATAGATAGCTAATTTTCACGTTACCAGAGTTGAAAACTACCAAAGTAAATGGCTTATAATGCTGGGAGAGCTCTTCCGCAAAGCTCAGCTATTTTTATGACAATGTAGTTTGGGTATCGAACTTTAGATAGATTCACCTTTAAAGTTGTATATAGTACCCTCTTTTTTCTTCCTTTACTTCATTGATTCTGCAATTTTCATAAGCCTACTGAATAAATTCGTCAAGATTGAGTTTTTTTTAAGCGCTCCTAAGTGTTTTCTAATGCTTGAAATTTATTCAGTACTGTTCCCGATTTTCAGACAATTGGTTGCTTTTCAGCCAAAGGGGCGAATAGTAATTTTATTTCTGGCTTGAGCTCAGAATGCGAAAAGTCAATAAGACTAGGAATATTTAATGGACTTTTGACTGCAGTTCGAATCGCATTTGGGGAACAGAAACAGGTCGAGCATTTAGGGGCGCAGTGCGGTGTTCCCGATTCGCTTCACTGAATAAAATGCCACAGCTGTTGGTATATACATATGTGTGTGAGTGAGTGCCAGGATGTGTCTATCAGTGTGGGTGTATCAGCGAGAGTGTAATAGTGAAGCGGCTTTGGGCAGTTATTTCAAGCTAAATCCCTGTTGTAAAGCGTCCGCATTTGGGCTAGGCACGTAGTTGGATTTGGCAGATTGTTCCTTTCAGCGAGATCACTGTAACAATTTATGAGTTATTTTATAATACATTGTTGGGAAATTATTTTTCGAGGCAAGAAAACTTGTTGAAGGTACTCCTTCGCGTATGTTTAACACTTTTTAAAAATCTAAAAAAAATGAAAAGATTGAAGCCTTTCATTCTAGTTGCCATATCTTAATATTACTATTGAACATTAAAATGTATTTATATTTTGACTACAATTTTCCTAAGTGTATGTGTGCTCGTGCGAGTTTATTAGCGCATTTGTGACTTTTCGTAGCGTCCATTTGGGCTAGATGCCATTTTATAGAAGCTGCACATCTACTTACCCTCGATTTTCGTGTTTCCCTGCCTCCTTTTAGAACGTCGATGCACCTGGCGCCGCTTGCTGAAACCTGGTCCGGGCCACGCCTCTTCCGTGCTGCACGCCCACTCGGCCAACTCCACGGACACCGATCTGAGCACCTTGGACAATCACGAGCTTTGGTTACCAGACTCCAGGTGAGCAAATGGCGAAATTAAAACGCAACTCCAATCAAAGTATTATATAATATTTATGGCCTGCAGCATCAAGGAGCCAACGCCGACGACAATGACGGCATTGCATCAGTTTGGAGCCGAGATGCTGAAGCTCTCCCGCGGTCTTGAATCAGTGGCCTCCTCCTCCACCACCGGCTCGCCCACCAAATCAGAATTCTCCATCTCGAAGCACCTGCAGTTCCCCTGCAGTCCGCAACGGTATGCTACCCATCTGCAGCAGCAACAAGGACATCATTCGCATCACCTGCAAAATCCTCAGCAGCAGCAGGGCGCCTACCACCAGCAGACCTCACCCAAAGGTCGCCAGGGAACCGCAACTGCCGGGCTGGGATTGTCCACCACCACGCTGGGCATCGAACGGGAGAGCACTCGGAACTCCTTGGCGAGCAGCCGGATGGGCGGCGAGCAGAGTGACGGGTAAGTGCCTAAATTGCCTAGAAGGGGGTCCATTATGGATCTAACCACAAATAAGACTAATAAACACAGGAAAATTAAGTCGAAATTTCTATAATACATTCTTGCCTTAGAAAGGGAATAAGTTTAAATATGCATAATAAATATTATTTTTACTAGAAACTTATTTATTAATTATAATTCCTTATTATTCAACACAAAGTCAGAGCTTAATAAAGATTCATTTAATCCTTTTTTCTCTGAAAGTCCCAAGGTTTAATTTAATTGCTTACCATTTAACAAACAGAACTTTTATTATAGGAAACAATATTATTACAAATAATTAAATTTCGTCAAAAGTTGAGAGTTTGTGGCAAGTTGAAAGGATGTTCATCCATGCCTTGGCAGAAGCGTAGACCATTCCGTTTGTACAAAGAAATCCTGAGAAGTACTTTTGAAAATGTAAAGTTTCCTTTAGCTCCTTACCTGAACCTAAACCTGACAAAAGGACAAACAGCTGCGGCCGTCAAACCATTTTGTCAGAATGATCCTTTCTAGTCACTTGCCGGTCCTTTTGTTGCCATTTCTGGGTCTTACTCGGGTCGGGTGTTTGGTAGCAATTCCGGCCAAAATTCGCTGACCACATTGAAAGACCAGTTCAGGCACCAACTGCTCACCTCGAGTGCTCTTTGTGACTCGTTTATTTTCACTTTTCCGTTTATTTTTTCCCATTTTTTCTTTGGGGAGTGAGCTCCTTTTTGCGGCATTGCCTTTTATTGTCCTTCCGCTTTCGACTTGTGAAATTTTTCGTAATAATTAATTTTTTTGTACGTTTTCGTTTTCCTTTGGTCGGTGCAAATGGTATTCGATGGAGCCACACCCCCACATACACCCCCTATCCTAAATACACGCCCACCTTTTTTCCCGGAGCATTCCACCCGCTCAAGTGATTTCGGCGTCAGTCCCAACGAGGCCTTTTGCTTAAATGTGTTTTTCATTAATTTTCTAATTTCGGACGACTGGCTTATGTCGGGATAAGAGATGCGTCGAAAAATTCAATTAAAAAATTGAAATCATAGGCGGCAAGCAATTTTTATTTTTTCCTAAAAATATATTAAGAATTTGAAGCACCGACTGGGTGGCATATGATAGATAATGGGAGAGTTCACTGTCGGTCACGTGGAAATAATGTTTAAGGATAGAATCAATCATAACTAAAGACTTAAAACAATACTCACTTTATTATATATAAGCTTTATGCTATATAATCCTTTAACTTTAAAAGGCCGAACTTAATCAAATTATAATTTGTTAAATTCCCAATTTCATTTTCGAGCTTTAAGCCCCCATAAATTGTAGCTGAGCTGCAGGGAAATTTTATCTTTCGTCCATCCCCTCCTGCCAGCATATCCTTTTATATCATATATCATTCTGACTGTGCGCTTTTCATCGGAAATCGCTATCGGGTGGGCATTGTGCCTTCATATCTGCCACATTGTTTGACAGTTCAGCGAATTTGCACAATCAATTAAATGGATTTCGGCTTTGGCGTTCTCCGTTTTTTGTCTGCCCTGAATGCAAAATGGCAATTCAAGACTGGAACGAGGTCAAAGTCGCTCTGAAAGCCAAACCGAATCCCAAAAACGAAGGCAAAAACCAGGAGAAAGTTCTATGGAGTGGCTTTTAATTGTTTGACAATTTGTCGTCTCATGCATTTCTGGGCTCGGGCCCAGGAAAGTTAACAAATGATGTTGGCATCGGTTGTATATTCTAATTTTGGGATTTGTGGCCCAACGGAACGGAACTGACTTTGGCGGGGCTGGGGTGAGGGCAAATCTTGAGTGGGGCAACTTCGAAGGATTCCAATTCGCCAGGGATGCCGCCAGCGATGTCTTGATGAGCTTGGCAGCTGTTTAATTCCTTTGTGGCTGAAACAATAACAAACTTGGCGTCATCTCGGCATTGTTTCACTTGCATAATGAGAAGTTGAGTACATACACATGCCATAAGCCCCCCTCTGCCACTTTCCTCGTCTCAATTTATGCGCACGTCTCGTGCAAACAAATCAAAAACACCAAGGATGCATAATGAGCTGACATCTTTATCCATCGTCCTGGGCTTCTCTGCACTTCGCCCAGCGCCTAACGCCTTCATTAGCAGCTAACCAAGCTCCTGTTCCTCCTCGCCATCGTCTTGGCCAAATATAAAGTTGGCTCGCATTTGCATGCAAAGCAAAATGGCGGCACGAGAGCAAGAGGAACCGCAAAGGCAGCCCTGAAATTTATGCGCTTTATTAAAATGAATGCAAAATGAGCTGGAGGGGCAAACTGACTGCCACCAAAGGCAGAAGCCCTGCCACCAGCGTGGTGTAGAGCCCTCAAGAAAAAAATAAACATTCCACCACAATACACGGCGGAAAACCACAAAGCGCACGAATAAACACAAACACGGAAAACACGAAAAAAGGTTGCCTACTCTTCGGGGCAGGATAATGAAACGAACACTGACCACTGCCGGTGCCGGTGCCGGTGCTGAAATGCTGTTAGCAAGTGTTGACTGCATTGTTTTTGGCGCTCCATTGGCGGAATAGAGTTTTGCCAATTGGCTGCGCAATTTTAATTAAAAATGTACAACGCCAATAGGACGAGAAAATTCACGAGAATAAATTCAAACACGGCATAGAGATAGGTTTCAAATCAATAAATTGGTGAGCCATAACTTGGACGCTGTGTTTCTAATAAAAAATAAATTAAATGTTTAAAGCTTATAGCTCATCAACTGTTAATGGTCCTTTTCTTAAAATGTATTTAGACCAATTATTTTGAAGAGGCCGGATCAATTTAATCCGATTGGAACTCGCATTAACACTCTTAATACTTTTAATTAACTGTTCAAGTCCTTGCCCAGAAAAATACTTATTATTTATCTCACCTTTAAACTATTTTACTTTCAGGACTCTGTCGCAGCTTTCCCAGCGACTACGAGCTTACAAGAAACGCAGGAGGGCATCGTCGGCGGTTCCAGGACGCGACCGTCGCTCTGGTCACGAGGATGCCGACGAAGATCGGGATACACCCACATCCACACTGCGGCGCCACAAGCGTCACAACAGTCTGCCCAAAAACGCCCTCTATCCGCGTCAGAATAACACCGTGCCGGAAGACCTCCGAAACGGCAAAGATGACGTTGAGGTTGAGGACGATGGAGGTGTTAGTACAGAGGAACCACGACGGCGTAAATCTACAACTATTGCCAAAGGCTGTCACTCGGACACCGAGCTGGATCCACCGCAAAACCAAAAACAGTGTCACATCAACGGCCAGAATCACCAGACGGACTACCTGCAACTACCCTCCGTGTGCACCTGCCCTTATTTCGGGGACAGACCGCTCCAGAATTGCGTTAAGACCGCCGAAGTGAAGATAATTTCATCTGCTTTCAGGGTGACCACCACAGTGACCACCACCGCCACGGCGGTGAGCAGTTCGCCAAGCGAAATGGAGCTGCTCCTATGCTCCAGTACAGGGCAAAAGAAGCCACTGACCTCCAGTGTGAGTGCAGGTGGAGGTGGAGGTCCCGGGCCTGGAGTACCCGCAACTACTGTAAGCTCCACCCTGAGTCCCCACTCTGCGCATCATCAAGGCAGCTCCCTAACGGTCCAGAGCGATGGCAGTGGCTACCTGGCGGCGCCGGGAACTCCCTGCCCCGGACGACGGAAGCTAAGCATCTCCAAGACGGCGTCGGTGGTCACTTGGGATGCCAGTCGCCATCGGAGGCGTGGCAGCAGCTTCGGGGGCGTGCGGACCTCCCTGCTCCTGACGCCCACCAAGACAGCCACGACCTCCTCCACCTCCTCCACGCCGCTGCGAAGATCGGCCACTCTGCGGAGTCACCAGAACATGAACTACCAACAATCAGGGGGAGGCGGGGAGTGTGGTGGCAAGAACAGGACAGCCGCATCATCGCCATGCATGTTGCAACGCCAGCAGACAGTGCGCTCCCATCACTCCCGCAACTCGAGTGTGATTTCCAGAAATTCTTCGCGACACGGCAGGATCATCAGGCTGGAGCAGAAGGCCACCAAGGTGCTCGGTGTGGTCTTTTTCACGTTTGTGATTTTATGGTCGCCCTTCTTCGTCCTGAATCTCCTGCCCACAGTCTGTGCGGAGTGCGAGGAGCGGATCAGCCACTGGGTCTTCGATGTGGTCACCTGGCTGGGCTACGCCAGTTCTATGGTGAACCCCATCTTCTACACGATCTTCAACAAGGTGTTCCGGCAGGCCTTCAAGAAGGTCCTACTGTGCCGCTATTCCAGCACGAGTGCCTGGCGTCCGAGCAGATAGCAGACACCGGTGAAGCCCGGCAAGCTGAAGTCGAATCCACACAAATGCCCCAGTGTGGAGTTCCAGGACACTACGGCAGGACACAGCCCTCGGCCCGAGCGAGGAGTGCTCAAAAGAAGCGTTGCTGTGTCAGGCACCAGATAAATTTTTTTTGGAGGCTGAGTATGGAAAAGTGGCAAGGAGTAAGGGTAATTGGTCCGGTCATCTCTCTGCGGTCCACCGCACAACGTGTCGTATACGCAATCTCCGGATAAGGGCCATCACACCGAATGTCCTCGGGGCTTAAGCGCTTATGTGCCTCTAATTAATTTCAAATTCAATTTGCATGCCATTGGAAGAGGGTGCAAAGAGGAAACCCTATATATGTATGTATGTCCATACGTATGGTAGTTTCTCCATTTCTCCTGGAACTGAGATAAGCTATTCCCCGAAACAGCATCGAGGAATGTTTCGTGTAAATTACAATGGTCCTTGAAACTCAATTCTGTGCAATTAGTATGGGATTATATGGTTTGAATAACACAGTTCCAGGAACCACACGAGTAGGCTTCAAAGACTTTAAAGTTTTAAAACGACTTTGACCAAAAAATATTCCTTAAAACGGAACTTTAATCTTTAACAGAGAATTTTTCGGTGGCTGTGTCACTTTGTGTATGCCAATCGATAAACACTGTTTTGTTTGGCATTTCGTAATTATGCATTAAATTTATGGGAAATTTTCCACCCGCAAAATGCACAAAGAATTTCATTGGCGGCCATTACAGTAACCGACACGTACACAAATCCACGGCAATTTGTGACTTTTGTTGTTTGTTCGTGTGGTTCCTGGCTCCGTATTCCTTGCTCTCGGCCCGGCCAGATTGCTATTTTTATTTGAAAAGTTCATTCATTTTGGTTGATTTTATTTTTTGTTTCTGTGGGCAAATGAAAAATTTCAGCTGGTCACGTAAGCATTTGATGGAGGAGAGCCCCGGAGGCGATCAGGAGGTTGTGAGGATGTTTGGGGGAGCGATGTGTTTAGCCAAAGGACCTGGAGCAGCTGCTTAAAAGACATCAAACAACAAGAGGGCCAAGACCAAGACCAAAAACAAGAACCCAACTGTAATAAAGAAAGCCGGATGAAAGTTTTCAATGTTAGCCGGGAAGTTTAAAGCCGTAAGAGTGTGTGGTTCGGGGGGCCAAAAATGATAGGTAATGACGCCATTAGTGGCAGCCACTCAAAAAGCCTGTCTCGATGACACCTCACAATAGCAACAACAATGAGAATGGAGAAAATTTGTTGGTGCCATTTTTGCTGACAAATTTTTTAGCGCCTGCGAGCCAGCAGGAGGTCGATCCTGCGATGCTCCGAAACAGACATGAGGAAGCCCTTGTGGCACTTGAAAATTTATGGCAATTTTATCGCCAGCGGAAATATTTTTTCCACTTCATTGAATCCCTCGCAAAAAAAGCTTAAAAAAAAAAAAGAGGGGAAAAACGAGAGGCAGGTCGCGGCTAGGTCGCAAAGTGTCGCACTCGGGGAACTTCATTGAACTTTAATGGCAGGCCGTCGGGCAAACAACAAAGGCCGTCAAAGGACCCCACATCCGTTTCCTTAAACACTTCTGCAACATATGCTCGATTTGAAGGGGGAAAGCACTGACAAATTGTTCAATCCTCACTAGCTGGCATACCCTGGAAAAGTCGAAATTCCTCACATAAAAAGTTTCACACTTTCTATAAACTTTCCATTATATTAGTCTTATTGTTAAAATCAACCTAATGAATATGAAAAATTTTGATAATAGAAAATACTCAACCCACTAGAAGTTACATTCAAAAACAAATTGTGTTAAGCACACAAGAGTATTAAGCAAAAGTTAAAACGAATTTAAACACCCAACTCACAGTTAAATATTGTATGTATTAAAAGCTCCTAAAGCATACCTTTAATGAGTACTTAATAAGATTCTTAGCTTAAGTGTAAATTGTAGATTGATTTATAACTTAAATCAAGAAAGGGGAGCATTGTTGCAAAACGCTTTTATCAGTAGCCCTAGATGTAACGATTTGCATTTTTCAGATGCAATTTCCAACTGTAACCTGATCTATCAAGTAAGTGACTATCCTGTAAATATTTCCACCAAACAAAACTACAATAACACCCTTGGGGCAATCAAGTTGAACTACGTGTGCTTAGACTAAGGAGTAGTTTAGATTAAAAGCCTTGCCCTAAATAAAGTAAAAAAGCTTAATCAAGATAATGTTTTGTGATTCGTTACCAGATGTATTTGACCCATTGAAGGAACTCTCACATCTCCCAAGAAACCAATCCCCACAATATTAAGGTTTCCATAATGCTGGAAAAAAAATATCTGGCGAGAAACTTTCGAATTTGTGACAGAATTTAAGTAAAATAAAACAAAAACAAATATTACGCTAAAGTATCTAAAAATAGCCCAAAATTGACATATCCCCCTTATGAATGTGTATTTTATGATAGCCATACCGAGTCCTATAGTCCTTCCTAAGCTAAGTCAAAGACACTGAACCGTAGATAAAGAAATATGTGAAACATATTAGCTATAATGTATTATGATTTGTATAAAGCGTTTTCTGATTGTATTTGATTTGTATTAAATGTGCATTACACCAATTGTCCCCAGAGTTTTATTGTAAAAGTCAATGTCAGGAGGGGAAAACAATAGATGGGGCATGAAGTCCTCCATGGAATCATCAGACACGCCACCAGTCGTTCGCTCCCGCCTTCATTGATTTCCATGTGAAATTCCACTCAATTAGACACCGTGGCAGCCAGGCCAACTGGAACTTACACTTTATAGAGTCTTTTATACCCTGGACTTTGGAAAACTTTCAAAAGCGTAGCTTAAAGTAAATCACCTGAAAAAAAGTCAATTCGAAACGTAAGTCTACTTATATATATTTTATAAAAAAATCACTTTAATTTTGTTGGCTATGGGTTGAAGAATTTATTTCTTCATAATATTACCTTTTACACAAAACTAAAATACCCTTTTCGAAAAAACCAAGAGTATATTGTCTTTTAAACCGCAAAGTAAAAGCAAAATTCATTCAATGCCAGTAACTGTCGATAATAATCGACAAGCTTTTCAAAATCTCCATGTCCAAATGGATGTTCTTAAAATAGAAATACCGCATTGACAACTGGAATACGGAATGAGGGTGGGAAAATATAAACTGCAATTGATTTACCAACACCCACGTTCATTCTTCCTGAAACAAAAATAGATTGCGCATACGCCACGTAATCCTGCGGACTCAACTGCAATTTGCGGCTCAAAAGCTTTGGCTGAGAAATGTAAAACAATTCAAGGGTAGACACAAGTTGCTGCATTAATGTCACAAGTTAAATGATAATTATTTCAGAGCACTTGACAAATTAATGCAGGCTAATGCCGCACAAATTTTCTTGGTTGAAGAGGCCGCAGAAATTCCCAGAATCCCGCCAACAAAGTCGCAAATGTCCCGACAACGCCAAAAACCCGTAAAAAATGAGCAAAGTCAAAATTGCGACTACTCAGCGCCTCTTAATTTTATTTCCAGCTTTAAGGGCGCCTCGTAAAGTAGCGCGAAGAGGCCGTTTAATGGATTCCCTTTGCCCCTAGATCCCATCCCTTTTTCGCTCGCTGGGTAGCCCTGGGAGCTCTCTTCACCCACTCTACCCCTACCACAAAAAAAAAGTTACTGTAATAAACGGTTTTTGTGCGAAGCGACAACGCCAGCAACTTGAATTTTCTGCCCAAAAGCGCCCGCGGGTAGGCGGAAAATGGAAAATATTCGAGCAACTCTAGTGCACTTTTTAATCCTCGTGTGTGTTTCGGAGCGGAAAACAAAAAAGGTGAAGCTGCAGCTGGAGCTGTATCGCACTCAGCGATAATAGTTCTTTTTTTGGTAAATATTTTCGTTTTCCGCAGGAGCGAATGCGGTTTGCAGATGCACTTAATTCTACGAGCCTACAAAGAGCCGGCGAGCGAAAAACCTTTTCACATTTGTTTGTCGATTGGTCGGACACATCGGCGGAAAACAAAAGGAAAGCAAAGCCACACAGTTGGCGGTGAAAAGAAGTTCAAAAATGAAAGGCAATGCCCAGGGCATATGCAGTTTTTGTAGATTTTAAATAATTTTAAAGTTAAGCACATTTTTTGCCCTTCGATTGGGAAATCGAAGCTCCGTGTATGGATAACCTATAGGCTGTTGATAGCTGGTTTATCAATAGATTCATTACATTTACTCACCAATGAATATTAAATGGCCAATGATTCTAAGCACATTGACACAAAATTTCCTTAAAAGGACACACACTTGAATTTCGAAGACTTTTAGTCAAATTGGCAACAACAGGCAGATTCCATTCAATTGCTGGGTAGGAAAAGCCTCTCTTGCTGCAGATCCCCATTTGTCCTTGGCTTTCTGCCATACTGGAGTACATATATATACCATACATTCGTTTAATGCCTATGGACAGGAGAGGACAGCAGTAGGAAAATGGGAAAATCATGCCACCTGCCATGAAAACTGTGTACATTGATTGCATTGATTTATGGGCCCAGATGCTGGCATGGTCCGTGTCGCTTGTTGCGCACTTTATGGCCATTTTGATTGGGTCTTTGCATCAGAATCAGCATCAGCACAAAAGGATGAATTGCATTGCTATGCCGGGCAATTTTGCAACATTTTAAAGCCGCTTTGTGGCAAAAGAACGCCTCAAAAGACAGGGGCTAGTCGCATTATTGCGAATCAAAGTCAAATGCTGACAGGAGTCGAAACCGGCAGAGTAGAATGGATTCTAATTTATTCTATTTGGACTGAGCCTGTCGGCAGGTAGGTCCTTTAAAGAAGCCACATAAACAAGGAAATCTACCTGACATGGATCTTCCTAATGGAAAATTATATGCAGCTTTGCTTTCCCCAGCCATACATTCAGCCGTTTGTACTCCTTTGTCCCGGCCAGAGGCAGAAGCCCGCAGGCATAAATGCTTACAATTTATGTGACAACATCCGACCTGGCCGAAAGGCAAACACACCATTACCTTTGTGCGTGTGTTTCAACCGACATTGCGCATACGACATGTAGCACAATCCAATGGCAATTAGGTTTTCAAATTCAGAAGCATATTCCATTACCTGACGCCTAGATGAGAACAATATGCAAATGTAATATGAAGTAATAATGAAATTACCCCACAATGGCCGAGCTCTTTGACATCAGAAACAGCTGGAAGCCCCTGATTAGATTACCGCCCCCAGTTTCGATGCTGGAGCATATTTCTGACAGGTGCTAGGGCTCCGTGTTGGAGTGTGAATTGAATCACAGCTCATTTCATCTCAGTCCAGATATTGGGCCTGATTTTATAATAGCATTAGGCGCACAGAGTGGGGAAAAATGGAGTTGCTAAATAGGCTTTAATTGAATTTAAGTTTGTAGCAAGTAATTACATTTTAAAGAGTTGGACTATTATTTTGTTTTATTGTTAAAAAATAAGTTTGAAACTTAATTAAGGACAAATATTTCTCTTGTTAGGGAATGGATAACAATAATCAAAAATCAAAACAAAGTAAGCGTTTTCCTTGTTTCTCTCAATTTTCAAATCATAATATTCCTCCTTCTATCCAGGGAGTTGTCTCGCGGTGTCTGGCATCCAGTATTGATTACTTTCAATTAAAATACCGCCAGCTGACTGCCGAAAAAGTTGACACGGCGTGCCTTCGACAGTCCTTTGGGTTAATTTAATTTCACGAGACTACTTCAAAGTTGTCGGCCGTGAAACTGATACTGAGATGGGATATTGACGGCAAGCCTGCGGCTAGATCCTGTCACTTCTACGCGGGCGCTCTAGACAGTTCCATTGACAGGACACGTTGAGCGAAACCTTATTGAAACATTCTATCTTGTTTCCGTGAAAATCAAATTTTAAAGAACTAGTTAGAGTAGACCTATTTGTTGAATATAAGTAAAAATCAGGGATTAAAGTTATTTTTTCTTAACCAACTAAAAATGGTATTTAATTATATAAAACAATTACATTGCCAACAATTTTCTTTCTCCGGATTCATTGAGTAGTAATGAACAGTGTTTGCTAGGATTTAAAAGGATTCCCGCAATGATTGTCCCAGCTTAAAACTCCATTTATGGACTTACAAATGCACCAGCCATTGAATGCATTATTCCAGCTGCTCTCCATGCAAATCCAATGATTGCTGGTACTTTGGAAGCTTCAATCCCCAGATCTCTCTTTTCCGCGCCGTCTCATTACGGGTCCCATCGAAGGACAAAAGCGAAATGCTAGCCATGGTTGCCATGACATTTGCGGGGAAATATGGCCAGGACATTTGTCAACGGATTCCCGGTAGCCGGCTACCGGGTGGCAGGGACTTGCCTATGCATTGTGCTTATCAAATATCATGTAATATAAATGTCCTGCTGGCTCCAGCAGACACGCATAAAGGTAGTTAGCGTAGCGACGAGGAAGTGGGCAAAGTGAAAGGCATTTCCGCAACCGAACCAGCAAAAGTGAAAGCGAAAGTGAAACTGAGACCGAAACTGGAAGGCACAAAAAGCACAATACACTTGCTTGTTCGAAGGAACAAAAAGGTAATCATCTAAGCATGATGGGTGCCCCGAATGTAGGCGGCAAAAACTGAAACAAATGGGTCTCTATAAATACCCACGTACCCACACGCCCGATCCATCCGGATCCAATGTATATATGTATGTACATGTATGTATGTATGACCATTTAGCAAGTCACCGAGAAAAGAAAGAAAACTTTTCGCCGAAAGGAGGTAAGGGTGTTTGCGTGTAGGTCCTGGGTATTTGTGTCTCTGACACAATGAAAAATGCAAAGCGCAAATGAGTTGAAAACTTTGCCATAAGTTTTTACTGTGCGTACGACGTGCAATCGCAAAATTAAAGGCGACTTTTAGACTTCTTTCGAAATCTGGAAACTTTGTCTAACAGATACGAATAGACAACTGCCGCAGCTAAACATTTAATAGGGTATATTAGCTAAGATGCTCCCGCAAAAAATAAGTTATTTTTAAAACTTGTATCTAAATATGTAGTTACTATTATGCGTACGAGTAAAAGAAATAAGAAAAAGATTCAATGTTTTTTCATATAAAGTTAATAATGTTTATTCTAGTTAAGGCTATAAATAATTTTGAAGAGCATCTCATTATCGCCTGGCGAAGTGTTTACATTTTGGGAAAAGGACTCTTTATCAGTGACAAGCCAACGGCAACGGAGACATGGGCTTAGACTCGGTTTCCTGGGAAGGGGGTACCAGGCCGCTGGATGCCGAAAATGTTAAGCAAACAATGAAAGAAAGGCGGAAAGGCAAATATTATTTGCATTTTACTCGACTTGTTTTTAATGTGAAAAATAAATACGCACGTGTACAAATAACGTGAACGAATGCGTTTCCGGTTTAAAGTTCCGGTACGGCCTTTTTGGCGGCCAACTTTTGCAGCAAAGTTAAGAAGCTGAAAGCCTGTGTTATAACCTGAAAGGATATTTAAATCACAATTAAATTTTTCTATAATAAGAAGAGTATTTTCTTACCGATCTCAATCGATTCACATCCATTACATAGAACTTTCCGGCGGTAACGTGAACCGCCCGTCGGCTGTTGACCAGAAAAATAAGTATGTCCTGGCGGATGTGGTGGGCGTACTTCCACCACCCACTGCGCCAGAAGGCATCCCCGGACCGAATACTGTGCCGGCTCAACAGCTCCCCGCAGTAGGTAAACATAAGGAGCTCGAATACGGTGAGTCCCAGATACTGCAATTGGTTCACTATTCTCAAGACCTCACGGGTCCCGGAGACACCCACAAATACGAGGAGGCAGAGCTGGAAGGTGATCTGCAAGGACTTGACCAGGCAATATGGGCTAAAGAGGTTCTCCAGCTCCATGGAACAGTGTAGTATAAAGCGATGCAGTCGGACACACTCCTTTAAGCCTTTGTGGAGGACATTGTCAAGGCTTTGTGGATCAGTTCTCCCGAAACCCGAAAGGAGGAGCAACAAGTCCGTGGGATGTTCTTTAAGGAAAGCATACTGATTGACCTCTCGGGTAGAGTCCTCCAGCAACAGTTCACCTTGCAATACACTGAAAAAAGAAAGATTGTAAACTATAATTAAAATTATCACACAAATTTCCATCACATCGGCCTTGACTTCAAATTTAATTTAAAATATTAAGGTACTGCCTGGAAGACCCATTTTCAATCATTGCAGACTGCTCTTTCATGGGGAGCAGATGTACTCGGACTTTATTTTAGTTTTATTTATTTTGTTTTCATTTATTTTTATCGAATTATTTTACTTATTTATTTGGCTCAGACCCTTTTTCTCTTGACGAGGTTTGTCCCCCATTTGGGTTAGCAAATTATGGAGAAATTTGATAAGTTATTATTCTTTAATAATCTTCTTTTATTTAATTTAATTTAGAGTGTTTTAAACCCGACATGCCGTCTTTCAGGAAGCGAGATTTCCGTAAAATCCTTTTCGGCGAATCGAATATTTATTTTCTTATTTTTATTTACTTTTTTCTTATTTATTGATATTTCTTACTATGATTATTTATTTACTTTATATTATTATATTCTCATTTGGCTTATAATCATCCGGTCTTATCCAACAGTTTATGAAATTTTTTTTTTATATATGTATTAAAAAAAAATTTTTTTATATTTTTGTGTGGACACCATTGTATTTTTGTGGGGCGTATGTTGTTAAGACACCATGCTATTTGTCTTGTTTCCAATAAAGTCATACATTACCTCAAATGCTTAATGGAATCGCCAGAATGAAGCCTTGCATGGGCTTCCAGGTTCTTCAGGCTGCAGTAAAGCACATCGAACTGGCCCAATAACAGCAGGCAAAGGGTCACGAACAGAGATCCGCCAAAGGCGAAGGTCACGCCCACTAGGATCTGACCAAACAGCTGAGTGGCGTACACCGCCGTATAGGTGACCGGAGCTAGGGCGTCGAAGGGATACCAGCAGAGTAGTGGCAGTGTCCGGATGCCAAGAATCAAAGGAGACACTCCCCACGTGATGACGCCCAGCAGGCAGGCCATTATCCACACCGCCGTAAAGTTTCGTGACATCCTGTAGGAAGCGTGATTGCTCACAAAGGTCACCCCGGCTAGCGAATGGTGGCGATACTCCCGATTTATAAGCTCCATATAGGCGAGTAGGCGTCGGGAGCGGACACACCAATAGATGGTTCCATACCCGGTAAAGAAGTATATTATTGTCATGGTAAGGGAGTCAGTAATTGACTGCAGTTCGCCCGTGGGCAGGACGTCTAGCGTGGTCTTGGTGAAGAGAACTCCCAGATGCAGCGACGTAAAAATCACAATGGAGCAATAGCCTCGGGCCAAGCCCACTCCCACCGATTTGAGCCACTTTGGCCACCACATTGGCAGGCGTGGAGTCGGTACAATTCCCATCGCCAGTTGTAGTCTCATTAGGAGCCGGAACAAGTTAGACTCTCGAACGGGATCCAGGATAACATCGTACCTGATATCCACATCAGCGTTTCCATAAAACCGACCTGCGGCCATTGACTGATATCTCTAGACACAAATCCGAAATCGGACTACTTATGAGTGGGTCCTTTGGGCCGACTATTTAAAGGGGTTCTCAATTTATGCATTAATGAGTTTTTAAAAGTTTTCCCCGCTAAGGACTCGCCCCCAATTATTGAATGGTGTCTGGGTGGGCGTGGCACCTAATTAAACGACTAAATGCCTAATTGACTTTTTTAATGAGGCATGGTTCGGTGAAACATGAAACTTCTGGGGCAAAGTTTGCAAATTTATGAAAATGTGAGGCTGTAAATTATAAGGTATTATAGGTTCAAGGATTAAACAATATGTGGCGTAGTAATCTTATTTGAAAACTTAATGAGATACTTTTTAAAAGATTTAATGGAGGTTTTTCTTTTGGAAAAGTATTTTCTCTGTATGTCTTAATAATATTTTAGTCAATAAAAGTATATTGTTGTACTTAGTTATAGTTAATCAACGTCCATCTCTCTTTAATCTTTTTTTAAAATAAATTGTTTTAACAATAGTATTTAATATTCTGATATCTCTAAAATTTAGTTTAGTGAAAACTGTTTAAACGTTTTTCCTGTTAACCTAACTAGCCATTATTCGATTTTCATGCACTTTATTTTGAGTTCTATCATTATCTGATAGATTATAGTCGGTACTGACCTAATTGCATTTGTTCGACATTCGATGGCCAACAAAAGGGCCCCCCAGTAAATGCAGAGCGCAGGCAAATGGTCTATTAGAACTATTATTAGCCCCATTCAGGTGTTCGGGTAATTGCCATTACGCAAAATTTCACACAAGAGAGGGGTTTTAACAAATGGCTAAATTTTATCGAATGTGATAACGTCACACTTGACCTTTGGCCGCAGTATTGTGTTGTGAGGTGTGTCGGCTATTGGAGAGACAAAAATATCCTTAAAAATAATAGCCCGCTATTTGCATTTATTGAATGTGAAAATGAAATGCCATAATTGTGTTTCCCGACCCATATAATTGCCCGAAGGGGCCTTGGCATTGAAATACGAAAGCGGGTGAAATGACTCATGGAAAATGCTAATTGGCGAGTGAACTTTGCACACCTTGCAGGTGGCGAAATTCTCGAATATGGCCTAAACAATTTCATATGCACATTCGGTGCGTGCGTGTCGAGATCACTAATTGTTTCGGTCTTTAATTTTGCAGTTCAGTTTAATTGACCCCCCGCAAAGTACAATTATTTGTACAAAATGTTTCAGCCAGGTGGCTGGCCAGGACATGCAGGACCTTCTTTAACTCATCCCGTTTCGAAACCGAACCAAAATGTGTGGCCACAAAGCACATACAAAGCAAACTAATTTAATTCCCAGTGGAGTGGCTTTTATTTTAAGAAATTGTTACACATTGTTGGGGCATGAAATGCTCAGTCGAGGAGTTATCTCTGGCGGTTGGCAGCTACTTGGCCAAATTGTTGCCGGGCCGTAAATGGCGAAACTTTACAGCGCTGCCCCGAAAAGCCGACTCCGCCTTTTTTGGCCTGGTCGAGGGCAATACATTTTACGCGTCAGTCACTTTCATTACGTATGTATGCAAGTGGGTTTTGAGAGACTGTGACCCCCGCAGGATCCAAGGATCCCAGAATTTGGGTCTCTGTCTGTCAGCCTGTTCTCACGCATGTCGAGAGTTGTTTCGAGTGAAATTTACCTGCTGTGATTTATTCAATCAACTTGTGCTTTGTCCCAAAACAGCTCAGGCTGCCTTTATTATTTAGACATCCTTGTTGTCTCTGGCGAAGCGCCTTATGCGAGTTTAATGTCACTTGCCTGGCTAAAGCAGCTCGGCTGCCACATTTAATCTGCATAATTTTTATGAAAATTACGAGAAGCCATAAAACAGAGAGGTAAGTACATACGTAGCCAAAGTTTCAAATAGACAAATGAAATCTGTTTTAAGATTTCCAGAACCTTTAATTGCGGCAACACCTGGCCTACGAAATAAAAACTTAAATTATTATGCAATTTTTGAGAGATGATATTCATATCATCCTATTTTATAGGGTTTTTTTCTTAGATTTTAACAATTTATAAACAAGAACAACTGAATAAATAATTCATAGCGACAAAATCTATTTGAGTGAACTTAATTGACTTCTTTTTTCAGAAATATCATCTCGTATATTTTCATCTTTCCCATCAGGTCATGCATCATCATTTATAATTCTTATTCCTATTTTTTTCATTATTTAATATCCACCTATTATAAATTCCAGTAATCCACTGATAAAAAGAAATTTTAAACAAATTCATTTATTTTTTGTCTCTGTAGCCCTGACATTCAGCTTTAATTAAATGTCGCAGAGTTGAAAAAAAATGAAATCCATTTTCCTGCCACCTGGGAAAATATTTTTAGAGCTTTGTCCCAACTATCCGCAGCAATCTCCCAGAACAGGATTCCAGGACATCCAAAGCCACACCAGTGACCGGTGACTGGTGGTGGTGGTGGTATTGCATTTTGCAGCAAACTTTTTAATTAATTGCGCTGGCCAATTTTTCGGCGAGAGCCAAAAAGCTTTAATTGCAAATGAATGTCGGGAGGGGGGAATGGGATAGTGGGCACGGATAGTGGAGCGCACGAACAGCGCTAATTTTCTGCAGTCGAATGGACGGAAAAGCGGAGCAGAAGGGTCAATCAGTTGGCCATTTGGTTGGGCGGTGAGAGGCACGATGGCAGGGGTCGGTGTGGTCGGTGAGGGTGGTGCGGGTCGGACATTCCTGAATAAGGTCCGACAGTCACGCGCTCCGCTCGCCTCATGTTTGCTAATTTATGCGCCACTGCAGCCGCAGGGCGACGGTAAACAGCGAGTGGCAAAAACTTTTCCCCAAAGGGTAACGGGAGAGTGGAAATTGCAAATGGAAATGGGTGGTGGGAAGTGGGCGTGGGGGTATTGAGGCAAAAAAGGAGTCGAAACAGAAACAGGATCGTTCCTGGCTCCTGGCAACGCCTGTCATTGTTTTTCCAGCTCTTGTTCGCGCTTTAAACTTTTCCCGTAGCTTCGATTCCGTCCCCGCCCACATTCATTACATATTGAAGGCAGTCCTTATTCAGGACTCAGCCCCCGACCTGCTTGGCCGTCTCGACAGTTGAATGTTGCCTTATATTTCCTTCGGCCACTGCACAAAACAATTTGTCAAACAACAAGCGAAAAACTTTTGGCGAACAAAGGAGTGGGTAGGTGGCCCCCTCACATTTTCACTTATTATGAGGGACAGTTAACCCTACGACGGCACCCCTCCAGGATTAATAGAAAAAGTTTTGATTTGGTTTGAAGGAATTCATTCTAAACACTAAAGTTGGTAGGTTGGTAATTGTCACGCCTTATAGATTATTAGCGTATTTTGTTGGAATTTATTTATTTAATGTCAAAAATAAATTTAATAAATAATTTATTTATTCTGTGCCGCCTCGTTGACCGTCTATTCGAGGAGTTCGCCGTGTTTTTCGCCTGTTGCTGGAGCTGAATACACCTCTGGACAATGTCGCCGATGTCCCGCCTCATGGAGTCCGCCATGAATTCGTTGCCAGTTTCCTGAATCTTGTCCAGCCATTCCTCAGAGTGCGAGCGCAAATCGTTTTTCAGATCAAAAAATAAAAAACGTTAAATAAAACAAGAAAGGAAAGCTTACTTCGGACTTAAAACTACTACAACAACTACAACTTATATCATAAACATTTATTATTAAAAAAAAAAATTAAGAAAAAAAATTGTTTCTCGATTTTTTGAACCAGCTTAGGTGCAACCTATGAGAATCGAGGAGGAGGGCACTAGATTTTAATTAATTTTTGAAAAAGAAAAAAAAAAAAAAAAAGAAAAAAAAAACAAAATAAAAAAAAAATAATCATTTTCCCGATTTTTGGAGCCAGCTTAAGTGCAACCTATGAGAATCGAGGAGGAGGGCACTTTTTTTTAATTAATTATTTTTAAACATTTTATTAAATAGTTTCCAAATTAAGCCATCTCCTGGAAAGTTATAATACTCAAAAAAAAGGATACAATTTTATCCTTCATTACTGGTTGCCTTCCAGGTGCTCAAATAATTAGGCAATGGAAATATGAGTGTTTACATTTTAAGATTTATAATTTGTTAACTACATATGTTAAAACAAAGCTATGGCATTTCCGATCAAACCTATTAAACCATCGAATATGAAGAAGCTGTGACACAAATCAAATAAAACAAGTTTACGTACTTAACACTTGGGTGTCAAGGGGTTAAGCTGCGTTAAGTCTTCCCCCACAGGAGGGCGAGCATCTTTCAAATTCTTTAAAGTTAAGTTCAGTTAGAAACTGATAGGATGTGCACAAACTGTCGGTATATCCAGACCCCATGCCCCTTGCCACAAACTGTTTCGATTCAGACTCAACTCAAATATCAGGCATAGCCTTAGGGCTTTCGAGGCAATGACTAAAATTTGCTCGAGTTTGTTAGGTCGTTTTGTTCGCCAATTTTGTGCTGCCTGGCAAAAAAGTTTCTAATGCAATTTTGTTAAATATTTTTGCTGTGATTTCGTTTTGATGGGAAAGGTTAGGATGAGGGTAGACTGGGTGCCCGCTAAAAATAGTTGAGCAGCCAGCTACCAGCCACCACACGGATCTAAATGTCCTCCCAGCTCCTGGCATGCGGCAGTTTTTATTTCGGCAAGTGAAAAGCAAACTTTTAGAGCTGCCAAATTGAGTTTGGAAGTTGCAAACTGTCTCAACTGACAGGCCACATATATGGCTAATTCAATTTGAGGTAAGCGGCCGTGGGTGGCACTTGCTTGTGGCACGACCTGTCCACGCCCTCTGCCCGCCCAACTAAACTACAATAACAATTAGCATTAACACATTGATGACGCCCCGGCGTTGCGGTTTGTTTGCCTAGTTAATGTGGCCAGGATTTGCTTGCCAGGAACATGGCGCGTGTCTCGTAAAACGAGAGTAAACTTAATTACTCCTAGGATCTGCAACGCCAGCTGCCTGTTAATGCGGTTTTGTGGGGGAGTCCCCGAATGTTTTGTTTATTAGATGGCGCCCCATACAGTCCTTCCCACACACAAGTGTGCTCCTGCGGGTGCCTTCACAAATGTTTCACTGTAATTAAAGCACATATCCTTGTAAACATTAAACGGCCCAAAATACACCTCGAGAGCATGAATTGGTGAAGCCCAACCAACAAAGTGTTAGCCGCCTTGTGGTTGGGCAGGAATTAAGAAAACTGTCAATGCCAAAATGTGGACATAAATGAATTTATTCGAATGGTTTTATAAAATAATGTCTCAAACGATAAATTGCGAGCCGGTAAAACTCGTTGGTCGAGCTAAGACCATAAAGTGGCCATAATAGAAATTTTGAGACTCTTCTTGGCCAGTATATTAGGTTATAATGTAAGTAATTAATGGCCAAGTAGTGCCTTTTAGCTACAAAATTTTGAGATACATACTTTTTAAGTACTTTTTAAACTTATATTATTAATATGATATCATTGAAAAGGGGAAACTCGAATCTTAGATTATCAAACTAAGCTTGAAAGACATATGGGTATTTCAATGGTTGCCCAATTAACCCTGAACACGTTGCCTATTGTTCAGAATATACCATAAGCTCATTAAAAATGGATTTCGTATGCAGGGGCAGGTGACAAAAGCCATAAGTCTGCAATCGAATGAAGCAGTTGACGTGGAAGCGCCGGAGACCTTGACTGCAGCGGTACTGAGGTGCCAAGGTGAGTAGCCCCGCCCACTGGCCCCCAGACAGGCCAAGCTGTGGCTAATCCCTGCATTCTAAGTGAGGCAGAAGGACCCTAATATTCAATTAATCACATTATGCAGGCTGTCGACTCGCATTAGACATCCTGGCCAAAGTGCCCGGCCGGGTAACACAATAATCAGGCCGAAACGGTGCTGAATAGAGGCAGTGGTTCCAGTCTCGGCTTGTTATACAAATAACTGGTCGCCAGTCAATTAAGGCAACCGTCCGGCCAAGCAAATCCAACTAAATATTTTATTATGAGCCAGCGTTTGTCTTGATTATGCGCCAGGCCAGTTGAGGAAGGGGTGTGGCCGAGGGGGAGCATAACTAATTGAAAACTTGCAAAAGTTTTTCTCATTAATAATAAGCCAACTAGACCAGCCAGTAAGCAGTCCTGCCACACTGACTATTTGCTTTCAAGGCGGAGTCGCGTCGTGTCGAGTCTCGAGAACCACCGTGTCCTGAGTCCCTCGCCTCTATTTTCTTCTAAATGATTTAATTACTTATTGCAAGGCGCTGGAAGAGCTATTATTAAGTTGAATGCCCGCCAGGCCACACTAAACACGCGTATTAGATTAATGTTGTGATTACACAACCAGACCCATCCCCTATTCAATATAACGTCCAACCAACCTAGCCACCCCCTTTTCTCCTCACAGCCCTCGGTGTATTCTGGAGCGTTAACGAGTTGCAATCGCTTATTGCGTACTTTTTAGGATCCTTCGAGTGGCATTCCCCCAATTACCTTCCAAGGACGCTCCTCCTACTCATGCTGGTTTTCCGGCTTGGGGAGCTTTGACGGTTGCTGGTATTGAATTATGCATATTTCGTTGCCGGCAGTGGAGCTTGAACTAAAATGGTACCTTGAGGCATGGCAGGCTGCCCAGACAGCAATCTGTTGGTTTGTCACCGTCCGAGGTTGGCAAAATGGAATTATTACCTTAGCAAAGTGTTGATAAATCATATTTGCAATCAGTCTTTAATAAAGTAAATTAATACAAGAACACATACACCCTCCGTTCACCATCAGTTCTTTAGTTTGGCATTGAACGAATACGTTTTGCAATAATTTCTCCCTCCTTACCAACCGAAGCATATCATTATTTTGAATTTATGGTGCTGATAACGCTTTTTATATATACAAAAAAAATTAATAAAAATATCAAAAAAAATCCTTCGAGCCGGATTTGAACCAGCGACCTATGGATTTCTATTGCATGTTTCCAACTACAGTCCACCGCTCTACCAACTGAGCTATCGAAGGTTGAAAACGGTGGTGGCAAATCGGCATTTTGTGTATGCGTGCAAGCAAGACAAAAAATACGTGTGGAAACAAGCAGCAGATTGTTTCTGGGGGCGACTGTATATGCTATCACCCTATCACCTCCAAAGTTATTTTTAGAATTCATTAATTTAGTTGGGGCTATTGGATGCGTGCGTTTCTGTGACATTGACTCTCAAAATAGTATTGTTTCAAATGTAGTTTTTAAAAATTAGTTTGGACACAAAATTCAATGTAGGTCAAATGAGATTTGTTTTTATTTTCTTTAATTTATGTACATCAATTAAGACTTTTATTTCTGTTTAATACGCATTGTATTAATATTTATGCATTTGCATTTTTACTTTTTGCTTTAAACAAACTTAGCAGTTGGCTTGCGTTAACCCGATTCAGTAGGTAAATAACGCTTTATAAAACTTTTTTTAATATAAAAAAAATTAAAATATAAATAAAAATATAAATAATATTTATTAAATGTATAAAATAAAAACCAAAAAATCCTTCGAGCCGGATTTGAACCAGCGACCTATGGATTTCTATTGCATGTTTCCAACTACAGTCCACCGCTCTACCAACTGAGCTATCGAAGGTTGAAAACAGTCGTGGCAATTGTGCGTTTTGTTCGACAAAGAGAAGGAAAGACCTAAAACTATAGCGTATTTATGTTGTTGGGGATATTTAGATCTCACTAGCCTTTCTCTTACTTTCACACAAACCATCTGAAGGTCGTTGCAGTTCAAAGTGAAAGTAAATTGTCTGAACGAGTTCTTTTACTTTGAAGCATATTAAAAACGAAAGTAAACGAAACATTTTTTAAACAAAAAAATATGGTATTTTTAAAGTATTTGTTATGAAATATAGTTATTCATAGGCATTATTTTTTATTTTTTCCTAAATAATTATTGTTACTACGGTACTAACTTTAAATCATACTGATCGATAAAGCTTCCAAGCATGACATTATGGAGATAGCTCGAAAAGACACTCATGCTTATTTATTAAAAAAAATTAACGACAACAATGTAAAATTTAATTTACTTAATATTTTTTTTAAAACAAAAATAAATTTAAAATACATACAAAAAAATCCTTCGAGCCGGATTTGAACCAGCGACCTATGGATTTCTATTGCTCGTTTTCCAACTACAGTCCACCGCTCTACCAACTGAGCTATCGAAGGTTGACAACTATGTCCGCAAAATAATGTCTTGAGTAAGAGACATAACAAATGACTAAAAAGTCGCGATCACAAAACTTTTTTTAATGTTATTATTTTTATGTATTTATTTAAAATAAAATCTACAACTATCTCTTGTAAAAAGCATGTAACGCTCTTGGTACTCTTAATTTTTTACTCCTAAAATACAAATTTATGTAAAAATGTAAAAGAAACCTTTTTTAAATGTTTGTAAAGTTTGATTACATTAGGAAAGCTCTCTTAAAAAAAGGATTGTTTTTGCATCAACAACAAGGAAAAGATAATGAATGTACAGAATGGCTAGCTGTAGCCCAGAACCCCACCCCAAGGCTCCCCAATGCAATCAGCTCGACAAACTATAACAAATTCCTGGCCACTTTGCAGGCAAAAACTTTGACCAGTCCTTAGATGCTAGATAGCCCGACAGTGTCCTACCGGCGTCCCAAGGAATTCAATCAATTAGGTTACGTATACGCAACGTATGCTGGGAACTTGCGGGCGGCAAGAACAAGTGCAAATTGAAATCCATTACAGCCATTTGCCGGCTGAAAATTTGCGGAGGAAGAAAATAGTTAACAGGTCCAAAGCAAAAGAGAAACAAACTCAATTTTGAACGCTGGGAAGACGCAACAAAAATGTCAGTTTTAATTAAAAAATTACGGAAACTAGTTTGTCCAGTGATCCTGATGAAGGATGGTGGCAGTACTCATTTCATTATCTTAGCTCAACTCGGCAGAGGGGATAATTTTTAAGCTTGAGGGAAATATTACCCTTGACTAGGAGATCCTCCAGTCGTGCCTCAGTGCTAACGCGATAGCTTCGGAAGATCCTGGCCAGCAGCAGTTTCATTAACATTTGGGCATAGCGGTAGCCGATGCACATGCGAAGTCCTTTTGTGAAAGGAACAAACGCAAAGGGGTGTTGCTGCTGACAGTCTGGCCCAAAATGAGCCTCCGGATTGTAGGTTTTTGCTAGTGGACCCCACACCCTTTCATCCCTTTGCATATTGTATATATCGATGCCGATCTGGGTGCCACGAGGAATCAGAAATTCTTCATCTTCACGAAAGATTTCAATGTCCTGATCCGCCGAACGCAGTACCATAGGAACCGGTGAGAATAACCTCATGGCCTCGTTGATAACCATCTCCGTGTATTCGAGTCGTTGGAGCTGCTCTAGAGAAACACTATCATTGGATGGTAGTTCCCTTACGAGCTCCTCATGTAGCTTCTCCTGGTAGTTAGGATGCATCGCTAGGCAAAGAATCGTGAAATAGAGTGCTGTGGATGTCGTCTCGAAGGTCTGAAAGCCAGTCTAATTAGAAACTTATTAATTAATTTATCTCTTACTTACCGCTGCAATTGTTACATTAGCCTCATCCCTTACATCCTGCCAACTTAATTGACCGCGCTCCACGTGCTCCCGCACCTGCTCAATAAATATGGACTTGGACTTGCCCCTTGACTCGTTCGTTATCTGGTCTGCGTCAGTAGCATGGGGGGATACCACCGAGACAATAGGCTCAAGAAGCTTTAAAAAAAAGGTTTAGCCAAGGGCAATAAGATAATCTGATTAAAGGATTCTACCTGCTCTATGAAACCAAGAAGCACGCCAACCACTTTCTGCTGCTGACATAAAAGTCTAGAGCGTCGATAAATAAATTCCGGGTAAAGCCAAGGAGACAGCATCCTTTTTACACAAACTTCTGTCAAACTGTAATAATAAGCAAAGTCCTATGATTAATAAGCTTACAAAATGCAATTCATTTAAAAATTTTTAAATATTCCACTGTTTACTAACCCACTATAAGCCTCAAATATGGCAGTTGATCCATCGTGTTGAAAATTCATTTTTTTACCCATTGTTGTCTCTACAGAAAAATACTTATTTATTATAAGCTTACAAGGAAAACCATTACATACGGCATGCTGCTTCCAGGACAATTTTTTTGAGAATCTGATATATCTCTAGCTTCTTTCCATGTTGGATTCCCTCCAAATCCAACTTTTGCAACAAAACCTCAGCTTCTGCATTGAAGATAGGCAGGAAGTTGCTCAGAATCTGACGGCCAAAGGCAGGATTTATGAGGCGACGATGCTTGTTCCATCTGGGAGAACTGGATGTAAATAATCCATCACCTATGGCCGAACTCATAAATCGGTAGAAGTCGCCCTTGTTGGTGCAGTGAGTGGAATTAAAGATCTGCTCCACCGTATTCGGATCGTTAACGTAAAGGAAGCAATTGATGCCCATCCAGGAAATAAAAGGGGCCTTGAACTTCCGCGACAAGCCATCCATGTACTGCAAAAAGGCTATCGAACAAAAAAACTGCAGCTCATATGGAAATCTTCCGGTTTCGTCTCTTACTCTCGGGGTTCATCATTTGTAATCCCATGCCGATGAAAGGCCACCCGATGGGTCCTCTTAACTGCCAAGCGGCCTTGTAATACATCCGCCGGCTCCAAAGGAAGTACATCCACACCAGCAGCAGCCATCCCAAAAGAATGATGCAGGCCAGCATGTCGATGAACCTGGGTGACTTTGGTTTGGACACCAAAACTTAATTGCTCCACGCACGACGTTCGGAGACACACTGAGCCCAGACTGTCCCGCCCAAAACCTCCATTCAGTTTTCTATACGTAGGCAGTGACAAAACAATAATTATAATATATATTTTCGCCATTTGTATTTTAATAAACCATTTGCTTGGCTTTACTTCATACACTCAGCTGGTTCCCTCGATTTTTCCCTGTAAATCAGTTGGCAAGCTATCAAAAAAGGGTTGGGACCTATGCATACATGCACAGAAACGTGGTACGCCTAGGAGTAGACCCGGCTCGAAGATTACGCATTTGTGGCTTTAATGTGGTGCTTTCCATGCCCCCCACGTTGTGGGACGATTCTCGTTTGGGTGGCAGTTTTCATGCAAGTCGCGTGCCTCCAAAATTATGCGAGTCAAAAATAATATGCACCAAAGCTCATACCGACCAATAAATTCGCTTTAAACTCCAGAGACCTAACTTACAATAAAGTTTTGGAAATTAACTTAATAGATCCGAATTCCAAAGAACATTGTCCCTTTTTATACTTACTTTAAATTTTTCGAATGCCATCATGATAACTCAACAAAGCTCCCCGATTGGTGAGATAGGGTAGGGAGGGTAGTTTAAGTAATTGGAAAATTATTGGGTCAATGACTACGTCATATAGGTAGGTGTCTTCGACCATGTCCACGATTCTAATTAAGCATTAATTGAGTTTTTAATTGTAATTTTTATTTGCTATTCATATTTTTACAAATTTTCTTAATTGTGGTGTTTTGCTTCTGTTTTTTTATTTAATTCATTTTTTTGTTCAACAAGAATTGTTATTTTTATTTTTGTGTATTCTGCAATGATTTGAAGTAATTCCTCTCCGATTTATTAATTTTCTCCTTGGTTATTTTAGTGTTATAGAGAAGCCGGGTCCTTCATACATAGTTAGTAAAACTTAGTGCGCTATACTGTATATTGAGTGAGCGTCTCGGGGTCTCCTATAAGTTTTCATTATTAGGATATGGACCCGAACATCGGGATCCAGCAAAAAGTCAGAAATCTTTCACTATCTTCTTAAGTGTAAGCTAGGTTTAAAAGTTCGCAAATATTAATATTTTTGTGGACGTTGCGTTTCCAGTTTTGTCATTGGTTAGCTTTAGTTAAGAGTTTTAGGTTTTGGCTTAAAATTGTGGTTTCTTTTATATTTAAAGGCCATGATCAATGGAAGCCAATCATTTGGGGTTTGGTGTTTAATTTCAATTGGGACTGATTGCAGGATTGATATACGTATGTAAATACAATACTTGACTTGCGGTTATTTAATAGAATATTATATAAATATATGCCAGTCACATGTCCTTAGTATATCTACTGTATATACACAATCCATATGCCTAGCCATATCCTCTCAAGGGACCTAATGTTTGATTACTTTACAAATACATTTTACATCCATTTATTGTCAAAAATATTGACGACTCACGACGACTCAACGATTGCATTATTCCTGGCATTACACTTGAGTTACATATGGTTATTATATCTACTACTAGTTACATATATCAAAAGTGACCGGCCCAAGTGCTTAGGTCAAGTTTCGAGTATACCCATTTTTGTGATCAGAGGATTACACCAAACAATGCGGCCAAATAGCATGCCACAACGGTTGTATTTTTCTGCAATTATAGAAACTGTCTATCTTGTCGTATTTGTTTTCTGTTTTAAATATTTATTTATTTTTTATAACAAACTACCCGGGATTTTGGAATGTTACTCGAACCCAGAGCCCCGATAAATCGAGGATCCACTTTTGGGTTCTCTTGGGGTAAGTTAGTTCTCCGCTTATCAAAATGATCGATCAGCGTTACATGCACTCTTATAATTTTTATCTTTTTTATAAATTGTTAATTAATTTACATCGACCGGGCATGCAGTTGTCGATAAGCTGAACATTTTAAACCTGGAAAGTTTATGGGTTTAATAAAAATATATTTATACACACTTTTGTATATATTTCCGCTCTATTTGTTGCATTCATATAGGATTTTATTTCGCAAACAAACTTTGAAAAATAAGGGGAACTGCCGCAGGCTCTTGTTGCTTTCCTTACTCTATATGCAACCCGTGCAAATATATTATGCATGTATATATATGTATACAAAATAAACTTTGCTTTCACATTCGCTTGCATAAAAAAGTTAATCAAAAACATTGGCGTGGTCGTGTTATTTTTGTTTTCATTTTGAGACGGGGACATAGACGGTGCAATTGTTAAATTGTTTTTCTTTTTTTTTGCTTCTAGGGAGGGAATGCAATATGGCGATAAAAGCGTGGGTTTAAAAGCTAGGCTAAGGTTTATAAATGGCTTATGATTTTTGATTCAATTTAAATGGTTAGGCTCTGAATGATGAGCTTTTATCTTTTTATCTTTTCCGTTTATACTTAGGCACAATACATTTATTTTGTTTAATTGGTAATTTTCACATGACTTTAGCTTTTTATAGCTGTAACCTTTTCCTAATTATTTTCGCTCCACTTAAGTCTAATTACTACGCATAAAAACGTGTGTTGTATGGATGTTTCGGTGTTGTGGCTAATTATTTTGGGATTAATTTTGCATTCTTCTGCAATAATTTCAACTACAATTTAAACATTTCAGCCACTTGGCAATCATTTAAAGCTTTTCACAATCATTTTTATATGCAAATTATAAAATATAATAGGATTACAAAATCTGTTCAATAAATAATTCATACTTTAATTTTATTTCACGCTATGTTAACACATATTGGTGTTTCTGTTAGTTGGTACATGTATTAAACCTTTAATTTGTCAATTTTAAATTTTGTCCCCGTGCCTAGGGTTTTACAAATATTGCTTATGTTTCTGTTCCTGGTTAAATTAACGTAAAATGCATTATCTATCGTAATTGTATCATTAACAATGATACAATATTAATAGGATTTAAAATGCTGGATATACTGAACATAAAACAAATGCAGCAAATCGCTAAAAAAAATGTGGAGGATATTATTTGGGATTTATTTTTTTAAACAAATTTATCGCAAAGAATACCAAAGACAAAAAAATACTTTATGTTCTTGGGAAGAGGGGAGTTTGAGAAGTGCTTTTACTTTTACACAGTTTACTTACTATCAGCGCACACACTTTTTACTTAGTTTTGTTTTCGGTTTAACAAAATACACCCTACGTTTGCTACAAATGCTACAAAGTAGACAACAATTTAAATTTTTTTCCTCCTTGCTTCTGCTTGGTTCACTTTTCCTGTGAAGCTGCTCAATCTTACTTATATTATGACTTGCTGCAGTTAGGCGATTAACTTTCGGCCGGCTGATTAGCCGTAAACTGCGTAATGCCGTCGTTCTCCATTGACTCCAGGATATCGGCAACGTACACAGCCACATCGGTGTGACTAGTCTCACCGCGGCGAATGAAGGGCATCTCAAGTAACCGACTGTACTTCGGTCTATCGCTCTCCTTTTTAATTAGGCTACATAAAAAAAGTAGTTTAGTAAGATACGCTTTTAGTAATTCACTTATGTTCTTACCAAGTGTTGACAAAATCGACAAACTCCATTGAGAACTCCATTCCATTAAAAGAGGTCTTTAGTCGCGGAGGCTCGCCTTGCACAACCTAAAGTGATATTAATAAGGGTTTTATTTGTTTCATTTTTATCATTAATTTCATTGATATTAAATTATTATTAAATAAATAGTTTGCTTATGTTATCTGTTGTATTACTTTCTTACTTAATATTACTATTTAAATAGGGGCCTATATGCGCATTTATCTTACCTGGCATAGCTGCTCAAATACCGAATCCCATTTACGATAAGGGAAAGTGCCTGTAGCCACTTCCATTAGAGTTATACCCAACGACCATACATCACTGCGTACATCATAGCCTTTGGCACGTTCCGGATCAATACGTTCCGGCTGCAAAAATAAATAAATTTTAGTTAAAGCTCCAATTGATTCTCTGTTCCAATTACCGCCATATAGGGCCTGCAGCCAGCATCCCTAGTCTTTGCGATCGAATCAACCAGCTGACCCGAAATTCCAAAATCACATAGCTTGATGTCCCCGCGACGATGGAGCAATATATTGCTCGGCTTAACATCGCGATGGATAATCTTTAACTCCTCCTTCAGATAGTTCAACGCATTCACCGTAGCAACAGTAATTTTGGCCAGGATGGACTCTGGTATGTGACGCTGCTGCTTTTCGTATATGTATTTATAGAACTTATCCAGCGAAGTGTCCATCAGCTCCATGCAGATCCAACAATCGCCCTCTTTAAAGAGTGCTCCATAGAACTGTACAATATAGATGCACTCGTTTGACTTCATCACCACCTCGAGATCCATGAGGAGTTGTTTTTGCTCTTTTTCGTCTACGGTTGATCGAATACGTTTCACGGCCATTACTTTGTCTAGTTTCTTGAATATCATTTTGTTGACGGCACCAAAGGCTCCGCGTCCAATTTCCCCCTCATCCTCGAGATCGTCTGATGTAAAATGATGTGTGTTCGCCGGACCCTCGCCAAACTGCAATTTGCCACAGGCCTGCTGCCGGATTCTCTCACGGTGACGATCGGCTGCACTACTATTGTTGCTGGAACTTGAAACTGCAGCCGTAGCTGGGGCTACTGGTGGCTGCTGGGGAAAACCGCGGGTTACATTGTTGTGCTGCGATGAGGAACTTGAGCCGGAGGATGTAGATCCAGAGGAGGTTGACGAAGTGGACGATGGTGGATGTCGGATGCTAAGGTTGTTCAGACTTAACTGATCTGGCGGATTACGGGAGCGACTAGGTCCGGCACCAGCTAAAAGTAAATAAGTAATACCGTCTTATCTTTTCATGCGTCACTTATCCGAGTTGCTTTCGCATTTATGTATGTGTGCTTGTTTTCGTGCGTAGGCGGTCGAAAAAACAGCTACTTATACTTACTTGCAAACAAATTCTTCGGTCGCTCGGCCATAATAAACAACTTGCAAGATAACTGGCTTTGACTGTGTGTTTTACTTTGTCCTCTTACTGCCAAAGGACGTCCTTTTCTTTTCCTTCCTGAATTTTCAGTAAGCGCCGCGCCCCGAATTCAACACGTCGACTGGGGCTGCTAAAGGCGCAGGATACTTTAGGGAACAAGTCGCCTTTCCGCTGGACCCCAAGCAATTACTTTTTCAACACTCCAGCGCACATCTATGCACTTTTTCTTGCAAATTCGCTCGACATTTACATAAATAGCGCAACCAAAACTTAAAATAGCGATGAGCCATTGATTAATTTTGCCCTATCGATTGGGCACTAAAAAGTACCGATAGTTGCTAGAGAGGAACATTTTTTTACTGCAGCCCTGATTTTCGCTCGATAAATAAATTAAATAATTTGTATGTTTTATACATTATTAATTAAACTTAATATTTCTTATTACCATTACTTTATAAAGATTTAAAATCAAACTCCTTTTAATTATTCCATTCAATTAGAGTGCCAAGAAAAACATTATTGCGTCACCTCCTCATCTATGAAAATTGGCTAAGACGCCTGTCACAAACTCACCTGCGTAACATAATCATGTCGAGCGGATTTGTACGGAGCACCTACAAACTGTTCGTTGGTAACCTGCCATGGACGATTGGAAGCAAAGAGCTAAGGACGTACTTCTCCCGCTACGGGCACGTGGCTAACGCGGAGGTTGTCTTTGACCGACAACTTGGACTCTCAAAACACTACGGATTCGTGGTCTTCAGTCAAAGGGACGCCTTCAACAGTGCAAGTAACCAAAACACACACTTCCTGGAAGGACGCGTTCTGACCGTTCAGAGAGCCAATGAAAACCCGTAACATTTAATTATGTATATCGCGGTTTATGATTTACTTCATACCAATACAAGGTCAGGGAAAGCAGGAGGGAATGGAAGTGTAGCATATTAAATGATCTGAAACCACATGTCGCATCACTTCTTTGGCAGGTAGAATTTTGCGTTGGTTCCAACCACATCTTGGACGTTGGTATGACCCAGTGAAGATATGAGGGACGAAAGCTCGGCCTTGATCTGGTCCACCAGACCAGGACCCTCGTACACCAAAGCCGTATAGATTTGTACGTATGATGCTCCCGCCTCGATTTTCTCGTAGGCATCGTAGCCGGATGATACTCCTCCAACACCAATAATGGGAATTTTTCCATCTGTCAACACATACATTTGGGCGATCATCTCCGTGGATTTCGCTCGAAGCGGTTCTCCACTCAATCCACCAACTTCAGTAGCAGATTTCCTGGATGTGTCTATGTTATCCCGCGAGACAGTGGTGTTTGTGACAATTAGACCATCCACGCGACTTTTTTTCCTGTTGATTACCGAAACTATATCCTTCATATCGCTTAGGGAGAGGTCTGGCGAGAGCTTCAGCAAGATCGGCACATTTTTGTTTCTTTCTAGGCGCGATCTTGCTTCGTTGACGTGTTCAAGCAGCTCTGTTAGCTTGGCCTTGCCCTGCAAATCCCTGAGACCCTTTGTATTTGGGCTGCTTACATTGATGACAAGATAGTCGGCCACTGGACCAAAGACCCGGACACCTTGAACATAGTCCGCATTCGGGCTCATGGTTTCTCTATTTCTTCCGAGATTGACACCGACTACTCCATTAAAGTCCTCCTTGCTGCGGAGCAGGCGCAGCCGCTGTAGAACTGCTTGATGTCCCTCGCTATTGAATCCATAACGGTTGATTATGGCACGATCCTCAACTAGTCGGAAGACTCTCGGTTTGGGGTTGCCCTCCTGAGCAGCTGGCGTGACAGTTCCCACCTCGACGAAACCAAATCCCAAATCTTGCAGTCCGTCTACCGCTTCGGCATTCTTGTCAAATCCTGCCGCCATTCCAATAGGATTCTTTAGCATCCGGCCAAAGAAATTTGTCTGGAGATTGGCGTTATCCTCGTATTGGGACCGCGGATACACGCGGTACTTGCAAGCTAAAAGGGCCAGCTGGTGACTGGTCTCCGCCGGCAATAGCCGCACGGCGGGCATCACAAAGGTGCGATAAAGACTGTCCTGCTTCTTGTAAGCTGTAATGCCAGCCACCAGAACGGCTGCTCCGGCCGTGACGATACCCAGCGAACGGAGACGATTCTGCCAGACATACATAAGAAGTTAAATAATTCCGACTTACTTTTCGTTCTACTTACAATCTTCCGTGTAGCACGCATGGCCTTATTTCCAGCTTCTTTTAAGTGATCACCGTCCATGATCATGTGTTATTTTTTGGATTATCGATACGGCCGGCAAAAAAAAGTCTTCCTTCCTGTCTCCTAAGCAGCTTGAATAATACTCTAACTAGTGACAAAAGTACAAAAATATATATACTGAATACACCTTCGGTTTTTAAATTTTGGAAGTAGCTGTCATTACATTTTGAATGGAAACTCTGATGAGGCTTTGAGGGATAAAAAATAAGGAATGTAAAATATTTTTACAATTAAAAGCGGCTACAAAGTTGTAATTTGTAAATTTTAAAACTATTGTTGTTATCGATAACATGGTGATGGAATATGTTCCATCTCTGATTTGTTGAGTCAGTTTCTGTTGTTATTATAAAAACATAATTATAAAATATTGCATTTTTAGGAAGCAACGTTCAAAACCAGGACCACCATGAAGGGCGGAACTTTTCGGAACACCCAGTGGGATCCCACGCTGCTGACGTCACAGATCGTTTCGATGCAATTCTGCGTGTATTTCACTCTGGGCCTGCTCGTCTTCGTGGCCAACAAGTTGTCCGGAGATAACTACAGTCTGGACCATATATTCGAGTACCATGTAACTAGTGATAAGCTATTATACGTACAACATTCATAGCTTTATCATTTAGGAGATTCACATCTACGATTTGGGAGGAAGGCTGGTTATCTGCGCATTTGTATTAAATGCTTTTGTTGCATCTCTGGCCCTTTGGTGCATTGTGAGAAGAGCCAAGCTCTGCCTGGACTTTAGGTAGGTTCGGATACTTCCTGTACCTGTACCTCTACATGCAATTGACCGATAGTTCTTTCTTGATAACGAGACTATAATCTTTGGTCTTTGACAATTACCCTATGGTTTTTCTTCACAACTAGATGATATAGCGATCTTAATATTTATTTTTCGCTTATATTTGTAGCTGCACCTTTCACATCCTGCATTTGCTCGCCTGCTGGTGGTACAATCGTTCGTTTCCAGCGAACGCATCCTGGTGGCTCCTCAATGTAATCACAGGAACAATAATGTGTATAGGCGGCGAGTTCCTCTGCCTGCAAACAGAAATGAAGGAGATCCCAGTGGGCTATGCGGCCCTTAACCAAAAGTCGGACGTTTGATCCTCTACCTTGTGATGCCTGCTAGCTTAAGACCCAAGCATCTTATCTGTACATGTATATTTTATTGTTAAACTAGAATAAGATAACTTAACGTAGAATAATAAGATATATTCTCGATCTAATGTAGTATTTGGTAGACAAAGGGGGGTCTATTTTGCAGCTTCAGTTCCTGCGGCATTGGATCAGGTGGCATTGAAAATTTGATTCCTGGAGCACTGTAATTTCTCGAAATTATAGACCAAAATTGTACTTCACGTGGCACAAAGATCCAGTAACTGAAGGCCAGCATTATGGTCGCTATTAGTGATCCGAGAAGTATCAACATCCAGCATCCCGTTTGAGGTTTGTGCATGTTTTAGGTGATTTTCAAACTTGAGCGCTAAATTTGAGCGAATATTTGCTCAACCGGTGCACCGAAAATTGCCAAGATCCAGAAAAAAGAATGGGTGTGGCCTAGTAAGAGCCCACCGTTTAACATGCGAATCGTGCAAAGACTGAAAATTTAACTCTCCAAGCTGCGAGCTTTGCGCGCCGAGCCTATTTGTCGCCGAGGGCTTAGCTGACGAAGAATCAACGGCGCTGGGCATCAAAATTCATCAGCAGAGTGGGGTAATCAAGTTTGCCTAATCTAATTTAATTAGTACCAAACATGCAGGCAAGCTAGCTGCGACCGTCACACTTCCTCCGAGGGTACAATGCCGATCGCGACACAAGCACCGTAATTTGTACTTTCAATTACGCTTATTGCCAGTCGCCCCCCTGAAGTGCATAGGTGAAGCTTTGCTGAGAAAGCTCACCGGTAGGAGCTTCTGCAGGGTCACTAAACCCAACCTGTCTAATATTCGTTAATGTATTCAAAGTAGGGCGGTTTCAAAGAAATTTAAATAAAAGATGTAAGATCATCATAAAGTTATACATATTCATATCTCTGATGCCAGTAAAACTATTAAATACGCCTTAAATATAAATAAAAATCCAAAAGAGCTCTTTTTTTCATTTGCTAAATTATTGTATTTAAGTTTAGCAAACTTTGTTTTTTAATTGTTTTGTTTGTGTTGGTTTCACGCTTCATATAGTACATTATTTCTCAATTTATATATTTTAATATATAATCATTACTATTTATTTCTTTTTTTGTTTAAAATCATCAATTGAAGTTCAAATATTTGCGCTTACATCATTCCGATCTGATATCGACAGTAGGCATTCCTGTCGCTATATTATTGTATTTTAAGAATTTCAAGAAAAATGATGTGTGAAAAGTTACTTATGGACAAAAATTCAAAGTTGTATCAGTGGCTTAAATATTCTTAATATTTGTGGTTTTGTTTTGTTTTTTTTTTCTTTTAGCATATTTGTAATATGTATGTTTGCATATCCTTCAATATATACTCATCGACTTTATAAAATAGAGAGATGGAGAAAGGGATTCGGGGACGTAGAGCTGGCTATACATTAATTTATTATGGTTTTGCGATGAATTTGCTCATTTTATTATTTATGCTTGCTCCAGGATTGGATATTGAGGTGAGTAGTGGTGAAGTGAGTCGGGACACGAGGGTGGAAGGTGCATCTCTATCTGTATTTTTGTGTTTTGTGTTTCATGTTGCGCTGCGCACAGACAGTTCTCTTTCACATTTGCTGTTCCCATATAATATACGTTCGTGCATATATATATATAGTTCTTATCGACTTTCAATTCTCAATTTGGTTATTTGCGAAAGTGGCTGCGATGCGATTGCTGATGCTGCTGGCCCGGAAAGTTAGCCTGCGGCTGAAACTGAGGCGGAAGCCTTGCTCATTGATTCCACCAGTCGTTGCTTCCACCAGAGTGCGAGGCACTGCCTCCATAAGAACCTCCATAGGAGCCGCCGCCACCGCCACCGCCGCCATAGTATCCACCACCTCCAGAGTTGCCACCTAAAAAAAGATTAGTTTTATTATCTTGCAACAAAAAACTGGATAAATTTTGTTCGATTTTTGAAAAAATAAACAAAACAGCCAAATACGAAAACTAAAATACTAAAAACGTGAAAATTTCGCACATTTCTAAATATGGTAGTTTCGCACTCACCGAACTTACCGTACGAGTTTCCGTTACTGCGGTAGTTACCGCCACCACCGCCGCCGGATCCACCGCTGCGAGTAGGGCCACCGCTTCGTGCACCACCACCGCCTCCTCCACCGGAGCTCTGACGGTAATCCCTGGAGCCGAATCCGCCTCCATAGCGACCGCCACCGCCGCCGCGCCGTTTGGCTCCACCATGTCCGCGGTCGGAGCTCATCATGTCCTCCAGGAAATTCGGGATTTCCTGCTTTGTCTCGATCAGCAGCTCCAAAAGGTCGGAGCAGATGTTGCGGTTCTTCTCGTTGAAGAAAGAGGTTGCCACACCCAGGTTACCCATACGGCCGGTACGACCGATTCGGTGGACGTACTCCTCCACATCCGAGGGCAGATCGAAATTGATGACGTGCTTTACATGTGGAATGTCCAAGCCACGGGCCGCCACAGCAGTGGCCACCAATATGGGGCAGTCGCCGGAGCGGAAGCAGCGAAGTGCTTCCTCGCGTTCCTTTTGGGTGCGATCGCCGTGGATGCTGGTGACCGGGTGGTTGCACTGAAACAGGAACTCTTCCAGCGAGTCGGCGCCCTTTTTCGTCTCCACGAAGATCAGCGTCAGGTTGTCTTTGCAGTACTCGGGACCGTTCCGAATTGAGGAAAGCAAATCAAGGAGATACGAGCGCTTATCCTGCTCGTAAACCCATAGGATCGTCTGAGTGATGTTCTCAGAGGTGGAGCCTACACGACCCACGGCCAAAAAGATATAGTTGCTAAGAAAGTCGCTGGCCAACTCCTGAATCTGCTTGGGGAATGTGGCCGAGAACATGAGCGTCTGGCGCTGCCCAGTTGGGGGCATATTCAGCTGCTCGACAATGCGACGGATTTGAGGCTCGAAACCCATGTCCAACATACGATCCGCTTCGTCCAAGACGAGGAAACGAATATTCTCCAGACCCACCTTGCCGCGCGTTATCATATCTTCGAGTCGACCGGGAGTGGCCACTATCAAGTGGCAGCCGCGATCCAACTCACGCATCTGCTCGCTAGTGTTGTTACCGCCATACAGTACTGCCGGACGCATCCGGGAGCGGTAGGCAAACTTTTTGGCCTCCTCAAAGATTTGGGTGGCCAGTTCGCGGGTTGGCGCCAGCACCAAGCCCAGGGGATACTGCTTGCGTCGGCTGTACTGCCGGTTGCTTTGCGGCGGAGCCGAGTGACCGTGCTCGTACATTTGATTAAGAATCGGCACCAAGAAGGCCGCCGTCTTGCCAGAGCCTGTTTGGGCGCAGGCCATCAGGTCGCGACCGCTAATGATAATCGGTATAGCGTACTTCTGCACCGGAGTCGGTTTGTCATAACGTGCCAAGTTCACGTTGTTGCGGATAATTTCCGTCAGCTGCACATCATCGAACGATGTGATGTTCGGGGGCACATTCTGGCCCGTCGCCTCCACGGGTATATCCTCATATTTGTCGAAATTGATGCCCGTGTTGCCCACGCCAAACAGCTCCTGCTCCAGACGTTCATCCCTGGCGCCCAGCTTTGTGTAATCGACGTTTCCACCGCCCTCCTTCCACCGGCTGTTGTATCCTCCTCGGTCGCCGCCGCGGTTGTTATAGCTTCTGTTGCCGCCACCGCCGCCGGGTGGTCCGCCCTCGCCGCCATCGAAACCGGCAGGCCGCTCAGGCTCCTGCCAGCGATCGTTGCGTGGCTGTTGCGGCTGGCCATCCTCACCGGTCTGTTCGTTAATAGCATTTCCGCTACCGCCGCCGCCGCCGCGGTAAGAGGGTCCGCGTCCAAAACCACGTCCTCCTCCTCCGCCGCCTCCGCTGCGATTCCAATCACCGCCGCGACGCGAATCAAACTCACCACCTGCAAGAATTAATTTCCAGTTATTTTCAATAATAAAATAGAATGGATAAGGCAGGTGTATTAAGAGAAAGAATAGTTTTCGATCCACTCACCGTTGTAGTTGTCCTCGTAGCGTCCACCTCCACGTCGTCCGCCGCCGCCGCTGCCGAAACTGCCGTAGTCGCCGCTCTGGCGGTTGAAGTTACGATTGCCGCCGCCGCCGCCGCCGCCGCCGCCTCTACGGTACTCTCCTCCGCTGCGCGACTGCTGAGGGTCCCTGCTGTCCTGGCGCGGATTTCCGGCTCTCGAGTCGAATCCTTGGCCGGGATTCTCTGCGTCCGCTGCGTTGTTGTTGCCACCACCACCACGAAGATGCGGGGGCACATACACACCACCGGTGACCGAGTTAGTGGAAGTCTTGCTTATGGGGCCGCTATAGTTAGCAGAACCGCCATTCAAGTCCAGACCAGCAACCTTAAAATGGATTTAATGGTGATGGTGAGTAATATTCAAAACATTTGTGAAACATTTGTGTTCTATAATCCAACAAAGAATACAATCTATTCCGTGTGCATTACATTGATTGGTACTCGCTGTTTTTTTTAGAGATAAGAATCAAAGCTCAGTAGAATCAGAATTACACAAACCCCACAATAAAGAATTATATTTTAATTCTGAAAGTCAAAAGATACCAACGTTTACACGTTCATTCAGCATCCATGGAAGACACGAAATTTGTCTCAGTGGAAGACCTCAAGAGGCACCAATGTTGGTTCTTGGTGGTTCCCGCTTAGCAACATGTGCTATTTACTTCTTCCTCTTTGTGGCGAAACGTGTATATATATACGCGAACGGGAATCTACGGAGAGGCGCAACTAGTTTAAAGCTTTGAAATGGTTCTCTTCGTGGGTCTCGCTCCCACCCACACATAGGCGCTAAATAAATCACAAAACAGTGGTAGAACATTAAGCCCGGTTGTGGAACTTGAATTGAAACTTGTGGATCGTATTCAAAAAGTACACTTTTATTTTTTATATTGATGCACTTATGTAAAACCCAAACTTAAAATAATATTATATTTTTCACAATGAGTAAGTTTTACATAGAAAATTTTGTAGTTGAAATAAAGATTTTATCTGACATACATATAACGATACTTTTAAAATCACCCTTAAATTTCGTTTGTTAGATAGGGAAACTCGACAACCCTGTTTGTAACACTCAGCTTCCACATGTGCGCGCAAGCGAGAGAAAAAGAGCGGCCTTAGAACAGCGGCGCTCCTCACACACTCACCCATACATAGGAGCGAATGGAAACTTTCACACACACATGTCAGATTGGAGGCAAGCGAGCAAAAAAATTATACAAAAGAAATTACAAATTGGAATGACTAAGAAGAAGAACCCAGACACACACGCTGGCAAAATCTGATACGGTCGCACAGCAGTTTGGTTCACCTACACGATTCACCGTTGTAAAAGAACCACATTTGTGTGTTATGAAATCAATAAATTTTTAGCCGAACACTCTCCAACAGCCGCATGTCACTCACGCACACACACACACATGGCAATATATATATGTACACATATATACTACTTACTTGCTGCTCTAGACCTGTGCCATTTTGGTTAATAGCATTACTCATATTATCCTCCAATCAGTTGCTTTTTTTTTCTTGCTTTCCGTTTAGGAAAATTTTTCTATTGTTATGCTTTTTTGCTTTTTTCTGGTGCACACTTGCAATTTGCGACGACAAAAAAATGTATATGATCGTTGTGTTTGTGTTGCACTTGGTGTCTATACGTTTTTCCTTAGATTTTCCGACTTCTTACGTTCCACAAGCTACTGCGTTCTCGTCTTTATAATTTTATTGAACGAGATCTGGGTTGTGAACTTAATATTTTCTCGCACAGAATTCTTTGTTCGCATGAAACTGAGACGTTTCGGCTTTAGATTGCTGTGCCACGACAATTACAAGCGCTTTGCAATCGTGCTGGCTTGAAAAATGCTGATTTTTGACGATTTTCTTCGCTGTCAGACGCGTGTCTAATCACGGAGTTGCCGGAAGGCAGAATGAAATCCCAGGAGGTTTTGAGGCTAACGCTTGATGAATGCCTTACAACAGACTGGTCTCACTAAACTGCTAAGAAATTTGAATTTCGTTTAAAATTTTCTAACAATTATAAAGAAAAAAAATTTAATTTTTGCGCTGTCCACAAAAGTAATTTGAGGAAATTGTTTTTTTTTCAATTCACTTATGGAGGCCCTCCGTTGTTAACATCAAGTTTACAGAATAGCCAGAAAGGCGTTGCCAGATTCGCCAAGCGGGGACCAATTTTTCGAGCGGTATCGATGGGCAGCACTTAGTTCTTATCGGCGCTTTGTTTGAATTCGTTGTTACAATTACTAAGCGTTTATTGCCTTCACGTTGCACTCATTCGATTTATCCATTCAAACGTTTTGCTTTAAGTTTAAAGTTGTTGTGCTTTCGCTTTTAATGCGTCGATCTCTCCTAGGCTGTTTTTTTTCTGATGGAAGAGAAATGTAACTGGGCAGTTGAAATTTTGTATCAATTTGGCCAAAAATTTTTGTGTCTATGTGAGGTGTTGTATTTTTTCAAGCGTCAGTCGCTTTTCCAGATTTTCTATTTGAAGCAAAAGTCAAAGGAAATTCGCATGGAATTAGTTTTTAATCGAAATAATACACACAATTGTAACGTCGAACTCTTGTATATTTTCATGCAATTTCCTGCTTATTTGCAATATACATATCGGGGGTGTACATTTTTATATAGAATAAATGCTTTTGGTATTGGCCTTAGCTTGAGATTAAATAGTGGGAACAATAAATATGGCTACATAGTATCGTATATATGTATTTAGTTAGGGTGTTCTAGCCCTTGAGCAGGCAGCGTGAATAAAACTCCCTGTCGATGGCGTCGTTTGGAATGTACGTGCTCCACTTAAAGATCAAGGCCAAGGTATCCCTAGCAGCCATGTGGTCCAGTGCTATGTTTAGGAAACAGTTCCAGTTGTAGAAAAAGTGTCGTCCCAACTGCTCGCTCTCCACGCCCGAAACGCATTCGCAGTTGGCACACACCAGTTGCCCACGTTGGAGGTCCACAAACTGCTCGAAACAGCGCGCCCAGGCTCCAACGTTGAATTGCTTTCCCACATCCACCAGTAGTTCCGGCAAGCCGTAGTTCAGCACGATGGCGACTACTTTCGGGAGATTCTGTTCGGCTAGATAGAACTTGGCCAAGACATCCAGAAGAGCAGGAACTGCATGTACCACATCGAAGCACTTCAGCTGATCGCCTCGGGACCAATAATACCGGAGAAGCACAGCTCCCAGATCGTGGTATTGGCACGAAGTATCAAACCGCAGGGGGAAGGAGCAATGCTCACAGCGCACAATTTCCGTATTTTCTGAAGAATTCAGCAGAATAAAACCGGAAGCTATGTAATCCCTTGTCGCGTCATCCACCTCCCATATTAAATCCTGGTCAAGGTAATCGAAGTACATCTCGTAGCAGTTTCGTCTTGCCTGGTCTATCGTGTCCCCATGGTCGACCATCACTTTCGCCAGTTTCTCGAGGAGATTAACCAATTCAGCAGCTGCATATTCATCGAACACTGCCCTGTAGCGCTCGACGCATTGCCTCCGACTAAATCTAGAACCCTTAGCGATCAAGTAGAGATTGTAAAGTGTCTTCTCCTCGGGAGTTATGTGCGGGGCCTGAGGTAAAGGTTTCTTGCATCGGCGAACAATCTCGTCGTCCTGGTCCTCGGATCCAGATTCGTATCTGGCCTTGATGTCCTTAAAAGGAAGCGAACGCTCACTGGCTGGAATCAGTTCTCTCACCAGCTGCTGCTGCTCTTCAGCGAAAATGTTAAACTTGTACTTGATAATGTTCTTTCCAAACTTCCCGGTCACGGTGAGTAAAGCGTCTTTGAAATGCCCGGACTTCGGAGGTTGCTTCAGGTTATCACAAAAGGCATTCTCTAAAACGTAGACACCTTTCGGCGCTGGTTTGGTAGAGCTTCCTCCTCCGCTTAGGCTGCGCTCTGTGGTGGCAGAACTTCCTCCCGAACTGTGGGTATCCAAGGCGCTTCCAGTGCACTGGGATATCGAGTCGAATATCACGGATATATCGTTCAGCAATTCGTATTCCTGTCGCTCGATTAAAAGCTGCTTCAACGGATTCAGCTGCTTCAGCTCATAGTCTTCTCGTGCTTTGTCCGCAAAATACCGGACATTCTGACGTAGAAGGTTTGCGCAGGGAAGCAGCTTGGATTGTTGCATCATGGAAATGGCATGCGACTGAAGAGTCTGCAGTTGGACGCTATACAGAGCTCCCGACTGTGTAAACACGAAAATCTCCGACCCCGAGGGGCGGCAGTCAGCGATCCTCTCGAACTGATTGCACCACAAAACCACCGCCGACCGACGCACATCAAACACATACAATCCCAGCTCCGTGAAGGCCAAAAGAAAGTCCTCGCCTAGTCTTTGGACTTTGGAAAATTGAAGATTCTGCGGTTGATGGTCCAGCAGCTCGGCATTGGAGTCCTGTTCGTCGTTTCCGTTTCCGGGTCGCTGAATCCTTGCAGGCGCGGTAGCCAAGGCAGCCTTGAATTGGTGCGTCTGAATTACCTCTCCTTCGAAGTCCACCTCCCACACGCGACTGCCAGGACGGGCGCAATAGATTCGAGATGGCTGAATCGCTTCCTGCGGCGATACGAAGAAACAAGCTCCAAAGGCACCGTCTCTTGGCCGGTTTCCAATCTGTAGAGTCAACAACATACATGGAGTAACATTTGGATGAGTCAGGGCTTAGTCACACTCACCTGTTTGTATTCTTCGTATTCGGTGTTGCAGAGAATGCACTTGGTGCAGTTGGAGACAAGAAGAAGGGACTCGAAGTCGTCGATCTGGACAATGGGCGAGTCCAGATAGAGAAGCGGGTGCACAGTCATGTTAAATAGCAAACTGTGGCCAATGAACGAGGAGAGCAGCACCAGGCTGACCTGTCCCCGCGAGTCTCCATAGTAGAACTGCTTCTCGTCCTGGGTCCAGTGGATGCAGCTGACCTGCACCGACTGATCCAGATGCGTGAATATCACCTGGGGCGTTGCCTGGGCGGAGAGATTAACCGCATACACACAGATCAATGATCGCTGCGTTGCAAATGCTACATATTTGCTGTTTGCCGAAATACTGAGGCTAGTGATAGCACCATGTTTATTCGGAATCAGCAGCAGAAACTTTCCGTTGCGATTGAACAGGTACAAAGATCCGGATGAAGCTCCAAAAATGATATAGCAGTCGGATATGTCGAAGCACGTGTACTGTGAAGAGGAAGGTAGTGGGTGGGTGGCTTATTAGCTATCAAATTTCAGGTGGGATGGAAATTGAGATAAATCACCTTGATGCGATTGTGATGCTTCAGCGGCAGAGACAGCGACAGGGAAAAATCAATAAAGTTTGTCAGACAATAGGCGTCGGCCATCTTGATGATTTCCTGGACTTTTTAGTGTATTTCTATCACATTTCTCGTTTTTATGACCCTCGCTAATCCCCCATTAACTTTAAAACATATCTCGGCACTTTTTTCGTTTATTTTTTCTTCTGTTTTTCTTATCACGTAGCGCTTAGAAGCCGTGTGTATAAAAGCCTTTCCTTTTCGATGGGATAACTCCACCGGTGGAAGGGTATTGCTTCGCCTTTATTTCTGGTTTATTTCCTTCAAGAATATACGTAATGTTTGTTTTTATATATTTTTTTAAACGTAAAACAGTCCTCAATGAAAGTTAAACTCTGAGATAGAAGTCAGCTGGACAAACAAAATGCAGCGCCACCAGTGGTGCATTTTTGAACCATACGACGCAAACTGAATGGATGGCAATGCCTCAGCTGCGGTCACACTGCACTAATGCATAAACAAAAGACAGAGATACCCGCCACAGAAAATTAGAATCGCTTCAATTGCCTACTAGCTTCTTTGTTGCTAGTTGATCGCGGACTTTCTCTCAACTACTAAGCGTAATTACCTGCTATCGGGCGCGTGCAGCTTGCAACGTACTTTAGAAACCAGTTTTTGCATTTTCGTGTGACTCATCAGATTTCACAGGCTCAAGGAAACAATTTCACAATGGCCGCCACCAACAATAGCGAATCCGCCGATCAGGTCGGCATACGAGTGGAAAATTCGGAAAATGCCAACGACAACACAGACGCCTTGGGTTCCGTTGGCGGAACAGGTAGCAGTTCTTCGTCTGCGCCCTCGCACTACAACCCCTATGGAAGCGGAGCCATCGGACAACTGGCCAATGGCTACAGTTCGCCCTCGTCCAGTTATCGCAAAAATGTGGCCAAAATGGTTACGGAGCGCCATGCAGCCGAGTACAACATGCGCCACAAGGATCGCGGCATGGCATTGATCTTCAATCATGAGCACTTCGATGTTCCCACCTTAAAATCTCGGGCTGGAACCAATGTGGACTGCGAGAATCTTACCCGAGTACTGAAGCAGCTGGACTTTGCAGTGACAGTATACAAGGACTGTAGGTTCAACGACATCAGGAAAGCGATCGAAGCCGCAGCCTCTCAAAATCACTCCAACAGCGATTGCATCCTGGTGGCCATTCTTTCCCATGGAGAGATGGGCTACATTTATGCCAAGGATGTACAGTACAAACTGGAGAGTATCTGGAGCTTCTTCACTGCCAATCACTGCCCATCTTTGGCCGGAAAGCCAAAGTTATTCTTCATCCAGGCCTGTCAGGGAGATCGGTTAGATGGAGGCATGACGATGCAGCGGTCGCTTACCGAAACCGATGGGGATTCTTCAATGAGCTACAAGATACCCGTGCACGCAGACTTTTTGATTGCCTATTCCACTGTTCCTGGATTCTATTCATGGCGGAATACCACCCGAGGCAGCTGGTTCATGCAGAGTCTGTGCGCAGAGCTGGCTGCGAACGGCAAGCGGCTGGACATCCTAACGCTTCTAACGTTCGTGTGCCAACGAGTGGCCGTCGACTTTGAGTCTTGCACTCCGGACACGCCCGAGATGCACCAGCAGAAGCAAATTCCCTGTATTACCACCATGCTGACACGTATTCTGCGCTTCAGCGACAAGCAAATGGTGCCGGCCGGACGGGTCTGATGGCTGCTGGTTCGGTTCATGAGCTGGTTGAGGCGAGGTGTGTGATAAAAGTGGGAAACGGGTAGGAGCCGGGCGATAAACCAAGTCGCAATTGAGAAACTCTGTAGCTTTAGGTGCATATTTTCATAAAACGATACCCTCTTTACCCCTGCCAATGCCAATGTTCACCCGTTTGGTTGCAAATTCTGTATTTTTTTGCATTCATTATTGTCGTTTATCGAGTAAGATATTTATAAGGACAACAATGACCAATTTTTTCCCAGACGTAGTATTACAACTAAAGAACAAATGTATATTTTTTGTAATTTCTTGGCCATTTAAGGAAGATCTCAAATTCAAAATTCAATGCCTCACGCCACGCCTAATCTATACCCAGCAATTTTAGGTTTTTCCCCCTTTTATGTTTATACACTTAAAAATATTTATCTAAACCGCATGTGTCATGATCGTCCAACAAAAAGTAAAAATATACACACGAATATATTAAGAATGTAGTGGACATTTTATAACTACAAATACTGCTTTGTACCATTTATGTATACTCTTTTATAATACCCATTAGCAAATGTTTTCCTTTCAAAATGACCGCTAATAAAATTAATCTAAAACAATGGAAAATCAATGACCATTGGGTGTTGACCTCGCCGCCATTTTTGGTCCAGGCCGCAATTATTTTTGGACGTCAAGTCGAGCGAGATTTTCTGAAAAGGCATCGGGAGAAAAAAACAGACATCACGTCACTAGCTGACCCTGTCGTATTACCTCTTAAAGGTATGATTAGCAATTTCTGGAAAAAATAGAGGAAATTAAAAGACGGAAGACACCTTTTTAGAGCTTACAATCACTTTATTCTTAAAGCTGGACACAACGAAAATAAATTCCAATTCAGAATTCACTTAAAGCACTACAACGGGATGCTCGCGAGGAGTAGAATATTAAAGCCTGGAGGCTAGATAAATGCACATATCTGATAATTTCAACTAATAAAAAGAACGTAGAATTTGTGCTCACAATTTGTTGGCAGAGAACCTAGACGTGTCCTCCCTCCTTCAACTTGGCCACGAGAGCATCCACGTCAGCGACGGTGGCACCTGCCTTGCGCACTGGCGGATCCTCCACGGAGACAACTTCGATGCGGGGTGTGGTATCAACTCCCAGATCCTTGGCGGTGACCTTCTTCAGGGGCTTCTTCTTGGCCTTCATGATGTTTGGCAGCGTGGCATATCGGGGCGTGTTCAAGCGCAGATCAGCGCTCAGAACTGCCGGGGTTTTGGTCTTGATGGTCTCCAAGCCTCCGTCAATCTCACGGGTGATCGTCAAGCCGGCGTCCGTCTTCTCGATCTTGTTGCAGAAGGTGCCCTGTGGCCAGTCGAGAACAGCAGCGGTCATCTGAGCCGTCTGGTTAGCATCGTCGTCGATGGCCTGCTTTCCAAGGATCACCAGGTCGGCCTTCTCATCGAGAGCCAGCTTGGCGAGAATCTTCGACACGTGGATTGGCTGCAGAAGGTCGTACTCGGCGGCAGGCACCTCTACGTGGACTCCACGGTCGGCACCCATGGCCAGGGCCGTGCGAATCACTTCCTGAGACTGAGCCGGGCCCACGGAGACGGCGATAACCTCAGTGGCCAGCTTCTTCTCCTTGAGCTTCACAGCCTCCTCCACGGCAATCTCGTCGAAGGGATTCATCGAGTGCTTAACGCCCTGGGTGACCACACCGGTCTTATCGGGCTTGACGCGCACCTGGCGAAGAACAAAACAAATTCAATAACTTTAATTATCCCTAATTAAAACGATTACGCAAAACGCAACAAGTGATAAAAAAAAAATAAGAATATTAGCAACAAGTGATTTTTTTTACTCACCTTGACGGCGTAGTCAATCACACGCTTAACGCCAACCAAAACACGCGCCATTTTCTGCAAAAAATATAGAAATTTTTATTAAATTCTATAAATTTTAAGGGTATTTTTCGCTTAAGTTACCTCTTTAAGATGGAAACGAACTAATGTGTGGAGGCGGGGGATCGGGTGGTCCAAAGGTCTTCCTGGTTGTCTGGCAACACCTTTTCAGGGCTGCCACTTTAGCTTCCACTTCTGATTTTTTTTACTTTTTAAAATTTAATTATATTATAAGCATGTTATAAGTTATTTTTTATTAAAAAATTGTCTGATAATTTTTTTCAGTAAATATAAAATGCATAAATCTCATACATTTATTAATTTTCAAGTTCTTAATTTTTAGCTCTTTTTTGTTCCCAACACTGCCGGAAAAGTACCGCGGACCGCGAACAGCTGTTTACTTTCACAACTTTCTGCTTTCCACAAAACACATCATTCCTTGGAGATCCCTAAATTCCAATACTAACCAAGATGACGGCAACAGCTCCCATTATTATGCGGCTTATGGCTTCCTCCATCAGTACGGCCAAGCGGGCCGGTGTGATCATACGCGATGTACTCAAAAAAGGTGACCTAGGAATTGTGGACAAAGGCCAGAACGATCCCCAGACGGAGGCTGATCGCTCCGCTCAACGCTGCATCATTGCCTCGTTGACCAAGAAATTTCCTACCGTGAAGATCATCGGGGAGGAAGGAGGATCCGATTTAAATGTGTGCGACGATTGGCTGGTAAACGAACAAGATGAATCCTTCCTGCAGAACACTTGTCCGGCAGAGTGGCAGGATGCCAAGCCTGAGGATTTTGTTATTTGGGTGGATCCATTGGACGGCACCGCGGAATACACACAAGGTGGGTTAAAATAAAGGTTTTTCTTAGTTAAACTTTTAAACTATAAAACTGCATCCTGCAGGATTCGTTGAACATGTTACGGTGCTGATTGGAATTGCTGTCAAAGATGCTGCGGTGGGCGGAATTATTCATCAGCCCTTCTACAGGCAGTCCGATGGCGAGCTGGGCCGCACCATTTGGGGGCTAAAAGGCATGGGAACTGGGGGATTTACTCCTAAGGCAGCGCCAGCCGGAAAGTTCATCATCACTACCACTCGGTCACATTCCAATGCATTGCACCAGCAAGCTTTAAACGCCTTTCCATCCGCTGAGGTGATAAAAGTCGGGGGCGCCGGCTTCAAAGTTTTGCAATTGCTCGAAGGAAAAGCGCATGCGTACGTATTCGCCACGCCAGGATGCAAGAAATGGGACACCTGCGCACCCGAAGCCGTGCTCGAAGCCCAGGGTGGAACCCTGACCAACATCAATGGGGAGCACTACGCCTACAATGCGGATGTGGAGCACGTGAATAAAAAGGGCGTATTGGCCAGCCTGGGGCAGAATCATTCTGAACTGGTAGAGAAGATTCCCGCGGAGGTGCGTCAAGCAGTGGGAACCAAATAAGTGAGTGAGATCGCCAAAAGTCTCAGCACTTTATTAGTTTATTTTCCACTTAAAGTAACTATATAAATTAAGCGATAACAGAAAATTAGACAATTTGAGAATTTACAAAACTTGCAAGATTATTAAAAGTTTAAATATTAAATTAAAACGTTATTTTTCAAAACTTCCGCTGTTTAAGCTCTGCGAGCTACTGTTGGCCGCCGAGTTGTTAAGGTAGCGATTCCTCTTGGCCTTGGCCATTTTGCAAGAGTTGACAGAGGCTGCGAAGCGAAGCGACTTCACAGATTCCTGGAAACAGTCCTGGAACGGCGACACGTTGATGAACATAAGGGTCTTAGAGTTACCGCCCAGCGAGGGCATAAGCAGATGAGTCAACTTTGAGTTCCGATACGGAATGTGGTCCTGCTTTTGCAGCAGCGCCAGGATTACGTTGGTCAATTCGGAAAGCGAGCGATTAATGTTTTTCGTTTCGGTCATACGGGTACTGGTCTTGGGGGATTCGGAACCAGCCAAATCAACCAGGTTAATGGAACCTACCGAGATCTCTTGCTTCTCGGCATGGCGTCCAATTAACGCAAGTTTTGTAACAGCATGGGAACGAGACGATCGCTCGTTTCCCACCGTCGAGGCTGTTGCTCTGTTCATCTTGGCCGTGTGCATTAGCTGTCGCAGATGATTGGGATCGTGAACGGTCTCTTCCGTTATATTGGACACGTATATGTCGTTCTTGCTATTCTTAACCATTCGGATCTCCATATCCTTTTGCTCGTTGCTCAGTAAATCGTACAACACCTCATTGTAGATCTCCAAGAAGGTGGCCTTGATCTCATACTCCCAACCCAGGTTTCGATAGCTTCGAATAGAGTCGAAAAGAAGATCGACTGTGCGTGGAATGACGCCCACACTTTCTGGCACACCATCCATCGTGTAGGTTTTCCCACTGCCCGTCTGTCCGTACGCAAATATGCAAATATTGTACCCATCCAGCGCTGACTGAATTAGAGGCGATACCATTTCGAAGATGTCTGTTTGGCTCGAGTTGGGATGAAAGACCTGATCAAAGGAGAATATTTGCTGGCCCATCTTGTTCTTTGCTTGACCATCGATACTTTGCAGTTCCACGGTGGCCTCGTCATGGTAAGTCCAGGTGCAGCACATACGGTTCTCCTCACACTCCAGCGGTGGCCTTATTCGACAGAATACCCGTATATTGCCTCGTAGATCCATAACGGTGTTGTGCAACTCCTTGCGCTCCATATTCGACTGAAAGAGTTGCTCCTTGCATGTTTCCAGTTCGGAGGCCTGCTGTTCGTTACTCCGAAGTAATTCCTCCGTACGCTGACGCAGATGCACAACTTCTTCGCTCAGGGCAGCATGCTCGGTTTTGATTTTCTGTCAAAAGATATCAACAATAACCAACCATTTTTGAAAATTTCATTTTTCTATTTACCTCGTGTATTGCCTGCAGCTCTGAAAGCTCCTCTTTTGTTCTTCCCAATGTTGTGGTTATTGTCTCTATGTTCTTGGTATGCTGCTTCACTTGCCTTTGTAAACACTCGTTATCTGTCTGCATATTTTTCAGCGTAGACTCAGTCTCGATAAGCTTATTCTGCGTCTCTTCTAGCTGACTGGGAAGGGATTCCAGTTCACCCATGTCCTCAATTTGTTTTTCGTACTTGGTCTTAAGGGTTTTGTGCTTTTCCAGCAAATCATGGAAGCGAGTTTTGAAGTCATACGATGGTATACGTTTTGGAGCTGCTCCTGCAGCTCCTCCTCCTGCAGTAGTGGATCCTGCAGGTTTACTTTTGGTTGCCGTAGTTGCGGGTGGGGCAGCTGGTCGAGATACGGGACGCGCCGCAACCGGTCTTTTTGCTGTTGTAGATGTGGACTTGGCGGTCGTGGTGAGGGGTGGGCGAACTGGTCGCTGGGAAGGAGCCGCTGTAGTTCCGGTGCCCATCCGCGCCACTTTGCTGGGAATACTTGGAAGCGTCGGAGCAGCTGCCGTACGTTTGATGTTTTGCCGCATCTCGTTGATGTCACAGGCTGAACGGCTGCGTCGCAGCTTGGCACGGTTGGCCATTTTTACGGGTTCGGGAGAGGCAGCACGAGCTGGAAAAACAATTGTTGCTCTGACGGAATTTTTGAATATGTTTGTGGACTTACCGCCTCGACGTTGGAGTACTTGAGGCAAATTGTTAAGATCTCTCGTAAGCGGTGGGAGCACATTTCCGCAATATGTTTGGTTGGCGTTGAAGACGCTGGTTCCTCCAGTTGCTCCGGTGGCTCCTCCTGCTCGAATGCGATCTGTGGGTAGCACAGTTTTCACCGGCATGGGCCGTTTAATGCCACTTGGTTTAGGCAAACGAGATTCCATTCGGTCGAGGTATCTTTTACACTTAAACAGATACTAAAGGATATACTCTTCAAACTCCAAATTCAAATATTGATATTGATACTCGAGAAGCGACGCTGACGCCAATTCGCGCCGTTATTTTCGATTGCAGGGACGCACGGATTCAGTGGGACCGTACTACAGAAATGAAAAATACCTTCACATCAAACGTAATCAAAAAAATATGTTCCATTTCATATTCTTTCTCATTTCTTTCTTATAGAATTAACAAAAATTAAAATTAAGAACTAAATTAGGAAAAATATATACCAATATATTCTTTTATTTACATTCATCTATGAATTATATTTTTATATCATAATATTGGCCTAATCAAGCACTTTGTTTTTTAATTCTTTGATGTAAAAAAATTAGTTTTAACAAAAAAATCAAATTATTAAAGTATAATTTACTTAACTAATTTAATTGATCAACAATTTAGACCGTGATAAAACGTTGTCACGAAAATCAACAATACACTTGCTCACCGCTAACCCAAATGCAACTCTGGGCCGACTCGGATTTGGAGGAAATCTTCCCCTGCAAGTGGAAAGTGGAGCTAACCAGGGGAGAATAAGGATAATAAAATAGGCACACTGTGAGCGAATCTCCTCGAGATGGCGGAGCTCAAGGAGCTGGGCATGTTCGAGCTGCGACCGCTGATCACCAATCTCAGCTGCAAGCTGTCTGCCGTTACAGCAGGCCTAGATGAGAAGCAGTTCCTTTGCCTGGTGAGCGAGGAAAATGAGATCCTGCTGCGCTACATCAGTGCCTCTGGACAGGAGGTGGTCAAGATGATATCATGGTTCCGAAATCGTGTAATCCACGCAGTCTGTTTTGATCCTGCGGGCATCTGGCTGCTGGTACTATGTAAGTGGGTGGTTTCTGGGGGGAGGTAGTTGCGGTGCGGTGCGGGTGGCGAAGCCTAAAATTACTTTGCTGCCGAGTGTGTGTGCGTGCATGTGTGGTTATTGATTTTCTGTTGCGTATTTTGTTTTGATTTAATGGTCACCCATCACGATTGATTTTCATGTTACTGAACCCCAATGAACCGTGTTTCCATCAACAGGTTTCGACAATACGCTGCACATCGTTCCCGCCCTGGCTCTAGTAGACAAGACACATAGCCTGGCCGCCTGCTCGTTATACAGCACTAACCAGGTGACATCCTACATTATCCCCTTCGTGGGGCCCCATGAGTGCCCCAACTCAAAGAAGTGCCCTAATCACTCCACCGGTCAGTCGGAGCCTCAAGTGGATGTTGTTCAGCAGCTAGCGGAAAACCTGGAGCAAGTCAATCTGGAGGACGAACCCCTAGGTCATGATCTCCCAGAACACATGCTGGTTAAAAACCAAGGGATTGATCTCGATGCATCTGCGGGGACTCAGCAGCCCCAAAAACCGCCGCCCGTCCAACCGTTTGATGCCACTGGCAATAGTCAAGTTATGGCCACCTCCTTCATGGCGTCCACGACCTGTCCCTATCCATTGTCAGTGGTGTGGTGGAAGACCAATCACGGTCTAAATAGGGCCATTATTGGGTATTCAGATGGCTCTATCTGCTTCGTTGGTCTCAGTCCAAACTGCCCCATGATCGCGAGCACTGCTATCGAAAACGGATCTGTGATGCGGTTGGTTATCTGCAAGGACAAGGCCTATGATGGCGTTATGTTGCTGGTAAGATAAATTCATTAACTCGGTAACTGCATACCCTAAATATTGCCTCCCTTATCAGATAACTTCTTCGCTAAAACAGCAGTACAAGCTGCTGCTTGAGCAGAGGGCCATCCTGTATGTCTATCCAGGTGATAGCTCACCTACGACCCGTGAGGGAGCATGGCAAATCGTAATGCCCGTACAAGGAAGGCAGCAAGGTGTGGGGACGGGCGCTCGGCAAAGCAACAGCTCTGACCCGGCCTCAGATAACAGCCAACTGGAAGAGGATGTATTTGCACCACCGTCCAACGAAGATGCGGCACCTAGCGGCCAATTGGCACCAGCTGCAGACACTTCCGCCATCCCGGCTCCCACAGAGTCCGGAAGTGCAGAAGCACCTCCCCCAGCACCACCGTCGTACAGTGAAGCAGTGGCGCGGCAAACTGTGGAGCAGCAGGGTGGCGTTCGTTTCCAGCAGCAGTCGCTCGCAGCGGGCGCTAACAACATGGATGGCATCTTGCCGGCCACGAGAGCACGGCTGGCCTCGCTCAAGAGTCTGGGCTCTAAAAAGCTGCAGGCCATCAAGATGCGACTCTCCGACCAGCGTCAAAAGTTTGATGAATGTGCGTAAGCAAACAGTAATATTAATTTTCTGACCTGTTTCGAGCTTTCGGTTTTCAATTGGCAAGAACCCTATTATAAGTTTCGATGTAGTCCTGATTTGGGTTCGGAACAGGCCATTATTTATTTTCTCCTTCAAAAAAGTATTACTTGGCTAACTTGTGTTTATCTTTGTTAATTTTTGTGCGCCATTTTGTTGTGAATATTATGTATTTTTTATTGGTGTGCAGTTTTGAGAGAACTGTTGCATCTATTGAAGCGTCGCTTGCGTGGTGAGTTCGCCCAACTCTCACACTCGACAGACTCTGCCATAAAATTAACTAGTTAGCTTTGGACCTTTTAAAACAGATGCATTAATTACTCGTCTTACTGTTTTAGTTATGCCCGACTCATCGATGGCCAGCTTTGCGATAATGGACTCGCCGTCAGTGACTCCTGAGCCACTGGGCACCACGACTGGCTCGTTTTATACCATCCAAAACCTGCGCAGCACCTTTTTGCTGAGTGCTTTGCACAGCAATAGCCACAGTTTGACCGTGCATAGCATAGACATCAGTTTGAAGCCGCTGTTCGTGTACAAGATACCCAAGCACACCCAAGAAATACTCATAAGCTCCAACATACTCTACGGCATACACTATGTGGACCTTCACTGCAGAAGCGATTCGGCCATCTCCACGGCAGCCTCATCGTTAGAAGAGCCGCTGGTGGTTAATACCGATAAGGAGAATCGGGACGCGGACACCGAGAAAATAGAGCAGGCGGAGGTAAGTGGTCAGAAGAGCGACACCACTAGTGCCACCACTACCACTACCTCGAGCCTGGAACAAAGTGAAATGCCTAGTAACGCAATCAACGCCGTGAGCGTAATAAGCAGCGCCATGGCTTCTTTGCACACCTCTGACGAAGACGTGAGTATTTAGAGCAATGAGTATCCTGGAGGTCAACTAATCTTTGTTTTATTTCTAGCGCTTTAACTCCCTGGCACAGATTGGACTCTTCCGCTTCGAACAGGAAACTGTGCTGCACTTGTATCAGATGGCGCAATATCGTAATCCTGCCAGCCAGCCAGAGACTTTGACCAAAGAAGAGAAGGCCAAGGCTTTCGAAATCAAGGACATTCATACGCCTATGGATTATATTCAGTTTTACGATTCGGCCGATGTGAGCAGTGAGTTTTCGTTGCGGCAGATGGAAATAATGCAATCGGAGTTTCCGAAAATCAACTACGATCCCAGCTATGTGATTACCAACAAGAATGTATATGCCATTCAGCTCAAGTAAGTTGAATTTCCTATAAAAACTCTAGAATTGAGGTAGTAATTACTGACAAAACATGTATCTTGCAGAAAGGAGCCGTTTGAATTGTTCCTCGATGCCGCCTTGCAGAGCGAGTGGAACCAGTGTCGGGATTTCTGCAACACCTTCGACCTTTCATTTGAACAGTGCATCGAGTTTGCCGGCGACTACCTTTTGAGGCGCAAAAAGATCACCCAGGCTCTGCTCACATACAACGTGGCAAGGGTCAAGCCCATCCGGACAGCACTGAAGTTAGCCATGTACGGACACACATATGCTCTAATGCAGTTGAGTGCAATGGCGCTAAAGTCCACATATCTTCTGCGATCGCGGTATTTGGGGCACCCCATGCTTAAGGGTTGTTTGGATGACATCACCTATCGACACTCTGAAGATGTGCGGGTTATCCTGCCAGAGAAACCACCGGAGGAGGATGTGAACAGCGGGGCCTTTTGTAGTGATTATAAATATGGAGTCGACGAGTCAATTAGCGCCCTCCAAATGTCGCCCTCTTCTCAGTTCCATTTGGCCAACTTGCTGCTCATAACGCTGGCCGAGAAGGCTGTCAACGACAAGAACTACATACCGCTTTGGTTAGTTATTTCAAAGATCCTTCTTCTGCAGCTGTATTCAATTTAATTCTCTTTTTTCAGGAACTTCCTCGTGACTAATAGCAAATATCACACTAACATGACGAGTATAGTTCTCTGCCAGAGCGGTCTGTTTTCCTCCGCCGTCATATTAGCTAAAATACGTGGCGTCTGTCTGGATACCTTTAATGCCCTGATCAGTGTCGTTGCCCAGGAGTTTGGGTGGTATAACGAGCTGAACGTTTGCCTGTATAATCTTAGCGAGAACATATTTATGGAGACAATAACATTTCTGCCGCACGTATCCATGGACTACTTTGCTTTCATTCAGGAGAAGCTCGATCATATAAGGCCCTGTGTGCTGCAGGTGATAAAATAACACTTTTTATAATATACATATTTGTCTAAATTAAAATACATTTGTATTTCAGCGATTGGCGAAGCAATTGAACCCATTTTCAGCTGCCCTTCGCCCAGTTGTCTCACACAACAGCGATTGTGCGATCTCCAACGATAATAATCCCCAATTGTTTGAGTTCTGCAAGAGTCTTATCGAAACCTATTTGGCAGTTCTCATACACATGGAATCCCAGCGAGTCAAACATGATTCCATAGAGAATTCCTTATCGAATTTCCGCATCAACTATGAAGACAATCAGGCAAGACTTATTCATTTTCGCAGTCGTCTTAATGTTTCATTCGATCGAATATTCCTTTAGTTTGCCATCGAATCATCACGCTTCAAACCGATCTCAGCTGGTTGTGCCTACTGCTCTTGTGTGGTGGATGGCACCGCATATTTTTGGGGCTCCAGTGGCATTCCTAGCTATTATAGTGCTCAAAAGTCCACAGGTTTGTGTTTTGTAAATATATTTTGTTTAAAAGTAAAAATGATATCTTTTTAGAGCCCCCAGAACCAGCTCATGCTGTAAAGAGCTTGGATCTTCTCTCCCAGCTTAATTTGCAGGTGCATGCCATCAAGTGTGGACGACAGCATACACTTATACTAACTAATAATGGCGTAAGTGTTTATTTACTATTTTCTTGCTTTTCTTTATTAAATATGGCTCTTCTTGTTTTCTAGTTGTACTCTGTGGGAAATAACAATCTCTGCCAGCTAGGAATTGGCCGCCACATGCAGATGGCATTGCAACCAATGCTTGTGTCGGCATTAGATGGGATGAACATCACCTTGCTAGAGGCTGGCCAATATCATAACGCAGCCGTAGCAGATGGAAAGCTTTATATGTGGGGGTGAGAAATTCATTAGTGACAAATCAGACACAATTATTTCAATGTCTCTTCATTACCTAGATGGGGCGTTTATGGGCAGCTGGGACAGGGATCCTGTGAGAACATAGCTACACCACAACTAGTCAGTTTTTTCAAATATAAGGTAAGATATAACCAGTGAATTTAAGAACGTCTCTAATATTGTTCCGTTTTCTAGAAAATTTTACAAATATCTCTTGGCCATGCACACACCCTGGTTCTGTGCGGGGCTTCAAGTAGCTACAAGGAGGCTAACAATTGCTGCACTGAGCTCTTCGTATTCGGATCCAATCATTTTGGGCAGCTGGGCACTGGCAATAGTGATCAGGGCGGCGACACCAAGACGAATCTGCCAGTGCGCCTGGAGACGGGCGGCTGCAGCCTAAGACTGATACACACCAAATTTTTTACCAATGTATGTATAGATTTCATTAATAACACCATTCACTTATTACTTACTTTTCTTATTACAGTTAGCTGTAGATGATCAGGAGCGTCTGTACACTTGGGGGAGCTCGCCACAGGCCTTGCGCCTGGCCAATCAGATCAAACGAAGGGCAAACGCCAAGCAAAAACTGGAGGAGAACCAGCAGAAGGAGTTGCTGAGCAAGCAGCTGGAAGCTACACTGGTGCCGGCGCCAAACAATACCACTACAAGTACACTCGTAGAGCCCACCACATCCTACGCTGCCGTGGTTGCAGGCGCCACTCCGAAAGCTCCGAGTGAGACCAAAGATAGCCAGGAAGACGAAAACGAAGCTGCGCCGTCTGATGCTACCGAATCCATCGCCCCGGCGTGTAAGCGAGATGCGGAGATACTTAACCCGATCCCACCACCAGTATCTGCAGGGCCGACAGCTCCGACGGCGCCTACTGCCCCTGCTCCAGCCACCGAGCCAGATCCATCGGAGCATCTGACACCGCATCTGGTGGATACTAGTGAGGTGGCTGGTCAAATTCTCCAGGTACTTACATTAGTTTACTTTGAAGTATCAATTATTTGAAAAATTGCTTGTGTTTACAGATCTCTAGTGGCCTGTTCCACTTTGCTCTGATCTCGTCCACCTGCACGCTATACACGTGGGGAAAAAACTTGGAGCACCAGCTTGGCACTGAGGACAAGGATCGCCGGGCAGTGCTGAAACCATCCCCTATTGACAGCATTGAGAGTCCGATGTACGTCGACTGCGGAGCAGACTTTACGTTGGTAATGACCACCGATTATATAGTGCGGGCCTTCGGCGGCAACTCAAATGGTCAATGTGGCCGGGATTTGGGACCCAGTATAGAAAGAATGCGGCAGCGTGTGGTGTGTTTGCCCTCGACCAAGCGACTGATGCGTTTTGAGAGCCAATGTGTGGAAGCGCCGGTGGAGATTAATTTGCCGAGACCACGAATACGATTGGATCAGGACCCAGTTAGATATTTGAAGGTCATGCCACCATATCAGCCGCACTTTTTGCAGCCGGCAAATATTAGCTTTGATCAGCATTACTCTGTGGGATCACAGAACTACAAGAGCAGCACAGAACATGCAGCCACGGGTCAGGATTCTGATGACATGCTGAGCAGCCTAGAGAACTTGAGCCAGAACGATGCCAGCTTCTCATATAATGCCCCGTTGGCGGGTGATGCGAACAGCTCGCTAGACATGGACTACACGCCCGAGGAGCAGAGCTATGTGCCGCTGCCGGAACAGGTTGGCGCCGGCAGCGCCAAGGCTGCAGCACATGCGGAGCAGCTGCTGGGTCGAGACGACGACGATGCCAGCACATTTACAGCCAGCACTGAGGGTCTGGGTGAGTCATCGGTGCAGCAGCTAAGACACTACATACACTACTGCCTATACGCCTTTCATGGGTTATACAACCCCGACAAGATCGGCGAATGTGCCCGTCCTAACCGAAATGAGTATCGCATACGGATCTGTATGCTCAACTTTCGATTTGTGGAAGCCTTTCGGCTGTGCCTGCAAAGCTGCGATTCCGCTCAGCGCACCTTAAAGTTGTTTGAATACTTTAGCAAAGATACTGGTTATGTTCCGCTCAGAAGATGCGATCTGAAGCACCTTATCTATCACCTGTGTCTGCACTTCCTTGAGCGCAAATTTGATATGCTGGAGTGCGAGCGTTTCTTTATGGGCGATCTGGACTACTATCTGCTGGAGCTGGCCTACGTATTTTACTTTAACAACAACAACTCGACGCTGGAGCAGAATCTCAACCAGAAATTCAAGCAACTGATTGCCGCGGCAGACAGCAATCAGACGGCTCCGCTGACGGGACAGGTGCAGCAACCGCTGCAGGATACTGATATCATCTTCGATAGCTTTACGGTCAAGTTCAAGACGATCTTGTGCCAGCGTCTGCTCAGCTACTCGGACAGCGAGGCTAACAATTAGCTACCGTTTCCGGTTCCGGTCCTGTATCCCGTCTTCTTCCGTTCCACTCGCATCAGTTGAGGGTCGGGCTCTTCTTCGTCGACTTGTTTTTTGTGTTTTAAGTTTTCTATGTAAATTTTGGCCCAGGAACCGGGGAACATATACACACACCAACATCTCCCTTATCCCATTCATGTTTACGCGTAATTATATATATATCATACTTGTTGTTTGCGGTTATTTATACATCAAATGCTTTTTACAGCGCTGTTATTTAAACAAAATATTTAAGACAAACAAATTGTTTAATGAATCCAATTTTGTAACGCTTTGTTTGCCATTGGCTGCTTTTATTTGTTTACTCAATAAATTAAAAAACAAAAAAAATTGTAATAAAGTAATCGAAATCCAAAACTGTGCTCATCGAACAGATCAAATGGAGGCTGCAGGATATACACATATACCATACAAATTTATGTTTTTTTATTCGATATTCAGCTTGTGATTTGCAATTATTTAATAAAACCGGATAGAGTTAATATAAATCTACACGCATATATGATTAACAATAAAAAGATGTTTATACCATTATAAAAAGAGAGTCCATTTTAGAGCTTAAGCTTGATGTTGTCTGTGGTCCAACGTTTGCTTTGCAGCGACTTCAGTGCGTTCTCACAGTAGAACTGCTCCTCGGATCGGTCGGGTAGAGTATCCTTCAGCTGTTGCAGCTCCTGCTGCTGCTTTAGCCCTGCCATGGCATCAATCACAGCTTTGATGCACTTTACACGCTGCGCCAGCGCCAGTTTCTCCACACTATTGCCCATCTTGGAAAGGAACAACTGCAGCACTGTCGATGGAGCCTGCAATTCATACAGCCGTATCACAGCCAGCGCCAGGTCAAAGCTTATGTGGAACTGTTTGGACTTCAGTGGATGCCAGCTGGGCACTCGCTCGAAAATGCACTCCAGGTCTGCATAAGCCTGAGCCTGAGCTCTTTCGTTCAGGGCCGTCCACTCATACTGGGCTGGCGAGATTTGCTGATCAGAGGCGAACCGTTGCGGGGACAGGGGCTTGGACATGTCCTGCTCTTTCCAGTTGCTATTTGCTTGGCAACAGGCGTAGAGTACTTCGATGGGCGTTGGACTGCCGCCAAGTGTTTTTCTTAATCCGTTCTCCTTTTCCAAGAGCTTCTGCATGCTTAAAGCAGAATGGAAAATCTGCTCGTATAGGGGGATAATACCCACTCCCGCCGTGGCATAGGCATCTACCAAACGTTGCAGCTGATTTTTCTTGGTGTTTGAATCTTTACAGGCTAGGGCTGCCTCGAACTGTTTAAGGGCTGCCTCTTGGTGTCGACCGAAACGTTGCAATAAGTCTATGTGGCTGCTCAGATCTCCACATTCACGCAAGTAACTGAGGTACTGCTCTAAAGCTTTCGGCCGCTCCCGCAGGATGCCATGAAATTGTTGTGTATTTAGGGTCCTCTTAAGAAATAGAAGCACTGCTATCACCGCATGCCCACCTTGAGCCAGGACAGTGTCCAGCAATTGTTGTTTCTCGTGCAGGGATTTAAACATCTCCAGTGGCGCTGATTTACCTTGCAGAAGTTTCTGGGCAGTGGCCTCCAAATTGGGGCTATACAGAGTGCTTTGGAGCTGGCGGCGAAGCAATTTGAGCTCTTCTTCTGGTGAAACTCCTTTGGGCAGGACCCGGTCATCGAGCGCTTGTTCTTGTAGCACCAATTTTAAGGCTTCCTCGCTAAGCAAGGACTTAATCGAGAGATTCAGTGTGGCGCTGTTATCAAAACTGGCCTCCGAAATGGTATCGTCCGCAAGAATGCCATTGCTGACCAACTCCGTACTAAGATCCACTTCGTCCTCATCGTCGAAGCTGAATGCAGCTCTTGAAGACCGATTCCAATAACTCTCTGTGTCCAATTGGTAGTCCATTGTGTTCTTTAATTAATGCTTGGATTCCATAATCAGATTATGGAAAGCGTTTCTATATTAAACTAGAGTTTACAAAAAAAGATAGGATTGGTTATAAAAACAACCTGATGCTACCAATTTTATAATTTGCTTTGTTTTGGTCGGCCGTGAAGTGTGGCCGTTGCCCTTTTGCTGTTAAACGCCACTTGGAAACCGTCTCGCCCGTCTATCGATCCCCCGCGAATAATCAAGCGCGAATATCTTGACATTTCAAATCTTGATCTTGATGGGGAAATGGGGCAAATGAATGGAACACCAATATCGCCCATTGGGAAGGCCACATCTTGGCCAATAGTCATCCGATTCTTAAGCGGAATACCTTAATCGATTTGTGGGTTGATTTTGCACCAATCTGCATCAAAATCTAAGAACAAAATATTTTTTAGATTTTTTGTCAAATTTTCTGAAGGGTCCCCTTCAAAAATGGGGAAAATGCATGGAACACCAATATCGCCCATTGGGAAGGCCACATATTGGTCAATAGTCATCCGATTCTTAAGCGGAATACCTTAATCGATTTGTGGGTTGATTTTGCACCAATCTGCATCAAAATCTAAGAACAAAATATTTTTTAGATTTTTTGTCAAATTTTCTGAAGGGTCCCCTTCAAAAATGGGGAAAATGCATGGAACACCAATATCGCCCATTGGGAAGGCCACATCTTGGCCAATAGTCATCCGATTCTTAAACGGAATACCTTAATCGATTTGTGGGTTGATTTAGCACCAATCTGCATCAAAATCTAAGAACAAAATATTTTTTAGATTTTTTGTCAAATTTTCTGGAGGGTCCCCTTCAAAAATGGGGAAAATGCATGGAACACCAATATCGCCCATTGGGAAGGCCACATATTGGTCAATAGTCATCCGATTCTTAAGCGGAATACCTTAATCGATTTGTGGGTTGATTTTGCACCAATCTGCATCAAAATCTAAGAACAAAATATTTTTTAGATTTTTTGTCAAATTTTCTGAAGGGTCCCCTTCAAAAATGGGGAAAATGCATGGAACACCAATATCGCCCATTGGGAAGGCCACATCTTGGCCAATAGTCAACCGATTCTTAAGCGGAATACTTTAATCGATTTGTGGGTTGATTTAGCACCAATCTGCATCAAAATCTAAGAACAAAATATTTTTTAGATTTTTTGTCAAATTTTCTGAAGGGTCCCCTTCAAAAATGGGGAAAATGCATGGATAGATAATATAGCTCATTTGGAAGGCCACGTCTTGGCCAATAGTCAACCGATTCTTAAGCGGAATACTTTAATCGATTTGTGGGTTGATTTAGCACCAATCTGCATCAAAATCTAAGAACAAAATATTTTTTAGATTTTTTGTCAAATTTTCTGAAGGGTCCCCTTCAAAAATGGGGAAAATGCATCGAACACCAATATCGCCCATTGGGAAGGCCACATCTTGGCCAATATTAATCCGATTCTTAAGCGGAATACCTTAATCGATTTGTGGATTGATTTGCCACCAATCTGCATCAAAATCTAGGAACACAATATTTTTTAGATTTTTTGTCAAATTTTCTGGAGGGTCCCCTTCAAAAATGGGAAAAATGCATGGAACGTCAATATTGTTCGTTTGGTAGGCCATATCTTGGCCAATCCGATTCTTAAGGAATACTTTAAACGATACTTAAACGAATTGTAGGTGGATTCTTCGTCAATCACTTAAGTTTTAAGTCTTTCACTTTAAGTCTTTATTTTATTCAAAGTTGTGTTAACCCAGGAGGCCAAAGTTTCAAGCCGCGCATAAACGCCAGGCTTATTGGGTTGGGCGCAACCCACGCCCCAGGACACAATGCCAATCAGCTCTTCCTGAAAAACAAGTGGACCGCCGGAGTCCATTTGACAGGCATCAGTTCCACCTTCGAGGTAACCAGCACATACCATTCGATCAGTCACCCTTTTCCCGTATAGGTTTGTGCACTTTTTGTGATTCACTATTGGCACTCGGGCATATCTTAACCCTTGGGAAGTTTGAGCATCGCTGCTTGTAAAGCCCCACCCGGCGATCGTAGCAAATTTTCCATCCGCTACCTTTTTTGAGCTTATTTTGATAGGTTTTATCTATGGACAAAAATTGGTAAAGTAAGTCTTCCGTTCGGGACACCAATATTAAACCTAACCTTTCTGGAGTAAGTGATAGCAGTGGTTAGACGCAGGAGGCCAATATCATAGTCCATTGTCTTGGCCGACCACTTTTCATGGTGATAAACTGCAGCAACCGGGTATAATTTTCCATCTTTTGGATCGCGTGTGGTTCCACCGGCTTTGACTTTCAGCAAACGCCGCGAAACTCCGGCCAAGCAATGGGCCGCCGTTAAAATGGTTCGGTTATTTATTATTGAGCCGCCGCAGTGGTGGATTCCATATAATTGTATAGATACTATGTACGGGATGGTGGCTATATCCGCTGGAAATCCACCAACTATACGGGGATCTATATGATTTTCGTGGCTTTGGCGAACGTCGAGTAGAAAAAAAATAAATATCCACATTAGTTTGTACATCGTTCGCACTTGGCCGAGAAAGAAAGAATCTTGAAAAATAGGAATGCGTTGCTTTTAAAAACACACGCTTAAGTACAGAAGAACGTGGAAAATAATGAGCCTACATTGCGATAAGTGTGCATTATTTTGTAATTAGGAATTATCTCTTAAGTGACCGTAGAAGAAGATATAAAGCAGGCCGGGAACTAAACGTTCGTGTAGCAAGTGATTAAGAAGCTTACTAATTAAGGTACAGAAGCCAGCTGAGTGAATTTTTATGAAAGCAAAACCGCCTCTTTCAATGCCGAGGTAATATATTTCTACCAATTTACAAAATGAACCGTTACATAATAAAGTACAAACGGTTTTTTTAGATAAAAAGTGTTTAAATTACAAAAATATCGTTAGCAAGTTAAAATATTTAACCACATTTTAAGACATATTATTACTATTAATTATTAAAGTATCAAATAAATCTAATCTGTGCTCCATTTATATTTTATATCCCATTTAAATAATGCTTTATTTGTGCCATATATATGGAATATCCCGTGATTCATTCAATAAATGCTAAAACGGACTTTCTTTGGTCTACTTATTATTCATTTTGACGCTTGGCGACTATTTCATCTCTTTTAGTAGCATAAATGGCCAAAATCTCGTCCGTACGCCTTTATTGTTTGTCCAATTTGTTATCAAAGCACGACCCGTTTGTTGAGAAACGGACTCCAAAACTGATTTGCATTAGCTTGACCCATAAATTTGGAAATCAAACACCGTTTGATGGGCTATTCTAGGTTTACATACCAAACTCACTTTGAAAGAGCTGTGCCGCAGAAGCAACACAAATCTTGGCTTCGCTTTGCCAATAAAGTGGGCTATTCAAGTTTCACAGATCGGGAAGATTGGACGATAAGACGACCAATGATCTGTCTGGGCGTTTGAAATTGGGTAAAAGTAAACATTGAAAAGTAAGCCCACACGAATTGTTTCGCTAGATTTAATTTAAGCCGATTAGGCGTGTGCGTCTAGAATAGGAGAAAATGGGTAGGAAACGATTTCACATGTTTACAACACCGGTACTATTAGTGAAAGTGAAAAGAAGTTAAAACGCAACGCGACAGTTAAGAAGAAAAACCCATTACTATAATACGCCCAAGTTTGGGGTTTCAAACATTAAAAGGCCCATAAGAAAATGAATAGAGCTTCGCCGCTAGTGCGGCGGAAACTTAGTCGAAATACTATGTAGTTACCATATAGTAGATGTTATTAACAGGCGAAGAGAGCTGAGCACGGAAAGAGAGAAAACAGGTGCACATTGTTCTCGATCGTTGACCGCTATTACACCTCCCTATGAACGCTATAGCCCCTGGTTGCATCCCCAACAAGTTTGAGTTCGCTCGAGCTCTTTGCGTGTGTAGAGATCGTTCCGTACAGGTGATACGGACCGAGCGGCGCGTATTTACCTTGCCATGCCAACAATTTCTTTTTGTTTGAGATTCTTGTTTGAGGCCCGAAGCATCCAGCCCATTGCTGGCGACTTTCTTTTGTAAGAATTCCATGTTCGGCCGTCTTTCTGTCCCAATCTCTCCAGTTCTCCAACGACTTGCAGGTTGTGCGCTCCACCGAAAGACAACAAACCTGCCTGCCTGACTGCTGGAGCTCACCAGCTCCTCCAGAACTTCTTTAACTAATTTTTATAACAAGTCACTCGGTGGCATTGAAGTCTTCAGTTCTGCGGCGACCATCGTATGGTCAAGTTCGGCTTTATCTTTCTCCGCTGCGTCAAGTGCTATATGTTGCGAAAGTGTTTTGTTCCTAAGTGACTTGGCTAAATTCGGGATAGATTATTTTCAAAATCATACCCATATTTTTTGTTAATTAGGTAATTGTTCAAAGTCATAGTATTGTGGCACGGACTATAAACTATAATTTAGGCAGCTTGGATTTAATTCGGGAGACGCAACTCCCTTACTAAGGTTGTGTACCTGCGCCGAACACAAAGATATTAAAACCTTTTCTGCAGTTTGCTGCAAAATACCAAAGAAAAATCACAACAAAAAATGTTAACCGGTTTATTTAAACGGCAGTGATCAGGCTGACGGATGACTATGCCAGCATTGAAAAAACGGAGACAATCATTCTGAATAAGTGAACTGAAAGACCAAAGAAAAGAGGCTGCTGCTGATGCGGCAACTGCTGCTGCAGATGCTGATGTTGCAGCAAAAACGCACAAAAGCAAAGCACTGTGTGTTAAAATGCAAAAGCATGTTATGTTCTTCAGATACCAGTCTTCAGCTTCCGTCAAAACATTAGCGAACATTAGGACGTCCGTTTTGGCCTGAACTGGACGGCTGGATGACGTGACTTTGATGGCCTGAAGAACGTTAAACTATATCGAGCCCCCTAGACAGTTAAATTACAAAATAATAAACAACCAAATCTAACTAATCGATGGAAATTATGGGTTGTAATTACGTACTCTGACGGTAGATGATGATCATCAAAGTCATCATTGAAACTTTGGCTAAAATTGGAAATTAATTTGGCAGTGTGTGCGATGATATCTACCGTTAAATATTGGTGACTAAAGAAATGAAGTCATTAACACATTCAGAATGGTGAAAGTTTTCGGCGGCTCCGCTCAATAGACGGATTTCTATTGACTTTCTTGGCTGGGTGTAGATCTTTTAATTACATCATGCGTCAGAAAATAGGCTGAATGTGAGTGGAATTGAAGTCGGTCGCTGGAATAGGTTTAGGCGCTTTCGGAAATAAAAAGACTATTAAGGGAAAAGAAATTAAAATCAAGTTAGCAGCTGCTGATCACTAAAACTAAAAAGAAAAGTTTGAAAGTGTTAGGAGGTATAAAAAAAGTACCTAAACTGTATACTTTTTAACTTATTATTGTTTCTAAACGACGATGAAGATTGTTGGTAGCTAAAGTTATGAGTACGCTTTGTGAGCATAACTTGTCACGCTTAGGAAATTCTTATATCTTTCGTTCTCCTGCCCAAAGACATTTCCCTACCAATTATTCTCGCTTTTTGTTTAGAATCGCCATCATAATACTTAAAACCATAAATTCCCGTAGCTTTTCGGCAAGAAATTTCAATTTATCAACTCCGGATTGGGCCCAAGGCCGGTGCTGGTGATCATTTAACTGTAATTGAGGCTATAAATGACGCTTCTCTCTAATCGTTTGTGATCAGCGGCACAGTTAGGCAGTGCTATTTCCTCCTGGTTTCCATACCATTACCGGTTGGGATCGGATCGGGGTTCGAGAGCTGATCGCTGCGGGCGCAGCCACCCAAACTCCACACTACTCAATGGGTACAGACATATCGTATATGTGTGGTGTGGTGTGGTGTGGTGTCTATGCTCTCAGCCAAACAACTTTTGACGATAATCATTGACCTAATTCTTCTGCCGCTTTCTACAAGATTTTTGTACAATAACATGGTCATGGACTCGTTATAATGCAGCTTCCTGAGTGGCCATTCTTTACAAGGCATTGATACATTTGTATGCCAGTACAATGTCCATGTGCAGCAGACCAGACCAGACCAGACCGGACCGTGCCGGGCCGATTCTTTTCACCCAGTGGATTCTCGCTGGGGAAATGAAAAAGAAACATTCAAAAATCTTTCAAGCATTTTAACTCTAATTAAGTTACGGCTCGTTCTGGCCGTTCTGGTGTGTAAAGGTTTATGAATCATATTAACGGTATGTTTTGTGTGTCCGTGTTTGGAGGAAATGCCACAAAGCTTCAAAGATGGCAGATCAGTTTTGGGCAGAAGCGTCGCCACACCGGATTAGTGTAGTCACTTGTCCGTCCGTACGGTCTTCTGAAGAAGAACCCTGTCTCGGGTCCATGTATCTATTACACACAAAACTTTTCAGCACACATGGTTATTCATGAGATACGATGGGATTCACGGAAAATAACTGTAATGCCATCAAGTCCGGCGGCTTAGAATAAATATGGAATATATGTAATTTAATAGTACAGTTAGATCTTAACAGCCAGCAGGCCCATAAGTCATGCTCCAAGTGGGTTCCTAATAAGCAATATACACACTATACCTTTTTCATTGCCTAATATTTAAAATATAGTTGGCGTTATGCATCCAGAATTGGCAATAATCATCTCGCGAAATATGCATTGAGAAAATACAGCAAAAAAATAGGGGAAAAGGGGAGATAGAAAATAGACTGTCTTACCAAACAAGTTCTACATGGTACTTGGCAAAAAATTAGAGCTCATGACCCCTTGATAGTCTTCCCGACGTAACCGTCAATCATAAGCGATGACCATTAAGTTGGCCGTTGCGCAAGAGTTTAGCTCAGCGAACCAGAAAAAATCCAAGCCGTCTAGTGGTGAATAGTGCAAGAGGTCATCGACGTGAGGCCCGTTTCCTCTACAAAGTTTACCAGCCGTGATATTGTTCTCCCAATGGGTAGGGCAATGGGGATACCATAATTCGCGTTACGCCTTATGGCAAACAAATTAATTTGGATAGATTGAGACAATATCCCTGCAACGTACACACATTTTACCATCAAACTAATTTAATAAAAGTAACCCCACACCCTGTAATAGATTGTGTTGTTCTTGGTTTTATTTTTAGGCCTTCTACGTGATATAAAATTTAAATAATGGCCAAGACACCACATCGCATTCGCCTCATGCGACAACTCCTTCTGGCTCTTATGCTTTACAGCGCGGCAGCCGCCAAGGAGCACTTGCGCGTGCGCAGATTGGCCGCCGAATCGGTGACAGCAGCGCCTCTTCCTAATGCCAGCAAAATTATTTCCACCGAAGAGATAGAAGGCCAAACAGAGCTACCTGGAAGTGCGAAGGCTACCCCCATCACCGAAATAAACCAGATTGAATCCGAGTCGGCCACAGTGGTGCCAGCTAATCAGGCGGAGACTCGCAACTCTGCCTATGATGTTCCAGCCTCCTCGGATTTATCCGGTTCGTCGAGTTCGGATGAAGACGGGATCTACTACGACAATGCGCCTGTGGACTGCGACCCAGAACTGGTTGGCTTCGAAATCGTCACCGGGTAAGCTATTTGGTGTTTAATCAGGCAGGAAATATAATAATTCCCTTCTTATGGGAAGGTATGTGTTCTCGGCTCCTGAAAAACTTATGGATTCTCTGCCGGGCACTTTAATGCTCACTGATTGCCTGGAGACGTGCAGAAATAATAAAACCTGCCAGTCAGTTAACTACGAGACCGGGCTTTGTGTGTTCTTCTCGGCCCACGCCGATCAATTGCCGGGTAAGCTACTTACGACATTAACTTAACTAGAGTGTATTTACTTTAAATTATAATTACCTTTCGTGTATGTAGGTGCCCTGACAAAATCACAATTCCCCGTGTTCACCATTTATGGCCAAAAATCATGCCTCTCGGCGAAGCCCTGCTCCCGAGCCTGGTATGTCGATCGTGTACAAAATTATAAGCTCAAGACGGAAGTTAAGCGTACCGTGTCGGTGGCGTCCAGACGCGAGTGCTTTGAACTTTGCCTAAGCGAAAATGAATTCACATGCAGGTAAGAAATTCTGGCCCTACTAATCCATATGGTGAAAAAATTAACAAAATAAACTGTAATCTTTTTAACAATTTATTCAAGTAGCTTATAAATATACTTGAATTATTTAAATTTCGGTTCAGAAAGGAGCTCATGCTCAAGCCCAAGCTAAAACATTTTTCTCCGTGTTCTGCAGGTCGGCTAATTATGAACGAGTCTCTGGAGCATGCGAACTCAGTGAGTTGGATCGCCTAACGCTAGCCGGCTCCAACGCCTTCCAGATAACCGAAGGAAGTGATTACCTCGAGAATCACTGTGTCGAAGAGCCCAATAAGTTGTGCGAGTTCAAACGCCTGCCGGGACGCATTCTGAAGACGGTCGATTCGGTTTATCAGGAAGTTAGTAGCATTGACGAGTGCCGGGAGTTGTGTCTCAATTCGCCCTACAGGTGAGTTATTAAACGACTATTTACTTATAGTTTTTTTTACTAAAACTATTATTATTTTTATAAAAAATAGGTGCCACACTTATGATTACAATGACACCGGCGATATGGTTTGCCGACTTTCGCATCACAGCCGTGCCACTTTGGTCGATGTACAGGAACCCTTCCTGGATGTCCCCGAGGCATCGTCTTACGAGCTGGCCTCCTGCTACAATGTCACCATCGAATGCGGCGGCGGAGACATGCTGGCTCGTATTCGCACCTCCAAGCTCTTCAACGGCAAGGTCTACGCCAAGGGATCGCCCAAGTCCTGCTCGGTGGATGTCAAGAGTGCCCTGGACTTTGAGCTGCGTATGAACTATCATGATCTCGAGTGCAATGTCCGACAGAGCAGTGCCGGGCGCTACGTCAACGATATAATCATCCAGCACCACGACATGATTGTGACGTCGTCCGATCTGGGATTAGCCCTGGCCTGTCAGTACGACCTGACCAACAAGACTGTCAGCAACGGCGTCGATCTGGACGTACGCGGCGATATTCTGCCGGCACTCTCCGAGGAGGTTATTGTCGAGTCACCGAACGTTATCATGCGCATCACCTCTCGAGATGGCTCCGATATGATGCGCTCCGCTGAAGTCGGCGATCCGCTGGCTCTGAAGTTCGAGATCGTTGACGAGCAGAGCCCGTACGAGATATTCATTCGGGAACTGGTGGCGATGGACGGTGTGGATAACTCGGAAATTACGCTGATCGATTCCAATGGCTGCCCGACAGACCACTTCATCATGGGACCCATTTACAAGGCCTCCCTCTCCGGCAAGGTGCTGCTCTCCAACTTCGACGCCTTCAAGTTCCCCTCCAGCGAGGTGGTTCAGTTCCGGGCCCTGGTCACGCCATGCATGCCCAGCTGCGAGCCAGTCCAGTGCGAGCAGGAAGACACCAGCGGCGAATTCCGGTCCTTATTGTCCTACGGCCGTAAGAAGAGATCGCTAAACTCGACAGGTGGGTTAATCAGAGGGGAGACACTCGCCGCAACGATTATTTGATGTTCATATAATGCTCTTTGCAGTTGATCTACCACGTACACGTCGCGATATTGACACCTCGAAGAAGGCGGCTCCCAGTGATATGCTGCTGGTGCAGTCCATCCAGATTACAGATAAGTTCGGCTTCAAGCAGGACAAGCAGGAGAGCGGCGACTATTATGACGGCAATGAAACCACGTTTACGGCCAACGAGGAGGGGCACGGGTTCTGCGTAAATGCCATTGGTAAGCTCATTAAATTTGATTCGGGAACGTGTAATTCCTCAGACGGCAGCCATTAAAGTCCTTTTAATATGCTCACTTTTATTATTTCTCCTTTTTATGCCTCTCAGGCCTCATCACAGCCGCCACTATATTCCTGCTAACACAGTTGGCAGTGATTGCTATTTGGACGTACTGCTACCAACGCCGCCAGAAACTGCAGCCGTACCAGCACTCTTACTAACCAGAATCGATTAATTCTTACGCATTAACTTTACACAATACCGTCTAAGCTACGAAAGGTGCAATCAATATTTACGCAATGTTATACGCAATGCTGATTAACTGCTATGAATACCCGTCGTCCTGATACAACATCCGCTACTTAGCCTTATCTAGTCAGTGCACGATTTTAGAGAAAATGAAAATTTCAAGTGTTCTTGAAGGTGTCTTGTTCGGTGGAATTCGGAGATTGTTTGCATTGCAGCAGCCATGGCGTTCAAAACCCCTCGTGTGTTGGGTTTTTTCTTCTCTCATTTAAATGGAGGATTCCCTACTTATAAAGGAAGTTTGACGTCTGCATTGAACTTCTTTTGTGACTTCGGAAGTTGGTTGAAAAACAGAGGAAACTAATGCATATTACTTTAACTAACCTTTGAACACGTTTCCAAGCCGTATTCCCTAACCATGTGTCGAATGGGTCTTAATTAAGTTAAGCAATATAATTTATTGACCATCAACTAAAGCCCTTTAGTGTTATCTCACAGAAACTAATTTTATGCATATTACTGCATCATCCTTCAAATACGTTTCTGAGCCGCGTCCTCTGACCATCGTGTATCGAATGTATTTTGTAAGCAACATATATAATTTATTGACCATTAACGACAGTCCTTGCCTATTCAACACTTGATGTTATCCCACAGAACTCATTTTATAAATACTTTTAAGGCATCCTTCTTTATGCGCTTTATGTAAAAGTAAAAGGGTGTTAAATCGCTAGTTTTAAGTTCTTGAGAATCATTAAATTAATTTTTATGAAAGGATTTACAATAAAAAGAAACACATTCTAAACTACACTGCTAATGCTTAATTTTCTGAGGGCCCGACTTGGAGCCTTACCCACGCATCGCAAATTGTGCGAATCGGAGTCGGAATGCAGACAACAGACACCTGCGAATTATTATTTATACTTCAATAAAACTTAGAATGCATCCGCAACTGTAAAAGCGACTCGAGAGGTTCCTGGAACATGCTCACTTATAGTCGCCCAAAATGCACGACACAAAACGCTGCCCCTCATCTCGTGGCGGCGACAATGAGGCAGTCAGGCAGGCAGGCAGGCTGGCTGCTCCAAGCTGGGCAACGATTCACTTTTCGATGTGGGCAGAAAGGTCCAAATGTCGTGCTTGTTTTCCTTCATACCATATGCACTGCATACTGCGACGAGAGGTCCCATCTTCATTATGGTGTACACCTGTAGCTGGAGTTGCCGGGATGGAGAGATCCATCCAGCGACAGAAAGTATCTAGCAGCTGTGTAAGTATCGTTAGCTGCAAGCCGCTTGTGTGAATCATGCAAATAAATGCACCCTCAGCACAACAGGAAACAGGCTTCGTGCAGATTTGTATCTTTATCTGCTCTGGAGGAGCGCTCGCATACGGGAAAGTGACTCCTGTCTGCCCGTCACTTCTTTGACTTTGTCTTCGCCTTCATAGCCTTGGCAACCAGAGTAGTTGACTGAATTCCTCTCAATTAATTTACCTAGCAATGCATCTTGAACGACACTACCCCAAGAAGTACCACATACAATATGCATGTGGACTAGTTGAGAGCCCCACAAAGATTTAATATCGCTGCGCTACTTAGCGTTTAGTTGTAGTTCTTGTTTTAAAGTATAATCTGAAAAGATTCTTAATTAAAGCATGCATGCAAGGCGATAAAAATGAATGTACGTTAGATTTGTAATGATGGTGCCGTGGTTATTTTTTCTCCTCGCTCAATTAGAGATTCCCAGTGTCGATTGTGCTCCGTCAGCACACGAAATAATTGGTCGGTTGTGTTCCCCAATGGCACTCGGCATTCGTGCCAAGAATATGCAGAAATTAAAATAAATCACGTCCAAAGGATGTACCTAGAGGAGTTTTTGTTGGCATTATTGATGGAAATTGAGCTTCTCAATTCAGGGAATAATAGACCGGCTATAAAAAGACTAAACGACTTGATGGACTAATGAATTTTTAAAAAGCAAGCTTTTAATTTTTTTCCCCCAATATTTTACCATATTTTGCAAATGAGAATTGATGATTTTTTCGGGGCCCATTCAATAATTTACGAATTCCACAGATTCTTTGCACACACAATATATATATATTAGCTTTTATACATTGAATAGAATTTGGATGTCTTAAGTTATGAAGGAAAACGTTTAAACAAAATAAAATAAAGCGGCTTCTTTGTTTAAATATGTATGTGTATAAAATGTTATAAAGGCCCTGTGTTGTTAAATCGTCTGCCAAAAAAAATATATTTATAAATACATTTAAATTGGTCATATATGCAGCCCAATGTGTCTATGTATATATAATTTTATTTTTACAATAGGAAAACATGTACTTATACTCTAATATATGAATTGATACAATTTGTATACACTATATGCTTCTCAAGTATAAATAAAATAATCAAATAATTAAAACAGTCGGCACTGGAATTACCTCGTCCAATCGCCAACCGCATTTACTATTTACAGCAGACTCCGCATGGCCGCACAATTTATTACAGCTCTGACTATAAGCGTTTCAGTGATTTGGAACTGACTGACATTTATGGCAACATTGGGGGCTACGAATCCGAGTAGATGATGCATCGCTTGTGCTTTCCAACAGAAGCCAGCATATTGTTGTTCGGCGACCAACTGACTGCATTCACCGCGGTGCTGAGAAAACGATTAAAGTTGTACATTTATTAGGCTTGTAATTTAGTAATAAAATTTGCTAATTTACTTAGGCTTAACTCTATTCTTATTCTTATCTTCTTCCCACCTGTGTCCCTTAAGCGTGGCTTCTAGGAAACCATTTACATTCCAAATGTATATTGCTCCATCCGCCGATCCGCAAGCGATCTTCAAGCCGCTCGAGTTGAAGGAAGCCCGAGCAAAATCACAGCTGATTTTAAAGTGTTCATTTCTAATAGATATCACAAGTAATAAGTAAGATATTTTGAATCAATTAAGACTCGTTCTAGACTTACGTGAACGTGGATATAACTTGATTTTTGCGTAAATCTAATAATTTAATAGTATCATCTCTTACAGAGCATATGAGGTAATTGCAATCTGTTGAAAAAGTATACTTAGAAGTGATATTTTAGCTACTGAGTGATATAATCCACCTTTTGACAAATCCAGCGAGGTGATTTTAGCTGGCATAAGGACATCGTCTGCCTGCTTCTCGGTTCGTATGTCCCAGAATCGGATCTTCTTATCATAATGCCCGCTAATGATCGTGGAACCCAGGCTGTCGGTGGTGACGAGATCGTTGCAGCTCGATCCAGCAAATTTCGTTTCTATACAAGCAATGCTGCGCAGATCCCAAATCTTTAAGGTACGATCATGACTTCCGGTCACCACTTTAATGGGCTCTTGGACGTATTTAGCAGCCATTACTTTTCCACTGTGACCCGTCAGCGTGTGCTTCAAGAGAGTAAAGATTTAAATACACAACGGTTAGACCAAAATTATGTTATAGGGCAAAAAGCTGTTTTTTTTTTGCAGATATAAAACAAGAGATCATATTCCAATGGCAGCAGGGACAAAGGAACGCCAACACCTCAGGCCATCTCTGGAGTGAGTAGCCTCCACTTGGAACGGGCTAATTACCCCCGGGTTAGTATCTTTCACCAGAACGGTGTGTAATTAAAAGAAGTGTCCGTGGACATTAAAGAGGCTGCAGACATTTAATTACAGCACTATAAACTTGGCCAACCAACTCAAAGTTCTAACTTGTATGGGCAACTGTGTCTGAAAATTTATTGGCATAGGTCGTTGGTGAGCCACTTTATTTTTGTTTATACTGTGGGCTTACTTTTTTTCGCCCATAGCTGGATGAATGTCATTGACACATTAGAGGGGGATCTGAGAATTCTGGATTACTTATCTTTCGACAAAGATGCATTATCAAGAAACCAGATTAGATATAAAGACTTCCGTGGGATCAACAATTAAAAGAGAAATGGAAATGAAAAATGTATAAGACTAACTGAATACAATGTGATACCACAATAAAAAAAAAAGTTATGACAGAAAAAAGATAAATCTACGACTCCTAAACCTAGTTGCATATATCTTTTCATTAGCGTATAATCAACGTGTCGAGAAAGTACTACTTGAATATTTTAAAATATAATAAAGTCATCCAAACATTCAATAATACATGGCTTGTACAAATATGGTATATCTCTTACAAGATATATGTTACATATCCCAAGAGTCCGAATCTCAACCGGCAACCGGTCAAGTCGAACGGTCAATGTACGCGCATTGTGGCTTGAAGAGACTTCGGCTTTGGAGCGGAGATGCGTCTTACCTGGTGGTGGCAGACCATCAAACATGTTTGACCGGGGCTCTCTCATCTGGTGGAGTGGAGAGTTGGAGAGACTGAGCAGAAGCCCCTCTTCTCTCTAGACCAGACTTGCCGGTTACTGCGTGAGCTTGGCTCGAGCTCTTTCGTCTAATAACATAGATTCGAGCCGCTCTTAAAAAGTTCAATTTGAAGCAACCCCGCAGTTTGTTTAGCACCGAAAAACATGTTATCAACGAAACCGGTGGCAGGAAATTTCTGCGAAACCACTCCACACATCTGCGTGGTGAAAAGCCAGCATTTCAGCCAGGTGACACTTTAAAGTGGGGTTCAAGAAATAAAATAATCATGCAAAAATGCACTTCAAACTATGCAATTATAATTAAGATGCTATAAACCCACAACCGATTTTAATGGTCGTACCAAATTATCTGATGATAAGGATTACCAGTATTTATTTTATGGGTCAACTAGATTTTGATGCAATAAAATCCAAAAGAAACCACATACTTTGGGATATTTGTAAGAAAAAACCTTTACCGATAATATAATATGATATTACATTAAAGGTAAACAAAAGGATGGACGCATACGAAGATCATATACCCTTAAGATTTATTTTAGGCCTTTAGGGCTAATACTCTTGCCCACTTTCTAACGAATTTATGATACCCACCCAGAGTATTTCAAATGCTGCAATAATAAAATGATAATAACTCAGTATAGAACTGCAATCAGATGACGATGACGGTTTGATCGCATTGTGGCCAGAGGCCGTACAAGTCAGTGTGCTCATTTTAATGCTGCAGTTCAGTGGCGGCGGCGGCGGCGCTATTCTTCAGTTACAGTTTCCAGTTGTGCGCAAAAGAACCGTTTAAATGTCAATCCAGAAATACCAGTTAGAAGAGTCGGTGTATCTCACGGATAGAGAAGGCGGAGAAGCAGGAAGAAACTGCACTTGTATGTTTATTCGCATGTTGACGATGTGCAGCATAAATGGATGAAGTTGCGGATCTGGCCTGACCAGGCGGACGAGATGAACCTTGGGGTAAGGAAGATTATGCTGCTGCGCCAATTCAGGCCAACACACATGTATTTGTGGCTTTGACTCTAAACTTTCCTAGCCATCGCCTATTATTTATGGTCATCAGTTAAAAATCGTTTTTCGATTCATCTGCCATGGGAACCCAAAAAATCACACCCATATAAATTTATTAACCTGCGGTTTTGCGAATTTCTCTAGAACCGACAAAGAGCTCCCACATAAAGGAGGGAATGGGTAATAAAATAAATTGATCGAAAGCGAGTAAATATGTGGAGCAGAGGTAAGGTATTTATTTGGACCAAATTACCTTTAAAACTTTCTACTCGGAATCTGCGAGGTAAGTAGGAAGAAATATCCCAAGAACCTTTGAAGGTTTTTACGGGTATATCATTGTCAAAAGGCTTTATTTACTACATCAGTAAACAAATTTGTTTGCCGCCAGCATCTCTGTTGTGTTTACCAGCGAGTTGTTTACTTTTCGCCTTTTTCCAAGTTAGAAAGCGGCAAACATGCAAAATTTATTTATAAACATTGACATTGGTATGGTGTGTGTAGATGTGTGTGTGTGCACATACGTTTTATTGTTAGAATAAACAAAGTTGAAATAAATAGAAAAAAAAAAAAAACACAAAACCAACAAGAGGCCAGAACAGAAATTCTTTAAAATCAAGGCATCAAAGAAATCTGTTTTTTATTTTCAACGCCACAGTAGAAACGGAAAGTATTGTTTCGGTCTTGTGCCTTAAGCAGAAATCCCGTGATTGTGAATTATTTTACCAGCCTGAATGTAAAATTGTGTTTTTGTGCTTTCATTCACGAGATGTTTGTGAGATTGTTCCTGGGCGTGCATAATTTAGTACTCATTGCTTTTGAGTGGCCCATAAATTTGTCAACATTTGAATTACCCTGTGTTTTATTGAAAAAAGAAATAAGTATTTGGCTTACCCTCAACCGATTGTCCATTACCGTCCATACTCTGGCACCATAATCATTTGATGTACCCAGAATATACGCCCCTGTAGAATCAAAATCCACGGAATTAATCCCGGCGCTGCTCCCGCTAAGAACAGCGCGTGGCTCGGTTGAATCTATTTATGAAATAAATCAATTAATTAGTCATTCCTAAAGGTGAATATCCTGCGATGTGCTTACTTTTCCCAATATCCCACAGCTTGACTTTGCGATCAGCGCCACCTGTAGCCACCATCCGCTCCACGGGACTCCAGCGCACCGCATGCGATTCGTTTTCGTGGGCCTCGAATTTCATAAGTATCTTTGTCGGATTCGCCTGACCCAAATAACCTGTTGCTTTTAGAGCATCAATGGAAGCCCGGGTGTTCTCAGTAACTTCGCCGGCTGTAAAACGAGCGCTAATATATTCATTATCATCGAGACCTATAGCCTCCATGGCGCCATTAATTGTCGCTTCGTCAAAATCGTCGTCACCGCCGATAATGCCGCCAACAAACTGGGCAGGACTCGTGGAGTTTCTTTGAATCGGTGTTGGTCCGGGCGTCGGTGATATATTGGTCGAGGAGCTGGGCTCTCGCACGGCGTCCTCGAGATCTCGTTTCAGTTTGGCCGATCGTTTCCTGAAAATTGACGGCAGTCTTTTTCTAGATGTTTTTAAAAACGGTTATACATTTATATTGAACCAAAAATTAAAGTAGCAAATCAGAATCAGAATGAATGGCAATCATCGAAATATTCAGCTAAATGTGGTCCGTTCTACTCCTTGGCGAAATGTGTTAACATGTGTTAGTGGAAAATACAAATATATATATATGTATATTTATTACATGCAGCTTGTAAAGTTTCCTTTAACCTTTTAGTAATTGCAGTTCCTGTGTTCCGCATAATTCGGTTATTCATGCTTGTCGTATGGTTGGTGGCAATAAAGTGTGGTTTTTATTAACACAATAATATCAGGTGGTGGGTCACTGTAATCTCCAAGCAAATATTTAATAATAGCTAATTATTGAATCATACAAGTTATAGAGACTCATAACTCATCAAGTTCTTCCTACCAACAAACTCATAAAGTAGAAATGGGGAAAACAATAAAAAAAAAACACCTTTAATGAACTTTATCTATGTAGACATCCTGATTATCCTGTTCCACACTAATAAATCGATTCGAGGGTAATATTAATCAATAAACAGATAACAGTCTCCGCATGGAAATGTTTTTCCTTTTGTATGTATTTTGTTGACAGTTTACATGTGACTTTTTATCAACAATCTTTTATAAGCATTAGATAAGCTGCGCGATTAACCATTTTTATATGTATGCCTGGGCTTATCGTGACACGAAAATGCATTTATGTACATGTATATTAATAATTGCAGAGATAATATAAGGTTTAATGTTTTGCATGTGATGCTCATGTAGAAATGCTTTTAATATTAGTTTTCTAAAGAAGCGTACCTTATGATGCTCTCGTTTTCCTCGTTCAACTTGTCAGCATCCTTCGACTTGTAGCGCATCAGACGGTCGAGCAGACAGCGATTTTCATCCTGCGAATCAGTTGAAAACGAAAAGCTTTTTAGTAGACGCCTTTTCATATTTAAAATATATCTATATTTATTCCGATTTAGTTCCCACGAGAGCTGTTTTACGCGATGAACGCTAATGTGCTACTGGATCGCCATCGAAAAGATAGCAAGCTTTTCCCCAATGAACGAATATATTTATGGGGCCTAATGATTGGAGCCATCTGCCACACATTTTCGGAATAGACCACCGAATACCGTATAATTTCACCTTTCAATAATTATACATCGATGATGCACCAACCATATTAATTTTATTGTAAGTCCTGAGGTTAACTACTGTCATAAAAATTGTATAAGCGATAAAGACAATAATTTTAAGTTATTAGGTTATATATGGCACTTAAGTATGTGATTTAATTGCATTAAAAATATTGGCTGTGGGCCAATCGATAGGTCATTCACATTTATAAAGATAATAAAGAAAGAGGACCGTGATACTAGAAGCTCCGCCATACCTTGGCCCACCTTGGAGACTATTACTTACAACTATTTATTTTCATTCACTGGCTAGACACTATCAATTTTCCAAATACGTTCAATTTCAATATAAATATAGTATAAAATTTATTAAATACAATTTTAAGACGCAAATCTACTAACACAACGCTATGCTGATCGTGTAAAAATGTGCGTATTCGTGCTACTTACTTGGACGCCCCGCAATTTATCCTCGAGTGAGCTAAATGCTAATTGCAAAGCCGTATGCTCGTCCAGCATGGTGTTGTTCAGTTTCTTGAGTTCCTCTAAACTAGAGTGAAGTAGCTGCACTTCAGCCCGCAGCCGATTGTTATTCGTTTGCTGCTCGGCAAGGCTAAAAAAAAAAAGTAATGAGTAACCTTAATCAAAAGATGATGATGAAGGTTATTCCAATTTTCACACTTTTCAAGGATTACAATTATAATGTTGAAGCGCTTTCATCGAGGTCATGACCAACCAGTTCAACTGGATAGGAAGCAAATTTGAAACAAAGCTATCAAACTGGTTTCAGGGGTCACATCTTTAAATTAACCCAAACTTTAGACACCTTTTGCGTTAATAACAATGAAATTTCCATTGGATTGGACTGATCCTAGCTATATTTTCGTGTTGCTTTGCTTGTGTGAAAATTGAAATGGGATAGTTGGGGTAGCCACCTGTGTTCTTTTTCTGCAATGATTGTTCTTTGTTGCTCCACTTTCAGGTTTAAGTCGACGATTAACTGGGAGTTTTCACCCTTTCGCTTGTGCAGCTCCGTGAGCTCTTCCTGCTGGGCGAGCAGTTTCTTCTCTAGCGTGGCAATGGCTACATTAGAGCCGGTACCACCTGTTGACACCGCACTGCGTAGCTGTTCATTTTCCACAGACAGCTTCAGGTTGTCCGCTTTCAGCTGGGCGACATGGTCAATTAATCGGTTGTCTGCAAAATGAGGGCAATTAGAATTTTTGGTGACAATTGACTCAATGGATGGGTAGCCAGCGTAACAGAGGGGGGTGCTATTTGGGGCTCCGTCGCAGCAGCTGACGCTCCCCGCTTACTTTGTTCTATGATTTCCTTGAAGTTATCGCATTCCTTGCGGTTGCGTTCGCGTAATCGTCTCACAACATGCGCTCGCCACACATGTTCCTCCGTAGACATCTTTGTGATGTGCTTGCCACCCGATTCTCCGGAATTTACTTATTATTTAGCCTGGCCAAGTCCAGGCACTCGCTTTGACGTTCTCTCAATTGAAGGCGTTGTGGGGACAGTTGAGGTGTCGTCTTTGATTTGCATTGCCCTCGATGGGCGCTATAAGCTATCGCCCAGAAATCGCATAATTGTTTTTAACCAAATATGCTATTAGAGACGAATTTATAGTTAACAACAATAACACCAAGAGCACAGTGTGGCTGTTTATCTTTGGGCCTACAATACTATTATTTATTTGGTTTTGGCCATACTGTAAAAATCTAACGAAGTTATCGATAAAAACCAATCAGTCAACATGTATCGACTTATATTCGATTAGTTAGCGGTCAATTTTGAATTGCTAAATATCTGATAAAAACAGCTAGGTAAAAGTTGCGAAATTAAGATTTCGAATTTATTGTATATCCTTATGTATTGGATAAATTATTCTTGGTATTGGATAAATTATTATAAACATTTATTTTTCTTTGCCAAATACAAATTCAAACACGTTATTTTGAACTTTCAATGTTTAAATATTGTTCATCCTCCTGAATGGTCTGAGCATCCGCTTGTTTTGAAGCATTAACTGCTGGTGTAATTTTCTATCCATTTGAATTCCAACCTGTTGTCTTGTGTAAAGATTTTTGATCTTGAATTCCGGAATTACTGCTTGTTTTATGACAAAAAGGAATGAGCCAGCCAAAACAGTCGTTGGTACGGCTAAGATACAAGGCTCGAATCGGAGATAGAAGTCATCATCCATGAATATCGAAAGCATAATGAAGCGCACAAAATGATATATGATGATTTCAAGATTGCACCACACAAAGATCGCGGCGACCTCTAGAATTATAAGCGATAGTATTGTGTCAACAAAGAACTGTATAGCACACGGTAAGTTGTAGTAGTGGGAGGAATACGCATTCAGATTTGTGGCTAAAAGCATAACGGCTCCAATATAAATCCAACTGGCCAAGGGTGGAGCAGGTGAGCAGTGATTGGGTTCTGGACTGAAATAGACGGCTGTTTCGGTAGCCAGATGGATAAACCCCGCAGTAATAATCGCTAATGGACGCATAATTGAACTATAACTTTTCTCTGACCGTATAAAACATAATTTTGCATCAACCTAAGCTTTGCTTTCACGAAAATTTTTTGAAATACTAACAAAGGACTACTTTTCGGGTCATAAATCTTGAATCTTGACCAAATCGACTTCATTTCATGTCTGTTTTTAAAAAAATCTAAATCAAAGTGGGCTGTTGTATACAAAAATATTTGACAAATGGGATGCGGTATGAAAAATTCTCATTCAGATTTAGAAATTGTGAGCTGACGGACCTTAAAAAAAGGGAATAATAAAATTAAAAGTTCCAAGCTCCGAAAAATAAAAAGTGGATAAAATTAAAATGGCTGTATCTAAACATAATTTAAAGAAGGCAAGGAACACCTGTAGCAACTTAAAACGTAATTCCATATACAAGAAGCAAAAAGTAGCACGCATTACTACCAATGGGTACCTCAACTATTTGAGGGAGTTCAAACAACAGTTTTGTGGATTATCCCCCCGAGACATGGTGCGTTTCGGAGCTTTGGAATGGAATAAGTTAATGGATGAAGAAAAAAAGATCTACAAGAATTTGGTAATCGTAGTTTTCTATTCATATAACCGTATTTTTCTAAAAAAAAATTATTTTATTTGTTCAGTATAAGCAGGAAGAATGCGCTGCAGAAGTATTAAACGAAGAGGTACGTATAGAGGGAAATAATAAAAGGCTATTATTTCATTATATTCATATTAGGAACAAATAAATGCCGATGAGTCAAATTATTCGAGCTCTGAGACAAGTGTTCCCATCAAAATGGAGGTAAGCTAGTTAAAAACAAAAAATATATTTTTTAATTTGAACAACATTTATTCTCCTCATTAAAAGGTGGACGAGTCTTCTTCAGTATTGCAACTTGAATCTAGTGTAGAAATTCAAAAGGTAACAGATATGATACTTCAAAAGAAGACTACATTATTTTATATTCCAATATTTGAATTTTAGAGCCAGAAGGCGGATAATATAAGTCTACCAGATGAGTGTGGGTCGGAAGAAATATGCCTTTTATGCCGGAAGGATATTGGCTCATCGCACCATAGACATGAGAGTCCTGAAACAAAGGTCAGAAGGAGGTGTTTTTGGTGTTAGTCTTTTAAATGATTTTTTCTTCCCAAATCAGAATAGCGATTTATTCTCTGATGATTTAAAACTAACAGAATCATCTCAAATTTCTTTGGAAAATGCTTGGCTTGCCAAAGAAACCAAGCGTCTAAGGGAAAAGGAATGTTCTAAAGTCAAGGTACTGCCAATTTTTTTTTGTACCCATTCCTACGGCTAAGTTGCTTTTCTTTATTAGACTAAGTCAAAACCTTCGAAGTCAAAGGGCAAGGATAAGGTGTGCAAGTCAAGAAAGACACATAAAAATGATTTCAAACACGACAAAGGCTCACTTGGATCTGCTTCTGCCTATATTAACTTTATGAAATCATTTGTCAAACAATATGGTAACGTGAAATCTAAACAATTGATAAAATCAGCAGCCTATCATTGGTCCAAATTGAAGACAAGCGAGCGAGCCAAATTCGAAAATCCTTCTTTTATGCAATTTAAAAAACCGAGAAAGCATTAAGCCACATTTCATACTCTTAGACAAATGTATTTATTTACGAGAAAATTTTAAGTTTGTGTAACAATATTTTTGACCAGTAATAAACGGAAATTCTCTTTGTTGTTGATTGAGATTAGTAAAGTATTGAAAGTGTGAAAAGGCTATTCAATATACTTGGCACTGGCAACATGGCTGTCCAGCGGTGGTGGCTGTCCAGGTGACTGGAGAGCCTGCCGTGGTATTTGTTCGGCTGCTGCTAAACTACGCAGAACATACATACGTGTAAGTTTTCTAAACACGCAAAGGCAATTAAAATTTTTAAGCGACATACGAACCCCCACGAATTGCACGCAGTTAACAGGGAGCTGGACATCCCACAAAAAGATTGACTGCAGCAGCCCCCAATGCGGGAAAACAGGAAAGGTGGACTGGAAAAGCCACTGCGAAAAACAGGTGCTCTAACACATTTCAATAAGTATCGTATAGTGTCAACAACTCTGCGTTAGAGTGTATAATATTTCTCTGAAGGGGAAAAATGCTTGCGTTTAAGAAATATTACTCATACGCTATGTGGACCCAAAGTTTGAACCGGAAATTGAAAGCTTGCATTTATTACTTTGTAAAATACTATTTTATTGCAAGATAATTTCTTATTTATGAACATTTTGCCCTTCTAGCCAAACGTTTCCCACTACCGCTTTAATTATCGAGAGGCGCCTTTTAATTGTACAAGCACCTTAAATAGAAATTATAACCAAATGTAATTGGTATGCTCCCAAGCTGGCCATAAAGTAGGAGTACCCGAATGGCGATTGCCCTGGAGTTGTACAACATATCGTATGCTTAATGCATAACTAATGAAGCGGCAGCTCCTACGTTAGTGGCACGACGCTCAGAGTCGCTTGTGGCTGTTGTGTGTTATTGTATTTACTCGGAGTTTGGCGAGGCTGTCACTAGGACATGCCACAATTGTTGGCCTTTAATGCCGCAAACTCGCAATCGCCGATGTATGTACACAGGTCTGGTCGTTTTGGTTACAAAAACGTTTCGTGGTCCGCCAAGTGCCGCTGACGCCATCGAATTAGATTACAAAAACCGCTTTTTTGCCAACCGAAATGAAAAAATAAGAAGTTAACTAATTAGATAGCCGGTTCACTGAACTGTACATTTTGGTAATAACAAAAGCATTCTGCATTTATTATAATGGAAAAATATAAAGTTGATTTACTTTATCGCAGAACTCATTTGCATGAGATCAAACCCTGGGAAATGAAATTGCTGGCTAGCAGGCGTAATTCGCTCCTTTTTCATATATATTTTTATTTTTCTTTTATTTAGACTGTCTATATGTATATGGTGTGTGTGCTCTATGAACTACTATACACGGAGTGTCCCAAGTGAGCATGCGATGGTACTCATAATCTGCATCCAGAATCTAATTCAATTAAGCAATGTTAATGGCCTGACTTCGGGACGTCTACAGTTGTGGTCAGAAGTGTAGTATATAGATTATATATCGAACCATATGTGTTGAGTGTGTAGGTAAGTGGGAAGCCGCATAACGTGAGCCCGCACCCAAGATGTGTATTCTCGACTCTGGATTGAATTTCCACCTTATAAATCGGCCCATCTACTCTGTACTTTTCTCCTAACCACAACTGTGTGTGGATACACGGACATGCGGACACATGGACAAGCGGACACACGGACACATGGACACACAGGCCACTATGCCGGACCGAAACTGATCTTGGCAAAGTGATTGTTCGTTCAGCTGGCCCGGCTAGGCTCGACTCGGCCCGGCAAGGCATCTTTTGGTTATTTGGTGCGCATTGGTTCCAAATCGAACTGTTGTTATTTTTAGTAGCTGGAATGCAGTGCTACACTCGAACGCTGTTGTGGAGCAATTAAAGCGAACTAAGAATGATTTAACTGTTGCCCCCCGCCCGCCTTAGCGATCGTGTGAGACGGCCAGAACAATGCGGCTATTATGGGTGTTTTCTTTTCCCCAATAAAAAGCCCAACAAGAAAAGGGGAATTGTAAAATATTCCAATTTAGCTTACAAATTATAAACTTAATGAATGCTAATGTTATTAGTTGCCACAAGTTTAGTTTAAGGTTGGCAAAGTCTTTTCTTCTGGGTGGGTCATTTTCATATAGTGCTGATGGCATAATTTTTAAATAAAGACCTGGCATAATTTGATATTCAAAAAATAGCCAATAAGCTTATTATACCCTAACGTCAGGTACCTCAGCTTTTACCATTGTTGCAATATAAGCAAAATCGACTTCAATTTTCTGCCAAAAACTCTCGACTTGCACTCGGGTTCTCGAGAACGTATACTACACTGATTTAAAATGCGAATTTAAGGGAAATTCGGTAGCTGGGAAACCATATAACTTTGGCTGACACATTTTGTTTAAAACGTACTTATATATCCGGTTCTCAAAGAGGCAGCCACACAATAAAAGACACAAAGATGATAATAAATTTACCTTTGTTATTAGGTTTATCTCACCATTCATGTACCGGATATCTAAGAGCCGTTCTTTGTTTTATGTCGGCATAAATAAATCATTTACCAACTCTTCCAGCAAAATTAGATCGCTCAAACCAGGGATTTATTCACAATCGATCACCAGGCCGTTTCAGATTGCTTTTTCTAAGAGTATAAAAATGCAGACTGCAATAATGAAATACAAGTAAAAAATCGAACTTGAATGAGCTCATATTCCAGGTGGAAGTGGGACATTCAAATTGCGAAAAAAGTTGTTGATATCCAGAGACAAAAAAGCTCAAGCAACCAGAACCTATAAAATATTTCGCAAAAAAACAATTTGTGTTATAATAAAGAGGGAACGAGCATCCGCGTCTGGAAGACCGTGGGTTGAGCTTCAATTAAACAACGTCGTTAGACGGGTCTGCAAGAAGCCGGAAAAGAGATGTTATGAAAATAACTTGGCTCTTAAGACAACAGTAAAGCACGCTAATAGAGTACATAGTCTGGCTAAAACCCTTGCACTTTCTCTTCGGAGCAAATTATAATAAGCGAAGGCAGTCTCTCATAAATTAAAGATGCCATGCCAACTTTGCTGTAATAATTGCTGTATGATTATGTTTAAGTTTCGCAATCTTAGTGTTACTTATTTTAAATAATTAGGAGGTATTATATAGTATTATTCATAAAAAATGATGCATTTTAATGGAAATACTTATCATTACCTAAGATGGGACAGTGACAATGTATTGATATTATAATATCAAGAGACGAGAAAACAATCGCATATTGTTTGGATTTGAATGGTGTGCGGAGTGTGTATCGGTTACAAACACCTTAAAATGATAGTAATTTTGTGAAAAAGTAAAGCAAACTGTCGCATTGTCTCCCGATACAATTGAATATGCATATTTGCCTGGCTGTCGGACTGGCCTGAAAGACTCGAGCAGGTACAAAAATGCTGCCTGCCTCTTTGGTGAACTTCATTCATACAAAGGCAAAGTGAGCGGGCAGTAAAAATGCACCTAAGTCCACGACTCACTGCCGCTGCGGCTGGTGCTGGTGCTAGTGCTGCTGCACAAAAATCGCAGCTACATCACCTAAAACATTTTAATAAAAACTTTTACACAGCCTCAGACATAATGCAGCAGTGCAGTGCAGCTTTTGGTTAAAAAAGTAAAGAATAAAAAATAAAGGGTAAACTGGTTCCTATGGAAATGAAACATGGTGGTCTTTTTATTTACCTTTGACTTAACAGACCACTGTTAGGAGCCTTTTCGAGCCAAAAGACAGACATACGTACATGCACCTGTGCAGATCGCCCAGTATATACCTTTCGGACACGAAAATGTGGTGTATTTAGCTATGTACTGTGTGTAGCATCAGCTGTTAAACTAGTAACTAAAACCAGTTTTACCGCAAAAGCGAATGCCAACGAGACTAGTTTCGATTCCAAACCGTTCCGGTACTACCAAGTAGCGCCCACTTGTTGCTGAGACAGGTAAGACCGAAACAGTTTAGAGCCAACTATTGAGCCGTCCTCACGTACCTTTCGCGCTCACACCCAGTACAGTGAACACATATACACATGTACATGATAATCGTATTTTAGGTGGCTCCCGCGATACCGGTTTTTGTCGCTGGTATGGTATGAATATGCCTAAGAGCTAATTTTTAAAGAGTTATCTCTCAAGAAATGTGTAAAGTTCAGAAAAACCAACTCCGCGACGCGACGTTAACCTATTCATATATTCCCCGAGATAATATAATATAATTGTGTCTTTTGAAAAGTTGAAGAAAAAATCAGCATAAAGTTTGAGTTTGGCAAGAAAGTGAAAAAAGCCATACAAGATTATCTTTATTCAAATAACAAAGAAAACCCTCCACCGAACAAACACCTATACCGATCTCCTGAACATCCGAAGTTAAGACGAAAAAAAAATCAGTGCCAATGTATATGTACCTACAAATCCCCGAAAGCAAGACTTTCTCTTGCCAATTTCTGTTTACTTGATTAACAATGCCGTAAAACAAACAAAAATTCACATCCAAATTATAATTTGGGTAAAAGGCACAAGCGGGCGGATGGATAGAATGATCCATGTGAAACGTGAACGTGCTTATTGTATTAAATGTCAAAAGTATTCAAAAACGACAACGACATTTTTCGGTCGGGAATATTGTTTTTTGCGGCATTAGCAAGGCAAGTGGCCAAAAACGTCTCGGCCAGATCGCCAAATGAGGTCACGTATGTCGAGATTTGTGTAAGAAAACCTATACGCTCCGGATTAGACACACACAGATAGTCATCAACTTGCCACGCTACTTTTACTACATGCCGCGGTCCTCCCACACGGTGCTTTGTTTATTGCCATTTTGCAGACTTTTATAGTGACATTCTGTGCTCCGGAGCACCCGAGTTGCACGCCAAGAATAACCTCGAAGTAATATAAATGAAGGGGATACAAAAAGGCCCAGACAGACTCAATATTTATGGCCATTATGTGAAGACATGGCAGCACCTAACCATAAGGAATTTCCTCATTAATTTTTGTTATAATCAAGCCGCGGGTGTATTTCATAAAAGTCTTTACATTTTTTTTTTTATTCAGTAACCAAAATAATTGCACCTGTGGATCAAATCTCCGAAATGTAATAGAGGCGAACGGATACCTTCGACGTGTAAAATATTTCGCGTTGGATTACTTGCCACAAGTATTTTGATAAGCTGCTACAACAGATCTTCACTATAAACGGTAATTACCTACCAATATTGGATTATGATACTATTTCTCTATAAAAACCTGTTTAAAAACCTCTGTTTAGCCTGAAGAAACTTATTTCTTAACAATATTTTGATTAATAGACAACATAAATTTGTTATTTTATTTACTTGGGAAACAAATCAAATCAAAATTAACATAATTATGGAGCAATCAGTCTTAACGACTTTTAGATGAGTTTAACTTGGAAATAGAAAAGTAAAAATCTGTCTCTAAAATATTGAGGTTTAAGGAGGTGTAGATATAAAGCGATTATAGAGAAGCCCACCTTTCTTTAAAAAATACGAATCATGAAAATTAACAAATTAAATTTAATCATTCTTAAAAGAAATGTTTTTGGAGAATGTTTATGTAATTCGGCATTAGTAGAAGAATCGTATGTCCAAAAAGGAAACCGCAACTCATGAAAACTAACAACCAAGAACACTATGGTAAAGGCACTCGGCTGGGATTTTTGTAGAGTTCATTGAGACGATTAGAATTTAAAAACGTAACCTCTAGGCAATAAAGATTTTAATAGCCAAATTGGCAAGAAAGATTTAGCAGACCGTTAGATCAAAGCCTCAGACTGTCCGTAGAATATGATTCAAATGATGAATAATGATTCATTATTAAAGCCCAGAAGACGAAATTCAAGACTAGATAAATGCTACCCGGATATGGTTACATGAAGTAATCTATCTTAATCTCAATCTATAAATCAAATCGTTAAAAGCTCTTATCTTGTTGTCTACCCCGAAAGTATCGCATAGTTGAAAGATTTATCAATAGCTGATTTTATACAATAAGATAGATTTGATTTTTAGCATTTGTTTTTTAGCAGGTGTTAGGTAGTACCAAAATAAAAAATGACGCAAACTGCTGGTATATTAACATAAAGTAATAAGAAAAATAAAAAAAAAGGCTCAAAACTGATTGGATTTTCTGGTTTTTTGGTTAGGGAATTATTGGTGGAGACAAGGGTATGCTATGCTTCGGTTGGTTGCCAAAAAAAATGTCTAACGTTCCTGGCTTGTTTATTTAAGATTTGTGTGGCAACCATCGTTCGCATTCCAACAGATTTCAGATTTAAGTTCGGTACGTATTGTACCACATTCAAAACTAGAAAATGTTGGCAAAAACAGCATCAATAAGCAACAGGTTTCTTGGATCTGCGAGCACTGGGCACCCAGCGCAGCGCACCGCACTAGCATAGCATTCAAAGCAATGTGCCTCGGCTTTCGTTTTATTTTGCAAACCAGTTTGGCACATTCGGCTTTTTCTATAAGTTTCCGGTTGAACATAATCAGCAAACTGACTTTCTGCTGAAGCCACACGGCACTATGTAGCCTTAGCTCTGTGTGGCTTCACTATGGTGGCTTCACTGTATTGTAAACGTTTGTTTATACGACGACGACAAGCATGGCATGTTTAGTGAAAGCGGAGGACATGAAATTCGCTAAAAATTTTCGCAAATAGAAACAGGAACGAACAAAATGTTCGTTTTAAATTTAAGCGAGATGTGATATCTGGCTTATGCAACCACCGATCATGGCTTTTATGATTTTCCAGATAAATGTACACCAATCATGGCAAACATCATTCGTACGTATTTTGATAAATCACAACATGTCTGATAAAAATCAGATCACAATTTCACTTTGTCTGAGTTTTCAGGTGGTTTTCAGGTATGATTTTTTTTAACTGAGGAATTTATAAGCTTATTAGGCCATTTAAATAATAAAAAAATGTAGTTCATGGATTATAAAGAAAAAAATTGCATACTTTTATGAAAATATAACTCATACGCACCGGTGTTTTTTAATAAGCCATTTTCGTAGGTTAGTGTTTTCTATTGTGGAAGTCTGAACAATATTAAATACTATATGTAATAAAAATCCACTGTTTAAAGAAAATTCTCTTTTCTTGAAAACAACATTGCGTATGAGTAATATTTTTGTCTCTTAACTTCTGCCTTGCGTATACTTGATATTGTAATTAACTGTTGATTAATGGCAAGTTTTTGTTTAGTCTTAAAGGAAACGCTTATCTTTTACTGTGATCTATAATCTAGAATCTAGATGTTAGTTCCTATCTTTGTTTATTGATTCTGTTCTGCTTTCTCCGTTTTTGCTTGCTTCGAAGAATGCAATCAAATAAAATTATGAGCGAACCGTAAGCATAAAAAATTCCTCAAGTTTAGTTCCGATTTGTCTCCATCTCTCTTATCCCATTAAATTAACGATCCGACTAACGGATACGCCAGCCTGGCCTGCCAAGCTCCTGGTGCCAACGAGTCTTGGTCACCAGCGGATGTACAGCCAGCCAGTGCAGTGAAAAGAGAAACAGCTTAGGGATAGAAGCCGCAAGATGGGGCTTTGAAATACATTGCTAACTGTATCTTAGCCACAGCCAGAGCCACAACTTGATCGCAGGCACTCGAACCGGCCGTTTAGGCGTCTCAAAATTGTGGGCAAGCGGCGGGTAAATGTACACCTGATCCCGAAGCCCCCAACTGCCGTTGTTTGGTTGGTAGCTTCCCAGTTCCCAGTTGCCATTTGCCAGTTTCCAGTTCCCAGTTTATTAAACAAATTTATGATTATCCCGTTTCTGAACCTTTTTTCTTTCTGGGTGTGAATGTTTCCGAAGCCATCTGCGGTTTAAGCGGAAAGAGCTGAATGAATTTAAGGCCCATGTTGTAAAAAATTATAGACGAATATGTGGTTTCGTAGGCTGTATCGGACATACACTACTAAATCAAAAGCATCCATATGTTATCATCACAAATAGCTACATTTTCCACAACTCCGCACGGCAGCACTGATCTGGGCAGATCTCGGATTTCCACATGTCCAAATACGTGAGCATATTTTTTCGTTTTTTTTGGTAAGAAAAAGAACAGAAACGGCTAAGACAACGCCAAGTTTGTTAAATTGTTTATTGCATATTGATATCACACCATTTAAGGCATGGAGAGGCCGTCTTTGCATACAAAGCAACTTATGCAAAAGACATTTCGAGCTTCGAGCTGCGAGCTCGGCTTAGGATTCAGGTTTTTACGAGTGGGTACGGCCGCGTAGGTTAAGTTGTTAGTGACTCTAAATCGGACATGGGGGAAATAGCCATTTCCAAATTTATTTAATCTTTTACATTTGTTATATTGGTGTTTTTACAGAAAAATGGCTGCAAAATACCTGACCCCCCAGCAAGGACTGGGGTTCCTGGGGCTCTTCATCCTGCTATGTTCGGCGGTATTGGGCAAGTCTCAAATGTGTGAAGTGGAAACCGGCCAAACCAACATTATTCTGGACGTTGAAGAGAGCCGAGAATCATGTAAGAATATGAGCTGAACATTTTATTTGATTAATTATAGCTTAAAATAGTTACTTAGTAAGTAAATCACTTCTTTTCGTGTATGCGGTATGAATTTTTATGCGATTTGAAAACAAAACGCCATGAGCCCAACCTCGACATCAAGATCATAGACGCAGAGCACGCGAGGTGCAAAGCCATAATTAAAATTGTAAACGTGATCATGTACAATGTACGTACATAGGCAGAACATAATTGCTCGAAAATCACGTCAGTCCAGTCTCCAGTCCAGAGAAAATAAACACCAAGAGTATAAGTAAAAAATCGTTATTATTCCAAAAATATTTAAATGTACTTTTGCCTCGGACATAACATATATTTAATGATTCTTTTCGTGCACATGTTATACAATATCTGATCTCACTTTCGAGGCATGGCCTGCAAAGTAACAAGATCACACGAAATCTTATGTACATATTTAATTCCATGCAAGATGCATCTACATATGAACAAACTATATATTTATGTAGCTGCATATACGTATGCCTTCATACATAGCAAATTGTCGGTGCAACTTGACCCCAAAAACAAAGTGAAAGGCTGTCTGCCGTTGTCTCGTTTTCCTCTTGATATGGCATAGCCGTGGATGTGGTAGCCTAGCTGTGGTTCTTTTTTTCCCATTGCGCCATAATAATATATTTCCCATATCAAAAATGTGTTTCAGTTATTGGACAGCCGACAAATCCGCCAGAGCTTCCAATTTTTGGCGATCCAGAGACGGAAATCGCTCTCAATTTGGTCTTCCCGAAAGGCCAGCCAATTTTTCAGCTAAATGGCAAGAAATTACAACTACTTCAGCCATTGGATCGAGATGAGGAAAATCTCAGTCATATTGTCTTCCAGGTATGTTATTTTAATGCAATATTTTTTAATAACCAAACGAAATATCTATATATATGATTATGTACAAAAAAAACGCCCACTTTTCTGTTTCGCTGCAGGTTTCCTGCACCGTCCGATCGACGAGCAAGAAGCGCAACATTCCCATTATAGTCCGGGTGTCGGACATAAACGACAACGCGCCGCGTTTCATGAACACGCCCTATGAGGTTACCGTTCCCGAGGTAAGTAAATAGAAATTTTTCAGTGTCTGCGGCACGATCAGCTTTTCGTCGCCCCGAAGTTTGCCCGCATTTCTTGCGGTTGTAGTTGGGGCTCAGAACCGGGTGCCAAACGGACTATCACGCTGTCACAGTCATTGCTACACTGGAAAAAATGTTTGCTTATATTCAGAAGTTCTTCTCGGGTTTGAAAACCTTTAAAATGAAAAGAGATTATAATAGAATTTATGGAAATATTCCTCTTAGTGTATAAGAGTCAGGTGAATGTACATAGTTTGGTCGAAGCGACAACAGAAACTACATACTGAACACTAATGAAGTGGTAGTGGACATGTTTCCAGCGCTCCGGCCAACAACAATAGCATGTCGAGCGGATCCCCAGCATCTTTCAGCTCCAGCTCCGGGGAGCATCTTGTTCGTATTGCTTAGCGGCGAAATGCAAGAGTATTGCCGGCTTTTAATCACGTATTTAGACTAATAACGTTCAATTAAAGAACTGTTGACATATTAGAAAGCACCAAGCATTGAGCATTAGCAAAAAGCATAAAAGAAAACGGAAACGTGCCATATAAGAATTTATATAGATGCATTATTCGCTAAAGACTTTTCCTCGGCTCGGCTCAGGGAAACCTTGGCACTAAATGTGGTTAATTGCACATTTAATGCTAAGTGAGAATAAAAGAAATTGCCCATATTAAAGTAATAGATACTGTACTGTAAGGATAATCAAAAGCGTATAAGTTCCCTCTGTTTTTAAAAACATTATTTAATGTTTTAAGTTAAGCGTCCTGCTTACAAAATGAGTACCAAGAATTTGATTTGGAATTCAAAAGGGCAGAAATAAATAAAAGTGTCGAGATCTTCATCTTTTTGCCCAACAAAAGAGCGTATATATAGTGCATTGTCAATTGGTGATCCCAGGTCCCTTTAAGGCGATCTGCCAGTCAAACAGGAATATAATTGGTATGCACTTGCCGACTTAGGCGAACACTCCCGAGGGACTCCATGTCCGACAACATGGCCCAACAACAGCAGCAAAAAGGACAAGACAACAGAATTGCATTTCATTCCCGCTCCATCAAATAATTACAAGAAGAGACTCAAATTATACCTCTAGAGAGCCGATCTGAAACTATATTTAATGTATATATAAGTATTTGAGATAAATAAAATCCGTAAATACCAGGAAAACGAAGAAAATTATGAAATGTTCACATTAACTCCGCCTGCCATTTAACTGAAAAACTGAAAAACAAATCTCAAAGTTCAGCGGATGAACAATGTCTTCTGCATAAAGTGAGTTTTTGCAATTCTGGTTGGCGGCGGCTGAGGAATCCCCTGGTGATGAGGCTAAATTGCAGATTCAAGAAACACGAAAAGATACATACAGCGAGCAGATACATAAGCAGAAGCCATGTATCTGCTCCTTAACATAAGTTTCAGAGACTGGGCCACCGTTATACAACAGCAGGCAAAATGTTGAGATTTTTTCGAGCTACTTCACGGTTAAACAATACGATTAAAATTGTGATCCCACAGTTTCCGTTCGGATGAGATACATAAAGTACCTGACATGTTGTGGTTTTTTTTTTGTAAACTTCAATTGCGTGATTTCTTCTTTTTTTTATTACAGAGCACACCTGTGGGAACTACAATTTTCCGAAACATACAAGCCCTCGATAAGGATGCAGGTGTTAATGGGTTAGTGGAATACTTCATTGCCGAGGGCCATGTAAATGCCACTGATGAGGAGAAGTTCAGTGCCGATGGATATGGCACATTTTCTATATCGTTTCCACATCAGGGACAGGTGAGCTATATGCATAACTAGAAATTATTTAGAAAAAATCTAGAAAAAATTTAATTAGGACTGTTGTAAACCATAAATTTCAAATATATATTTTACCAAATTGTATTTCAGGTCACGGTTGCCAAGACATTGGACTATGAAAAAATCCACAGATATTACCTTACGATTATTGCTTCGGTAAGTTCGGCTTACATCCTAAGCTCAATAATAACTCAATTAATTTAAAGCCATAAAAGGGTTAATCAAATCATTTGTTGAGCATACCCCTTTGAAGCTATTTTCTATCCGGCATTTCCATAAATTACACATTACGAAAGCTGGCTTTTACCGGCTTTTTAGCCGCCGGCATAAATACAAGTCTTGTTCCTTTCACCTGGGCGTTGGCAGTGAAGTTATGGGCTCCATAAAAATCAATGCTGAACAAAAAATAAATAACCTGATATTACGGTAGCTAAAGAGCTAATTGATTTAAATATTATTTTCATTTTACTTACAGGATCGAGCCCGCAACGTCGCCGATCGTCTTTCTTCAACCACCACGTTGACGGTCAATATTGCCGATTCGAACGACTTGGATCCATCGTTTATATACAGCGGCTGCGTCTCCTTGGACGGAGCCTGCATAAATCCGGAGTACACTGCATCCGTGCCAGCCGGTTCTTTACTGGGGGTGCTGACAGTTCTGCCAGAACGAATCCAGGCAGTGGATTTGGACACCATAGGATCGCCTATACGTTACAGCTTTGCCAGTGGCATGCCGGGAAACTATGCGGATTATTTCCAGATCGATGAGAACACGGGAGTTCTTAAGCAAACAAAAGCCATCGACACTTCCACGGCCAAGAAGTACGACATTATTGTTAAGGCCGAGGAAGTAGCCCCCGGACTGAGGCGGTTTACCACGGCCAAACTGGCGATTGCCGTAAAGCCGGTGGACGCCAACCCACCTGTAATCTCATCCTCGGCCATCGAGGGTTATGTGGAGGAAAACTCAGCCGTGGGAACGAGGGTCTTGGACGCGAACGGAAACCCAATATCGTTCAAAACCACAGATGCCGACCTAAGTGACACGGATCCGAAACCTGATTACATCTACGAACTGACCACGCCGTCGTTTAATGTGACTAGCGATGGGGTTTTGGTGGTGAACGAGGACAACCTCGACCGCGACCCCCCCTCGCCGGGACGTTTCAAGTTTCAGGTTGTGGCCCGGGAGCCGCGCACCAATGCCGCCAGTGCTCCGTTGAGCCTAACAGTTCACCTAAAGGATGTGAACGACAATGCCCCTAAGCTGGCGATGGTTCCCCCGATTTCCATAACCGCCGGGGATCAGAGCGAGAGCCGACTGGTCACCCAGGTGGTAGCCACTGACAACGACGAGGGACCCAATGCCGTGGTCACCTACACGATCTATCATGTGTCCAACAATGGCATTCAAAAGTTTACCATCGACCGGGAGACGGGTGAGATTCGAACCCAAGGGCGTTTGCTGGCAGGAGAGCAATATAGCATCACTGTCCAGGCCACCGACATCGGAGGACTTTCCTCGCAGGCGATCGTGGAGGTGAGTGTCACTCCAGGACCGAACACCAAGCCACCGCGTTTCCAAAAACCGATCTACGAGGTACAGGTTAGCGAAGGTGCTGAGATTAATTCCACGGTTACGGTGGTCCATGCCGATGATCCGGAGAACGATGCGGTTGTCTACTCGATAATTTCTGGCAACGATCTCCGGCAGTTTGCCGTAGGACAGGAGAGCGGAGTGATTGTAGTCATCCGGAAACTGGATCGTGAGAGCTTAACCAGGTATCAGTTGATCGTAAAGGCAGAGGACACTGGTGGCCTCTCAAGCAGTGCCACAGTTAACATCAAAGTGACTGATATCAACGACAAAAATCCGGAATTCGATGCGTCTACCTTGCCGTACGTTTTCCAAGTGGATGAAGGCAAGGCCCATGCGTCGGTTGGCGTCGTTCATGCCACGGATGCGGACGAAGGTATTAATGCAGAGATAACCTATTCCATACCCACGGATATTCCATTCACCATTAACGCCACTTCCGGTGAGATACAGACCGCCAAGGAGCTGGATTATGAGACTCTGAACGAGTACAAGTTCGTGGTCACGGCCAAGGATGGTGCTCCAGATGCTCGGCTGGGAACAGCCAGTGTGACTGTTATGATACTTGACCTTCCGGACGAGGTGCCCAAGTTCAGCGACGCTCGTATAGATGTCCACATCCCGGAAAATGAGGAGAACTTCCTGGTGGCCACCGTGCAGGCATTCGATCCAGATTCCTTGCCTGAGATTACCTACGTTCTGAGGAAGGGAAATGCGGAGCTATTCAAGGTCGCCCCGAAGTCCGGAGAAGTACGAACAGTGAAGGGATTGGATTACGAAACTCAGAAGCAACATCAGCTAATAATTGGAACCATTGAGAATGATGGTAATGGACCAGGAGATACCGTCCAGTTGGTAGTCGATGTTGAGGATAGAAACGACCTGCCGCCGAGGTTCATAACCGTACCCGATCCCGTAACTGTGAATGATGATCAGAGTATAGGAACCATCATTGCTACTCTTCCAGCCATCGATGGTGATGGCACCTCGCCCGGAAATGTGGTGCGCTACGAAATTGTGGGCCGCGGCAAGGCGCCTAAATACTTCCAGGTTGACCCGGATACCGGAGCAGTACGCATACGAGATGAGCTGCGAAAGGAGGAGGACACGGAATACCAGGTGGACATAAGGGCCTACGATTTGGGTGAGCCCCAGTTGAGCTCGGTGGCTCCGCTGCGCGTGGATGTACACCATTTGAGTGCCAATGGCAACACTGAAGTCCGCACGGACAGCAAGCTGGAAAGCGGCATGATGATGAGCAGTGAAAGCATAGGCCTAGCCTTCAGCGACGACAGCTACTCTACCAGTGTGCCAGAGTCCACGGAAGTAAACAGCAGCCTGAAAACCATTCAAATCGTCAACTCCAAACAATCCGCCGATGGACCACCGGCCTTCCGTTGTGAATTCGTGAAGGGCAACGAGGAGGGAGTCTTCAACTTGAGCTTTACGGATCACGGATGCAGTCTTTTGCTGGTGCAGCCCCTCGACTTTGAAAACAAAACCTCGTATACGCTCCAACTGCGTCTCACCTCGCATCGCTACTTTGTGAATCCCCAGAAAGATACTGCCACCGTCGAGATTATAGTTCAAGATGAGAACGACAATGCCCCGGAGTTTGAGTTCAACCGGCTGCGCGGCCAACGAGATACATTCTACACGGTGGTAACCGAAGACATGGATGTTGACACAACCATTTTACAGGTGCGAGCCACTGACCGCGATTCGGGTAAATTCGGAACCGTGAGATATGCACTCTACGACGAAGATGAGAACCGCGTCAATATGGTAAGTACTTAACAAATTTAAATATTTAGTTTAAATAACAATAACCATCTTTTTTTTAGCCCACAAGCTATTTCATAATGTCGGAAGACACTGGCGTCCTACGGACGTCCAGGCATTTCAAAAATGAGAACGACTTCCCCATGACACTTTTGGTGGAGGCCCGTGATAATGATGCCCAGGAGCAAGGATCTCATCGTACAAGGGCCCGGATTGTGGTCAACAAATTGACGGACATTAATCGCATGGCATTGTCCTTTGCCAACGCAGCTCCCAGCGATCTCCGCAACTTTTACACAGAGGTGGAGGAGCTACTGGACAAGAAGACAGGTCTGGTCAGTGGCATTGAGCGAATGAGCAGTCAAAAGTATCTGGCCCACAATGGATCGGTGATCGAAAATCCATCCTCAACGGATATATGGTTCTATCTCATCGATCCCAAGACGGAGCAGCTGCTGAGCCGTATGGACAATGTTGTGGAAGCCACATTACTGGAACCCGCCAAGAGATCTGAATTGAACTTTGCATTGCCACTAGCCACAGCGGATAATATATCGTTCCCAATTGAAAGAAAAGAGCAAGTACACAAGGTAAGTTTATTAATACATAATACCTGTGAGGATTCTATATAAAATATTTTATACTTACAGGCAAAGGTCGATATAGCCATCGATAACGAAGTCTTCCCATTCACTCTGATCGCCATTTCTCTCGTAATACTCATTTTGGGCACTATTGGGATCATTTACATATGCATCTCCTGGTCAAAGTAAGCAACTTAAATAATATATCGCTTTATCAACCAAATAAAATCTTTATTTTTAGATACAAAAATTTCAAGGAGCGCATGCGCCAATACTCCTCCACGAATCCCACTCGGTACGATCCAGTTATTGTTAATCCTCAAGCCTCGAGTGCCAGCGAAACGATAGCCAACATGAAGGAGTATGAAACCCAGATGCTGGCCATGGCTGTCCCTCCAGATGTGGACGACGATCTGCAGCTAGACTTTAGTGCCAAGAACCATGCCTTCTCCCTCGACAACGTCAGCTACATCACCCACAAGGAGAATGGGGGTGGACAGTCCAGCCCCTCGCATTCTGATGCAACGACAGCCACAATTGCCACTCTGCGGCGCCACAAGAACCTCAACAACGCCAATATGAACAACAATTTGGCCATTAACAACCGACAAAACACCTTCAACCGCACACTCGAAATGAACACGAGGAATAACGCCAATCCCCTGGGCTCACCACCACCGAATGGTGCCCTTTCAGGCACCTTGACTCTGGGACGCATCAAGCATCAGAACAGCAATCATTACCAGAATGGTGTCTACAACATTGATCCGACGGGTCCCAACAACCTGGTTATGGCCAAAAACAATGCCTACAGTACCATGGGCAGGCGGGGCAATACGTTTGGGGACGTGGGATTGCTCAATGGAAACGCAGAGTTGATGAACAGCACATTGGGTCGGAATGGCCAGCTCAACAATAGACTGTATGGCGGAGAAGTGCCGATCACAAACCCCCTGTTTCAAAGGTAAGTTTTTAAGTTTATAAAAGCTATAAATAGTCTAAAACCATATTTTCAGAGCCAGTTCCGATCACAATCACTTGAGCAGTACAAATGAGAATGTGTCCTTTGGAAAGAGAGACTACGGCCAAATTGGCTTTTCATATCTGAACGATTTGGATCGATCGGAGGTCGAGACCACAACGGAACTATAAACTGACTAGCAAAAATGGTTTCGAAACTTCAACATATACATAACTGACTTTGTTATATATTTAGCTGCCAATTTTTTAGCTTAAATAGTGCATTTTTACACAACGAGATACGTTGCCATCAATTTATGTTTATAGTTTTATGCAATCTGTAAATAATGGAGTAGAGATACGAACGGAGGAACTGATAACTGATATAAATATACACATAACTGTGCTTTAAGATCTGCAGTCATTAGATTTAAGATAAAAAAAGAGTGCATATATTCCATTTTTCATGAAACTGCAAGAGCTATGTACTTTCTGTAAAAATGTTAGATGTTCTACAAAAATATACATAAATATGCATATTTATAAATAAAGATTATTAAGATGTATAAATTATGAAAAGCCAATAAATGTAAATAAATAAAAAGACGTAATAAAATGATGATTCCCTTTTAGAAGACAGACGACAATTAAATTTCTACAAGACGTTTAAACTTATGTATTTTGGATTCCACGATGCCACAATAAACATACATTATTTTCTACAAAACCTTACGAATTATTTCTAGATTGTTTCGATATTGCCCCTAATGGTTTAATATCGACTTTTTTGTCCTCATTGTGAGCTGTGGTGACATTCAGCACGTTGCTAGCGGGTGAACTTTCTGAGGGTTCCTCCTTTTTCTTAATTGTGCTAACACTTGTAGACGGTGTTTCTTCATCTTCTGTTTCAGACTCGCATTTCTGTGGGAAAAATGAGCATTATTTATCAATAAAGAGGGACAACTAACATGAATGAGGTATATGATCGGATAAATGGTTAGGTTGTGAGTTATTACATTAAATTTTGGATTAGTTCAGTAGTGCATCGAGCCAGGGCAAGTGTTCAATGTCCTCGAGCAATTTCAAAACGTCATTAACATTGGGGTCTGTTTCGTCAATTTCAAAGTTTCCCTCAGAATTGTCTTGAATTGTGGAATCGTCTAACACCATTTGACTTGCGAGAAGATTGTCTTGATCAAAATTTTCGTCAACGGAGACAGATCCATGGTTGCTATCATGTTCATCCTCTCCATCGTTCTCAATGCCTAAGTCTATATTTTCACCGTCCATGCTGTGATCGTCAAGAGCTAGTCCTAGATCACTGTCCATATCGAGAAACATGGCACAGTCATCGTCGAGGGAATTAGCTAAATCTTCAGCATCCTCGAAATCGAACTCGAAAATGCTACTTGCCAAATCCAACAGATCATCGCCCGGTGGTTGCTGTTCATTTTGTGGAACAGCGGGCTCGAAATTATCAATAACACAGCCTGGAGCAAAAATACTTTCTACCGGTGGAGTACTTGGGGTTTCATAAAACTGGAGGGTGAAAGGTCGGTTATTTATTCAAAGTGGATCACAATGTCTTAAGTAAAACAATACTGATACTTATGTACATGTGTATTAGTTGTTTCTTGGTAGATATACATGTATCTAACTATTGCTTAGCGTTACTACAAAGGTGTTTAAGACAAGTGTAAATACTAAGTTTAGGCAGCACTCAACTGTTCGACAGCTGATCGTAGCTTATAGTATCTGTATTCATGTGCAACACAACAACTTATGGCAATGAGTAAAGAGGCAGTTGGATTTTTTAAGTAATTACATGTAGTGGTTATGGCGTGGGTTAGGTTTAGTCATAGATCAACGCACCTTTTGTATATATTGGCGCTTAGCCGGCGGCACAGCAAGATGAAGTACACAACTCGAGTCTTCCAGGATGCTAGCCACAGGCTCCTGGCAAACAACGCCACTGCGCTCAACGCCACAGGCCCGAAATAGTACTTGCCGCTTGTCCTCGAGAATATGCTTACGGCAGTGCTTGCAACAGGGCAATGTTCGTTCCCCACACTTCACCCCACCTTCGGTGAAGACACACTTTGGGTTGCTCGACGACTTGGAGGAAAACAGGGTGTCTTTGGCACGCTTCTCCTTTTGCTTCTTATAAAGCACAGATTCCACGCCCTGGCGACGGTGATAGCTGTTTAGGGCCTTCAGCTGTTCATACAATTTCCTTTCGCGAGGAGTTTCCTTTAGTTGGTCATGAATACTACCTGAAAATATGCCGATTTAACAAACGATCTACTATCTTAATAACCATTCTTACAATAAAGTTCCCGTTCTCGACGAATGTCATGCAAATATTTGCGGCGCCTTTGCTTCAGAACATACTGAAGCTGTGAAAGCTCGTCGCGATAGAGGCCTTGAAGCTTAATTAATTTGGATTCAGCAATGCGAACCGCTTCGGCACGAGTGAAGACCCCAGCATGTCTACAAAAAAAAAAATGTCACTATTATGTTTATGACTTTTTGGTTAGCACTTACTTCAGTGGATCATCATCTTCGGAATCGTTGCTCTCATAGTCAGATTCATAAAACTCAATGTCTTGAGCCGTGTTCTTAAGACAAGGTGGGTCCTCATCGTTACTCGAACTGTCAGATGCATAATCAAGAATGCGACGACGTTTTCGCGTACTGTCCACAATGTGTCCAATATTATTCCGATAATCTTCGGATACTATGAGGGAAACCATAAATAAGAGTGTCAAGAAACTCATGAAATTTTCTTACCGAAAGGGGTAACATGTGGGGATACCACATCAATTTCATCTTCGTCCGGTTCAGGATTGGGAGCCTCTGGTCTTATGTCCTCCACATTAATGTGAGACGAAAGACTGTTTAGCAGAGTCTCATTGGTCTCAACTCGACTTCGGATACGACCCACGGTTAGATGGGTCTTCTGAAGCTGCGTCTGGCGATTGTGCTCAAAACAGAGTGTGGTCAAGATCAGCTCCTTCTTGTTGTCGAACTTGGGCACAGCATTGATGCACTTTCTACCATTGGCAAACACATGTGTGCACTGACGGTAGTTGGCACGCGGATCACGCAATATGTGGCGAATACAATATTCGTAGCCATCAATTCGCATCAAGCTGCATTCGTACGTAGGATTGGCGCAGTACTTAATTTTCGTCAACTCGTTGTGGATTTGGTCTCGTAACTGCTGCTCCTTTTCCGGGGTACAGGGTGTGCCGGTAAAGCGCGAACAGTGGCGCAATTGATTGGGCGAGAAGGTATTCATTCTCAATTCGTGCAGCTTGTTCTTTTCGGTCTTTTTCTTTTTAGTTCGAAACGTGAAAAACGAAGCTTGCTTTTAGTTTAGTGTGACCAAAGTGCTGGTTTAGAAAAAAGGTCGTGTATTTGGATCACACTAATCCTTAAAGTTATCGTTTTCTGTCTATTTATATATTTTCGTAATTAAAAAGATTCATTTTATTTTCATACCTTTAGTAGTAAAAAGTAACAATTAAATAATAAAATATCAAAAAGAAAGAATTTAAAGGGAATGGCCGACTGGCTGAGTGTAATTTGTCCAATTTGCAGAATAGATTTATTGTTAGCTGGTCATACTTTGGAGCTATTGTTTTCGTTTGCTGGCACAGCAATTTTCGTTTGTTAAGCAGAATTCGGATAATTAGGGTCGCGATATGAACAACAGCCCCAAGGATCCCCACGGCGGCTACCGGGGCATTGGAGGCGGTGGACCCCTGGACGGCGGATCAGCCGGTGTTTCTATCAGCATTGAGAGTGATGACAATGACTCAACTACGGCTGAACACGAATTTTTGCTGCCGTCCTCGTCGTCGATGACCTCTGCAGGTGGAGTCGCAGGGGGAGGACCAGCTGGGGCAGGTGGTTCTGCCAACACCAGCATTAACTTGGATCACGGGCCGATTTCTACGGGAAGGAGTAGCAGCCTAAGTGGCGCTAACCGTCACGGAAATATCCTGTCTACATTCTTGGCCAGGCAACGGTCTTACACACCAGCCAGCACAAGTAGCGGCATGTCGGCGCGTGCTTCTGCACAAATAAATCGTCGATTGCAACAGTCACGCAGCATGGGCGCCAACGCCAGTGGCAGCCTTGAGGAACCACCGGTTGCAGGTGCAGCTTCCAATGCTCAGGGAGCCTCCCCTGGAGGTGTAAGGCAGCTTGGTTTCTGGCGGGTCAATCTCAACGATGTGTTCTCCCTATCCACGGCACCGTCGAGAGAGGCTCTCCGATCCTTAATAACACATTCCAACTTCAGATACCAGCCTGCAGCAGCCCCCGCTGGAGCCCCGCCAGTTGTTCCTCCAGCTCCAGTTGACAACTCGCACATATTGCTTCAGCAGCAACCGCCTCCAACCCATCCCGAACCGACGAGCTCCCCCCTGAGGTATGGACGAGTGAGCGCTGGGTCAGGACCCAGTCCTAGTGGAATCATCGGCAGAAGTATTTCATTGCGCGAGGGTGAAATGAGACACAATCAAAACCTCACCGGTGGCCGACACACCGCCAGTGTCATCGGTCTGCATAGCAATCCGGTGGCTTTAGAAGAGCACGAACACAATGCTGGACAAGATATGGAAGATTCCGACGCCAATGGAGAACCAGGAGGAGGAGGGGCCGCAGGAGGTGATCCCCAGATGGAGCCCCATGACCATGCAGCAGAAGATGAAAATCTCATATCAGACGACATGGTTGTCCAGATCCTCAGTCACTTTGTACGCTATCTTCCACTGATCTTCATATTGATGATCAAATTCATACACGATCACCTGCTCGGCATTATAGATCTTATGGTATTGCAAACCGTCATTTATAACGTTAACAGATCGGTGCGGACACAAGTAGCGAGACTAGCCCAGAAGAACTACGCTGTGATGATACGAGATGCCTGCCTGATTTCCGTGGTGGTCACCCTGCGTCTGTTTTTGGCCACTGCGCCTCCTGATCCCTTTGGTCTGATTGTTCCGCCACCCAGAAAGTATTTTAGTCTGGAGATCACCGCATTGCCTTATCACACGGAACACACTGAGGCAGAAAAGCTAGCTGGAAACCCAACCACTTCATCGGAAACCCTAAAGGCTTCCATATCCACGGATACGTATGATGCCCTGAAAGTGATTCCCTTGGGCATGCTGCTTTATTACATTGCTGTGAGTGATCTTATTATTAAACTGCTGACAATGTTGGTGAAACTGGGAATTACAATGTTGCCGCACCATATAATGAGACTTAAAGTTAGGGTAAGTTCCAGGAAAAATCCAGCAGACGTGCACAGCATAAATAATAATTATTTCCAGGCGCGCTTATACGTCTTGGTGGAGTACTCCTCACAGTTCTATCGGGCACTGACTCCCATCACCCAATGGTTTATGTTTCTCTACGAGTCCTACTCGGGCCTGGAGGTGGTTTCCGGAGGCCTGTTCTCCGCCCTGTATCTGGGGGCGAAGATATTCGAGCTGGTGGACCGTGGCAAGTCGCTTAAAAAAGCCATTGTGACTTTTAGAAAGAATATTGTAAGCATAAAATAGACATATTTGGATTTTCTAACGACACCGAATTACCCAACAGGACTCTGAGCGACCGCCAACCAAAGACGAACTTGATGCAGCGGGTGCATTGTGCCCCATATGCCATGATGCCTTCAACTCGCCCATTGTGCTCGAGTGCGGCCACATCTTCTGTGATGAGTGCGTTCAGACCTGGTTCAAGCGAGAGCAGACCTGTCCCATGTGCCGGGCAAAAGTCAGCGACGATCCCGCCTGGCAGGACGGCAGCACAACATACTTCCATCAGTTGTACTAGCTGCTACCCAAAGATATTTTCCCATTCTACTCCCAGAATAACCTTCGCGTGTACATATAGTCGAAGCTAGCATTTGTTTAATTAAGCTGACAGTTATTAATTATTATCTAAAGACACAAAAAATGGCTATTGCTTTTTGGTATTCTTTACTTTCGGCGTCGAGCAGCATCCAGCGATCTCTGCTCATAATACTCCCCATCTCCACGAGTTGCCTTCTTATTGATCTCTGTGTGGCGGTCCTTGCTCACGATTTCCTCAAGTACTTCGCTGTCGCCCTTGATTAGGCGAGTGCGCCCTGTCACGGGATCTACCTCTCGGCGGATTTGGCTCTGCCGTCGTTGGTACTCCTCCGGTGTTTCAGGGGCATGCGACTTGCTGTTCATCAGCGCTTGAATTTGTTTTGGGATACAAAGTATTCAGCAAGCACAAATATTTTAGGCTAATTCGTACGGACCTATTGGTATTGAAAAGTCTTCCTCCTGTTCCTGTTCCGGCTCCTGCTTTTGGTTGTTCAGCTCGGTTACGGCGGGTGAATCTTCCCTTTTCCGGCGGCTGTGCTTTTTTGATTTCTTAGACTTGTGTTTCTCCTTGTGCTCCCTTCGCTTGTGTTTATGGCTCTTCTTAGATTTTTTATCACTTTTCCCCATTTTTATGACTAATTGATTTTTCAATTTAGCGTCGTTATAAACAGAGAAACGATTAAATTCAATAAACAAACATCAGCTGCACTTCATAAATTCACAAATAAAAAATGGCAATACCTCCTTTTCTGAGCTGGTAATGCCTAATCGATTTATCGACTGTTATCGGTTAGCCGAAAAACGGCTAAGGCGGCAGCACTTCAAATTTAGGTATTATATACTCTACACTTTGTTCGATTTGACATTTGACAATCTAAGAAAGGCGGATCACCTCGAGCACAGTTAAATGCACCAGCAAAGGCATTGGTTTAAATATGAGTCGTCAGGGAACGCGAGATCAAAATGATATATCGCTGATAATTGGGACGCTGCCGAAGCGTCTGCAAAAGAAAATCGCGGCCAGCTGCAGCCACGCAACAGTGGAAAACGCTGAGAATGCTGAGCCCCCAAGGCCAGGTGAGTGTGTTTGTGTGTGTTAATGCGTCATTGCGTTGAGTGCATCCTATATCTCGGATTTCACCATCCGTAGTCACGATCTTGAGCAATCATGCAACGGTGGCGATTAAGCCCAAGGCGACCCTTTTGGAAACCAGCGGGTCGGCTGGCAGACAGCAACAACCGCGCGAAGGCGGGATCCCAGGAATCCTACGCGTGGCGGTCATAGATAGCAGTGGCGGGAACGGAAAAGACGCAAACAGTGGCAAATCCCACAACGCTCGTCGAAAGGGGCGCAATCACATCGGCAAGGACAACAAGGAGCACGCTTCTAAGTCGCCAGTGACACGTCCTCGTCTCACCACCGAGCATCCGGACTGGTTTGAACCACTTCTGAACTTTCCTAATGCCAAGGATATAGTCCAGCTCTATGACCAGCTGCAGGTGCTGCAGCAGCGGAACCTTATACTAATCGTATGTTGCTGAAACTATAACTCTATTCGCCGTATCTAATTTTCTACTTCATTCTTCAGAACTGGAAAAACTTCTGTTTCATTCTCAACCAGCTGCAGGATGTCTTCAAACATCTGCTTTTGGAGCAGCTTAAGTTTGTCTGCGAGCACAAGGTTGATGTATTCTTCTGGAAGCTTCTCTTCTACAATGTACGCGACCATCTAAAGCGCCAGACTACGGATCAGGCCCATGCCCACACCTTAATGCTAATTGAACAGTCCATTAAGTTCTATCGGGTGATCTACGACCAGATGATGAAAAGGCTGGGGACTTCCTCACGCTGTGAGAGTGCCGTCAAGGTGGTGGCCCAACGCTTGCTAATCTGCCTGGGGGACCTCTCTCGCTATCGGGTAAACCATGTTCAAGCTACGGACTACTTAGAGGCAGCTAAATATTACCTACGCGCCCAGGAACTGGTGCCCGGCAACGGGGCACCCTACAATCAACTGGCGGTGATTTCAATTTACCATGTAAGTAGCAATTGTTTCTCAAACTATCCCAATTTTTAATATTATATACCCCTTTCAGCACAAACGATTCGATGCCGTTTACTACTATGTACGCAGTTTGCTGACTTCCAACTCAATCCAAACGGCCAAGGAGAGCCTTCTGGATCTATTTGATGAAATTCGTCGCAGATATGAGGAGACCGAGATGAAGCAATCGCCTCTACACTATGCAGCAACGCCAAAAAGTCAAAAGTCGAAGCAGATGCGTAAAGAGGTTTGGATCTATCCCGATGGTATACGATGCCTTCACCGCACCGATGTCAAGGCAAACAAGGGAAAGGGCAATAAGGCCACCTTAGCGGAGGTAAACCGATATGAGGAGATGGCGCCTGAGGAGCTGATGCCGCGAATAATGTCCCTTTATCTCTACCTGATTGGCAAGCTCTACACAGGCACTGAGTAAGTTTATTTTGCCAAAAGTGAAAGTTTTAAACCTGTATTTTAAACATTACTAACCATTCACAGTGTCGATACCTTGTACCAGCTACTGAGAAAGCTGCAGATTCAAATGAGCGCCGCTCTTAAGCACGACAACCTCCTAACGCGCTCAAAACTGCTGAAAATCGTAGCCCTAAACTTATTTGTCGTGGAGCACAACAAGCGCAAAAGTATGGAATAAAATGATAAGAGCCCAGTCATGGTGAAAATTAACGCGTTGTATTTTTTTATAGCTTCACGTCGCGAGATGCGTTATCACAGCTTCAATTTTGCCAACTCACTGTTTGGTCTAATGCTAAAAAAGGCGAACCAGTTGCTGGCCGGTTTTGCTGAAATCTCTACGAACATCCAATGCCTGCCCGATGAAGAGTAATGATTTCCAATTAATATTATTATTATATTATTACTATTAATATTATCTTTTTAGCTACGCTACTGTTAATACTTATTTGCAGTTCGTGAAAGTATATGTGCATTGGCTGGGCATCAATGTGGACTTGTGGGAGCCAGTAAGGTCGGAAGAGTAAGTATATACTTATTTACCCTAATAGTTAATCCCTAATTGGATTATATACTAAATACTATCATTTACATTCCACAGGCATTCCTTTATTGATTGCTGGGCTGAGTTATCTCTGCTTTTTCAACAAATTGAATGCGTACTGGGAAAGCAGAAAAACAAGAAGGAATCCATCATGTTGGATGAAGAAATTGCCCTTAGCGGCTTCAATCCTTTGGGACGAGATACTTCTGGCAAAGATTTGAATAAACGAGGACCTGAACGTGCCCAGTTTTTTGAACGCCTCCGTAGGATTGCTGAATTTGGCGACTGCTACATGCAGCATCAGGAGGCCCTTCAACAGCCGATAGACTCCAGCTTTACTATCGAGGATTTGAATGCAGCAATGAAGGACGCCCTAATCAGTTTTGATGCAGAGAGTTGTGGACTTATGGCAAAGACATGCAACGAGCTACAGACGCAAACAGCGGGCGAGAATGTTGAGGAGTGCCCCTCTACTGATGCCGATGTTTCACAGCTGTGTAGGCTCAAGAAAGAGCTGGAAGCCAAGGCCAAGGTTAAAAAAATTTGCAACAACAAGCTAGAGGAGATCCTTAAGTTTGTGGACACAAAAATTTACATAGAGGTACGTCCAAGATATCTGCTGCCGGATACCAATTGCTTCATCGACTGCCTGGAGGACATTGAGAAGTTGTCTATGGAGTTCAAGCGCTACACGATTATAATTCCACTGACGGTGGTAAGGGAGCTGGATGGCCTCTCCAAAGGTGTCAAGTTGGACTCGTATCGTAACTCGAAGCAAACTCAGCGCATTCACCACTTTGACGAGGTGTCCTCCCGGGCCCAGAAATCCCTTGAGTTTATTAAGTCAGCCAAAAGCAATGTGAAGTAAGTGGGCTTTCTTTTTGGCATTTACTTTATGTTCTTATCAACGAATTGACTTTCAGGTGTGCCACCACAAAAGGATCTTTTGTTAACGCCTCGGTATTTGCCCTGGTTGAGGAAGAGTATCTCTCCAACGATGACAAAATTCTGGCAACAGCAGTAGCTATATCAAAGACTTCGAAAACGGAACAATGCCAGGGTAAGCACCAGTCTACTTGAACTCAGAAAAGTATAATATCATTTCATGATATTCCCTCAGATGGAAAGTGTTTCATTCAAACTGAACTGGTCCTCATTACCACCGACCGTAATCTGCGGGTTAAGGCCCTGACTCGCAACTTGGCGGTTAGTGCTTTGGATGAGTTCCTGCAGTGGGCGAAGGACTGCCGCGAATCAACCTGAAAGGGAAATTCCAATGCAAGTGGTGTGCGCTGATATGGAACATGGACTCGCGCCAGCAACAGTTGCTTTGCGGTGCGAGCTCGATCTATTATACTACCTACATTATACACAAATGACTTTGTATATCGGGGTCGGCAAATCCAATCGTAGACAGAGACGCGCCGATCGCGGAAAGGTACATGACATGGGTTCCTGAGGACTGGACAGGAAGAGGATACACAGTCGCTGAAGTTCTGGTGTTTTTCAGGGTAAATTATTGATGTTTTGTCGGACCACAAATTCGGTTGGCTCACAGTCATCAAATTTGTCCTTTCCCAATTTCTTCAAATGTACTTTTTGCAAATTTCGGAAAAATTAAATCAGTTTGGATTGTTGAAGAATATAAAGTGTTTTCCTTTGGGTTTGGAAATAAAATATATGGATAAATATTATTGCATCAGTGTTTAGTTTATTTGAAACTAGATAAATGGTGTAAATTACATTTAGATTGTGTTGCTTTGCACTTTGTATCCTAAATATGCTCTCTTTGATGTAGAAATATAAAATCTATGAAGTATATGCAAATCTAACAATCACATTCGATTAAAATCTAACATTATAAGCGACAGATAAAACACGGACATGCACCAGAAGGCCGATGCGCACGTACAATTAAAAATAAAAACAACAACAACAACTATAGCTCGCTGATTATCATTAAATGTATCATCATTGGGCATCGGCGAGGGCATTTAATGCCCGAATAACGTAAAACGAATCGATCGTTCTAGTGATTTTTCAAATCAAATATTTCACGTAGCAAGGGTTCCACCTGGGATGGGTTAACATTCAAATAGACATTAATTATGAACTTGTTCAGACGCTCCACATCTGAAATCTTTTGGATCAGCTTGATAAACGCGTTTCTCGCCTCACAGCCAGAGTAGACACTCTCCAGGTATCTTCGCAGAAGATAATAGTAGGAATTCTATTTGAGTGGGACACAATGTTATTATTAACGATATACAAGAGGGTATCATAACTTTGACTTACTTGTTCCAATCTTATCACGTCCTTGTGTATCACTCGCGATCGAGCCGAGGTAAAGAGGACAATGGCGCACATAATAAGGATTATGTTCTCGTCCATGCGCCACTTTTCGTCAAATGTGGTGATGAACTTTTGATGCTCCTCGTAGATATTACCCTCGGCGAACTTGAGCAGGTCAGTTCGTATATTGCCCATGTTTTCTTTGGTGTGTGGTACCTATTGATTATAAATTTTAGAATTGAGGTCACTTCAAACCAGAGTTAAGGTGTGGGATTACCTTCCAGGCAGCACGATCGTCATCGTATATCATAACCGATCGCATTATCATCATTTCTGTGCAGCCGCCTTTGAGTAGGGCCACCTGGTCCTCCTGGCACATGTCACGGAATGCTGTTATCTTCTTGGCCATTTTGATAAGCCTCTTGATGGCCACCGCCGTCAGGTTGATCAGCTGCAGTAGTTTCGGATTGTGGCGAGTGTCGTCAGGCTGAGTAAACAAAACAAATAGAAACAGAACGCACAGGTGTCCACCACATTATTATCGCTGGAATCGCAAAGGCTTCTCCTCGGAAAGTGAATCATTTGAGTGGTGTGGCACTAGCGCTGTTATCATACCGCCCCAAACACCTGGCTGCTCTATATTTCGTCAAAACTGTATCGTTTTCCCTAATTAACAATACCAGAATGTGCTAATTGCGATGAGGCGCATGAAGTAAATATTATGAAGCGACAATAAACGGGCCCGGAATCAAAATCGACCGCTGCTGGAGTCTCATGAGCGCCTGCTGCTGCTCTTGATAATGCTTGATAATGGCACTATTGGTGGGACCGGAGACCCCTTGATAATGCCCAGTGTCTGCCCCAGTCTTGTCAGACCGTCTGGTCGCTTTGATTACTCAAAGCTAGGGTGGGCCAAATTATTGGATACAAATTCGGCGATGCGGTGATTCATTCAACATAAAATTATTTGCAATTGCGCTTTAGAGGGATCAGAGGTCTGGGTTGACTCTAAAAACACGAGATAGCGACAGTGAATCCCTCAACTAGAACTCCATTTCAAGCTTTTCGAATGAAATGGGAAGCATTTTGAAATGTCAACTCATTTAATCAGTCGCTTTTCTGCTTGGGGTCTTAGTTTAAGGTTAGAAATAAATAATAGTTTTAAAAGCTTGTGTTGTTTTGAATTATAAACTAAGCACAGTTCTGCATTGAGTTTCCGCTTCACCAGTAAGCCTTCATGCTTATAATCTTTTAAAACAAAGCCACCCCATCCAAGAACTGTTTACATTCGGAACCAGCACAATGCTGGGACCACAGAAACCGTCTGATGGAGTCACAGCCCATGGCCCGTCAACGCAATACGCACTGAATCACTGGCTTTTACCTGCTGCCAGGTGCCGTGTATCGCTGGCACATCCAGCGATTAGATAAGCTTTCCGAAGTTGGTGGTTTGACTAAAAACAGAAAGGCTAACTGTTGACTTACCTTAATGCGATCGTCGCCCATCATCAAGGCGCTCAGGTCCTCGTCCACCGGATCATAGAGAGCCTCACTGGCCAGGCGGAGCTCGCGCAGCTTCATCTGTTCGGCTTCGTTCAGTTCTCGATCCATTAGATGGCTAGATGGGGCGCAGATAGGTTGCTGCAGAGTTGGCTGCTGACTTCTGCTTCCCGTGGGGTTGCAGCCACCATAAGAAGTCTGATGGCCTCCGCTTAGGTGTGACATCCCATCCTTGACCCGGGATGATGCATGCGGGATGCTATTGAAGGCCTGGTACTCGATGCGGATAACTTCCGAGAGCACAGACTCGATCGAGTTAATGCTGAATTCGCTGTCCACGCTGGGCTCATCGTTGTAATTGGTCTGCATAAACGTTTTCAGATCAAAGTCCGGAAAGTTTGCGATGTAAGGCAAGGGGTGGCTGCTGCTCGAAGTGCTGGGCTGCTCTTCAGATCCGGGCGAGGGGTATTGCAGGTCCACAGCGGCGGACGAATCTTGCGGCGATATCGGGGGAGTACTGCCCAGCATGCTCTGGATCACAGTGTCCACGCGCTCTGCCGGAGGATCAGCTTTAGCCGTCGGCTCCTTTTCTAGCAATGGCTTTCGGTCCGAGGTCTGTTGAGCTACATTGGCTCCACCTCCGCTCAGGATACGGTTAAGGATTCGCAAGGCCTCCGCCGGCGTGTTCATGAACTTGTTCATTATGTCAATGGCATCTTCTGGCGAGTGCATCAGGTTTTGCATGAACTCCACCACGTCTGCCGGCGAGTCGACAATCTTTGATATGATCTCCACTCCATCCGTGGGCGAGCTCATGAATTTTGTAAATACTGTGAGCGCATTGAAGGGCGAGTTCATGAATTTGCTGATGATTTTGAGCGCGTCGCCTGAAAAATGGAAGTTATCAGCAGGTCATAGAAGCTCCTGGTTCTCTAGCACCTACCTGGGTAATCAATCAAATGCGACACCAGCTTCAGGGCGTCCTTTTGTGAGCTTATCACCTTTTCCATCACGGAAATAGCCTCCTTTTGTGTGCGCATCAGCCGGTTAATGGCCTGCGACGCCCGGTCCGGATCCGAGACGATCTGCTCAACAATCTTCTCGGCCGTCATCTCCATTGGATTGATCTGGGCACCTGCTGGGCTGCCATTTGCAGTCCCACAGCCATTGGCGCCGCTATCCACTGACCCGCAACTCTGAGAGTCCTGAGAGCCAGAGTAGAGCTCTAAGTTACTGCTGCTGCTGTCCGCTTGGGCCTTGTTGTCCCCGCTAGTTGGTTCGCCGTCGCCCTCGCCAGTGTCCACGGCTCCGTTCTCCATTAGTCGACGCTTGGCCCTGTTTGTTTCAATCTTGCGCCGCTTGATCAGCTTGTCCTCCTCCGACATAATGTTCTCGCTTTTCATGCCAATGTCAAGGCACTTGCGCAGGCGACATTTTTGGCAGAAACGGCGGGTGACCACCGTGATGTCGCAGTTCTGGTTGAACGGGCAGGTGAACTGTTTCTTGGCCAGGGCATTGCGGCGAAAGAATGCTTTGCAGCTCTCGCAGGTGACGGCGTTGAAGTTGTACCCCAACGCCTTGTCCCCGCACACCGCACAGTTCTTCGGCGGCGACATTTCGATAGAGACCTGGCCAGTGCTAGTCGGTCGGTCAGGCAGCGCAGCTTTCAATTAGGCCTCTGATTGATTTTTTAATTGGTTCCAGTGGAGGTGGAGCTGCTGTTGCTGGCGGAGCACTGGGTGGGTGGCGGTTTATTTGTAGTGGTGTGGCGTGTGTTGGGGGGCAGGAACTCCTCAAATCAAAACAACTCTAGCATCCAGCTACAGCATTTTACTATTTCTAGCGATACCCACGATACGGCGCTCGGATTTCACATAGTTTTCGTGGCCCTCAGCACGCAGAATTCGGCAGGTCGCGTTATCACCACATATTTTAATGAATTAATGTCCGTCCGTCAGGTCTCCAGCTCGAATCCAATAACAACAAGCAGCGGTCCCGGGTGAATGGCAAATAGCGCCGATATGAGTCCGACTATCGAATAAACAATCGCAGTTCTCAGCTGGACATTTTCCACTTGCTAAAAATTAAATTAGAGAATTTATCAATTAAAATGAACCGAGTGAGGACTACGCAGGCCAAGACGGGCGAGATCGTCGCCTACAGCGAGGGTGCTATTCGCAACAACATATCCGCCGTGGAGTACTGCCGCACCTCGATGGCCGCCATCTCCGGCTGTGCTGCGGGTAATTTGGAGCAATTGTCAATTTGTGTCACAATTACAACTTTTTCCATGTCTTTTAGGGATCCTCGGCCTAAGCGGAACCCTGGGATTTCTGTTCTACTTTCTGTCGGTCTTTGTTCTGTGGATTCTGGTTCTCCTGAAGTCCGGCACCCAGTGGCGCAAATTCTTCATCAACCGCCGGAATCTGCTGACCAACCAGTTCATGGGTGGCCTTTGCACCTACGTGCTCTTCTGGACATTCTTGTACGGCATGGTTCACGTGTATTAAGAGTATTTTTTTTCGTACATTTAACTACAAAACATAGCAGAATAAACATAGGTTTGGACTAGGAAATGCAAGTTCGTTGGTTTCAACCTCTTCTCAGGTCTGTACGGCCGAGGCAGCCGCAGCTGTTCCAGAGCAGTCGCACCACGGCGTTTTATTTAGATCACATTCGAGCAATATGTTAAGTATGGTTACATCCACCTCGTCGATGGTCAATTCGTGGACCTTCAGAACCTTGTATTGGACATTGTTTAGGCCCGTCTTGTGGTCCCTCTTGCGAGTCATCTCCTTCTGATTGAAGCACTTTTGTGTGTCGCGCTTTCGATGATGGCGATTATGGATATGGCTGAAGAAGAGATTTGCTTAATTAGAGGGTTGAACCCTGAATTATTTTTAATAATTCTTACCTAAACGTATTGTTTGTGCCAGTCTTTATGTTCTCCGGTCGAGTGACTCTCAACCCTGCATCCCGGATGCGGACAAAGAACTCATCGTCCTCTAGTCCCCAGCCCCAGTATTGATTGGACATGCCGTTCATCTTCTGAAACTGCTCCCGGCGCACCAAGAGTATACCCCCCACAAAGTTCTCATAGTGGTACTTTGGATGCAGCTTGGGGCCGGCAATGTGCAACGGTCCCAGATCACTAGGATACTCGTATCGCAGATCGTCATTCATCGGCAAAAGATCCACGTCGTGCATGGCAATGTAGTCATAGACATTACTGGTAAACTGGAAGCCCACGTTGATAAGGGAGGCGCGGTTGAATCGGTATCGATCCACCTGGTTCAAAACAAATATGTGGTGCGCCACATTCTGACGTTTGAGGAACTTTGTTATGTGGGGCACGAACTGCAGAAGTTCCTCGAATCTATCGCGGAACGGTACCAGTAAGGCCATTTTGTGATCTCCGTGCGATTTTGGGACATTTTCCTGCTTTGCCGCCTGTTGCGTATCTCTAGAAGTATCTGGTGCAGCGCCTCCACTGCCTGCTGGCCTCGTCGAGGGATTGGAGAGCGGGCATATGCAATCTATAAAAAGCGTGGTGTCAGCCAGTATTTATAGCAGGTGCCCCCATATTTTAAGCGGATACGTACCTGATCCCAGTGGCATGAAACTGAGAACCGCGATTCCGCCCAGGCAGAACGTCAGTCCGCAGACGAAGAGCCAGTTGACGGTGGAGATGGTCACCATTTGGTGTGCTAATAATCCAGAGCAATCAGTCAAAACGCCGGTGTCAGGTCATGAGCGGAAAATAACAATATTTTGTCAGCTGGGGACACTAGGGATGGGAAAAACGGGAATTACGATGTAGCGAGGGCGCCACCTATGGGTCACAACTAAAAAAATTAAAGGTATTGGTGTTTCCAAGTAGCGCCAAAAACTTCGATCTTTGAATAATATGTTCTTTAAACCAAAATCCTAGTGTATATATGTATATATCCTAGCTTCCTTGTTAGCACAAAAAAGTTATTAAATAACTACAAAGAATTCTTAGAATTCTTTTGATGCAAAAAATTGACAATTTATCCAAAAAAAAACGTTTTTCGTAGATTTTGATGCAGACCAACCAGAAAATTTGACAAAAAATCTAAAAAATATTTTATTCCTAAATTTTAATGCAGATTAGTGGAGAATGTATCCACAAATCGATTAAGGTATTCAGCTTAAGAATCGGTTGTCTATTGACAAAGATATGGCCGTCACAAGAGTCCATATTGTGGCTCCATGCATTTTCGCAATTTTTGATGGGGACCCTCCAGAAAATTTGACAAAAAATCTAAAAAATATTTTATTCCTAAATTTTGATGCAGATTGGTGGATAATGTATCCACAAATCGATTAAGGTATTCCGCTTAAGAATCGGTTGTCTATGGGCAAAGATATTGTAGCCTATTTTTATACCCTTGCAGAGGGTATTATAATTTTGTCCAAAAGTGTGCAACGCAGTGAAGGAGACATCTCCGACCCTATAAAGTATATATATTCTTGATCAGGATCACCTCCTGAGTTGATATGAGCATGTCCGTCTGTCCGTCTGTCCGTCTGTCTGTCTGTCCGTCTGTCTGTTTCTACGCGAACTAGTCTCTCAGTTTTAAAGCTATCGTCTTGAAACTTTGCACACACCCTTCTTTCCTTTGCACGCAGTATATAAGTCGGAACGGCCCGGATCGGCCGACTATATCCTATAGCTGCCATATAACTGATTGATCGGAAATGGTATAACTTTGGTGTTTTTAGAGTTAGAGAGTTCAAATTTGACATGAGAGCTATTTTTGGCAAAACATAACGTCATGCCAAATTTCATAAGGATCGGCCGACTATATCCTATAGCTGCCATATAACTGAACGATCGGAAATGACCCAACTTTCGTGTTTTTGAAGATAGAAAGCTGGAATTTAATACAGATTCTATTTTTGGTCAGTTGATCCAACCCATCAAATTTCATTAGGATCGGCCGACTATATCCCATAGCTGCCATATAACTGAACGATCGGAAATGGTATTTGGTAGAAATATCAACTTTCGTATTTTTGAAGATAGAAGTTTGGGACTTTTTTTAGATTTTGTATCGTAATAAATTGGATTATATATTCCTATTTCCATAAGGATCGGCCAACTATATCCGATGTTTGCGATATATATCCGGTTTTAACTGCAAGGGTATATAAACTTCGGCTCCGCCCGAAGTTAGCTTTCCTTTCTTGTTGTAAAAGCATTAATGTAATAAAACTAAATTTTACATTTCAATAAAAAGCGTTATATTTATTTATTAGATTACAAAGAATAGCTTGCATATAAATTATGATAAGGTATGGAAACACAAGAGCTGTTCTTAAAAGACATATCAAATAAATAAGATCTAAATTAAAATTTATTTATTTATTTTTAAAATTAAATACTTAGGGCTACAACTATATTTAGAGATTATATAAATCTAATTGATGTTCGTACTCGATGGGCGTGGTTCGAAACGCCCTCCGATTACAGCGTATCGCTAAGGCTCAAGTGACTGAAAAGCCAGGTGATCACAAGTCCCAATAAAATTAATCCACAGCGCGGCAGCTGAGGTTTAAAAAAAATAGTTTACAAAGTTAACTGTCTCTCCTGTCCTTCGATCTTCCTTCGATCCATCCGATTTTCAGTCAGTCGAGCAGTAGCGATAGCCGACAGTGTGTTTTCGGTTCCGTATTTAGTTTCCGTTTCAGTTGATCTAAAAATTCTATGTAGACTACGGTTGTGGCCACCCCAGGTGCACCCGGATGCAATACACCTGTTGGAGTGATATTGCAGCGGGTCAGTGGGGGGCGAAGTACAAATTCAATGCGTTAAAACTATGCAATTTGTGTGGTTCGTTTGTAAAATTGCTATAAAAACTAGTTCGTTCGTTTCTCCCATCTACACGTATTGTATATAAAAGTACAAAAAGCTTGGAATAGTTTATAGAAGATACAGTTTCTCAACTCAACTCAATTCGATTCGATTCGATGCGATCCGATCCGGTTCGATCTGATGTGATCGGTACCGGGATCGGGATCGGTTGTGCGCGTGTTACAGGCAGATTCCGTTGCTCTTGCAACAAATGAAGACTAGAAGCAACAATTATACACAAAAATAATAATGTTTAAAAAATAAGGTGACTAAAATACTACAAAAGCGCATTTGGAGAAGAGTGGGCCGCCGGATCGTGGATCGAAGAGATAGAAACCGTTCCGGCGGCCGAATGCCGTGGCTTCGTAACGCCATTGATTGCGATCCGTATCCGGTATTGCTTCGCTATATTTTGATGTTTTGAATATTTGTTTTTAGGGTTGAGAGTCTCCTGAAAGCGATTGTATGGCGGCGGCGGTCACAATGAACGACCTTACAAGGCACGCGCTACGTCGGCTGCTGTTTGTGTTTCTGGATGGCGGCCAGGTGTCCAAATGTTTCTAGGGACACTAGGCCCAATACATACAAATAAGTAATCGTTTTAAGTGAGCGCGTCTAAATTAATTGCACCTATACTATGTATACAGTACAATATCACTGGTTGCTTCGTCACCGTAACCTAATCCGAAACAAATGGGGGGCGTAATCCAATTGAAAGAGTGTGAATGTCCTTGGTAAATCTTGAAAAATTTTTCACGTCACTATTGCATTTGGCACCTATTCTTGCTGGCTATTCCTGGATGGTGGTCTGGATTTGTATCTGATTTGTGGTTCCTGGTGATTCTATTCCTATTGCTTTTCCTAGTTCTTGAATGGTGCAATCTGGGGTTGGTTGGTTTGGTTCGTCGGTTCGTGATTGTTGTCTGCAGTGCTTAAGAATTAGTTAAATTATATTTAGTGAGCATGGCTGGTGGTTCATCTCTTGCGTCCCGACGCCACGGCGGCCATAACCTGTTGCATGGTGGGTTCGGGTACGCACTGCTGGGGATCGCACTTCATCTTGCCGTCGCCTCCGCAACTAGAATATGCAAAATTTATTAAATTGAGGAACTGGACCTCTTTTCTGCTAAGGGATACTCACGTGCAACTGATGCAGGGACCGCTGGTGGACTCAATGGGCTCGCCTACCCTGTAGGAGCGACCGTTGATCAGACAGCCAGTGTGCTTCACCGACTCGCCGTGCGAGTAGTGCAGGAAGTGGGGCGGCAGGGTAGTGCTTGTTGTGGTGGTGCTCGTGGTGATGTTGAGCACAGCGGCCATCGACACCGGGCACTCGTAGCGCGGGCAACAGAAGCCGGAGATGGGCTCCTCGTGGCAGCCGGCGATTGGTGGCGGGCACGATTGCTGCAAGCAGATAATGTCGCTTCGGAAGCAGAAGCAGAAGTCGCAAGGATCGTCGCGTGGAATCTGCTGGGCGGACACGTACAGTTTGCCGGCATAGCGGCAAGTACCGGGTCCAAACACTTCCTCCTCGTCGTACTCATCCTCGTACTCGGGAGCGTGGCCGTATGGAGGTGGTGTGATTGGTTCATGCTGTTGGCTGGCCACTGTCGTTGAGGTCGTTGGAGCAGTGATTGCGGCCTCCGTGGTAGAAGTGGTAGTGCTTGTGCTGCTGCTGGAGCTGCTGAGGGTGCTGCTCTCCTCATCCTCCTCGCCCACGCGGTCATCGATCGCTGGCGCCTTGGTGCTGCTGCTGGGCAGGTGGGCGAACAGTGGGTGCACTGTGGTTGGGCTCTGCTCATCAGACGTCTCTTCCTGGGGAGCTGGAGCGGCCGTAGTCTGAGGAATCTCTGATACCACAGCTGGCACTTCAATCTCCTCTTCCGCTGGTTTCTTGTCTGCGTCCTCTTCAGTCTCCTTGCTCTCGTCCTCCTTTTCAGCAGCCTCCGTAACAGGAGCATGCTCCTCCTCGGATTCGACCGACTCCTCGCCCTCCTCGGTGGAGTCCAAGCTGGGTTTCACAACTGGCTCTGGAGTAGTCTTTTCGTCAACCTTTTCAGGCTCCTTGGTGGTCTTCTCTGGTTCCTCACTGGCCTTTTCTGGTTGCTCAGTGGCCTTCTCTGGTTCCTCACTGGCCTTTTCTGGTTCTTCACTGGCCTTTTCTGGCTGCTCAGTGGCCTTCTCTGGCTCTTCAGTGGCCTTCTCTGGCTCCTCACTAGCCTTCTCAGGCTCCTCACTAGCCTTCTCTGGTTCCTCACTAGTCTTCTCTGGCAGATCCTTCTCCAGCTCGGGAGCGGCTGTTTCTGCGACAATTTCGGCCTCTGTGACTGCAGACTCCGATGGAGCATCAGTAGCAGGAGCAGAAGTGGGTGGCTTCAATTTAGCGTCAGCCGGAGACTCATCGGTCGTATCATCAGCATCATCGATAGGTGATTCTGTGCCCTCTTCGCCCACATCCTCGGATGTGGAAGGCTTCTCGCTGCTTGGCTCCACAGAGGGAACAACAGGACCAATGGTAGCAGGGATCTTATCAGCATCTTCGGGTGTTTCAGTGGCTGGGATCTTTTCATCATCCTGAGGAACTGCGGTAGCCGGAGTCTTCTCGTCCTCCTGGGGCGCAGCAGTGACTGGAGCTTTGTCAGCGTCTTGAGGTGCCACTGAAATGGGAGTCTTCTCAGCATCCTGAGGAGCCACAGTGACTGGAATCTGATCAGCTTCCTCGGTTGAAGCAGCTTCATCATCAATGGCATCATGAGGAGCCACAGTCTGGGACATAACTTCATCCATGGGCTTAGTTTCGATCTCCACAGCAGAAGGAACTTCCACCGGAGCAGGAGTAGTCTCAGCATCAGATACAGCAGAAGCGGGAGTGGTTGGAGCAACTGGAACTTCGGTTTTGTCCTGTGCCTCCTCCTGGAAAACTGGGACTTCGGTGGCCACATCAATGGTTGTCTTCGAATCATCTTGAGCAGCAGGGATCTCCACCTTCTCATCAGAGACGGGAGATACAGTGATGGTCTCGTCTTGTTCAGAAGTGGGCTTGGCTGGACTGGGCAAAGTGGTGGCATCAATTTTCTCCTCAGCGGCTGTGCTGGACTCTTCCTTGACTGGGGCAGAAGTGGATGCCTCCTCAGAAGACTCATCAATAGGTGCCTCGTCCGACTCTTCAGTACTGGGCTTGGTTCCGGACTCGATATCTCCTTCGCCCAATGAGGGCTCCTTTTCAGTTGGCTTGGGTGCCTCAGCAGGCTTCTCGCCTTCTTGGCTAGGAGCAGCTGTGGTGGCACCTTCCTCTTTTTCGATATCTTCGCCGGCAACTGGGGCCCCTGTTGAAGGTACCACATCCTCTGAAAGCTCGGGAACTTGAGTGACAGCAATAGGCTTCTCCTCAAGCAACTCATCTTCGGGTTTCTTGTCTTCGGTGGTGGGAATCTTATCAGTAGATGGCTCTTCGCCAGCCAGTTTTTTGGTGTCGTCCTCAGCAGCTTGTGGAAGAACAGTGGTGGCATCTTCAGTTTCTTCGCTAGAAGTAGCGGGAGTCTTCTCGTCGGTTGGCGCGGACTCGTCCTCACTGGAGGCAATGGCAGGAGCCACAGAAGTTGCCTTGTCAGATTCCTCAGCTGGAAGCTCAGTGGACACATCCGGAATCTTCTCAACTGGGGCCTGGGCGGTAGATGAGGGCAGCTTCTCTTCTGGCTGCTCATCGGATTCAGTCGAGTCCACAATTTCATCGGAAGATTCGGTAGATCCTTCCTCGGGAGTCTCGGTAGAAGCAGCCTGGCTTTCAATCTTATCCTCTGTAGTGGGAATCTTTGCAGGGGCCTCGGTCGATGTGGTATCTTCGGTGGGCTTCTCTTCTTCAGAAGGTTGCTCTTCCTTAGTTGGCTTCTCGGCCTCTGTTGGTTTCTCATCCTTTTCAGAAACAGGAGTAACTGTGGTGGCTTCCTCATCGACCTCAGATGTAGGAACTGCAGGAACAATAGGTTCCTTCTTGGGCTGGGTTGGAGTAGCGGTCGTCTCAACTTCCTCTTCAATTCCAGTCTCAGTAGATGTGGATGGAATCTCTGCCAGCACATCCTCAGGTAGCTTAGGAAGGCTAGAATCGCCCTCCACAGCAGCAGCAGGAGTCTCAGTAGTGGCAGCAACAGTGTCTTCCTCCTTCTCTGGGGTACGGGCAGGAGGTTTAGGCTTGGTTTCGGCCTCCTGTGATGGTGTCTCCTCCGTCGATTCCTTGTCTTCTTCTTCGGAAACGGCAGGAATGCTAGTAGACGATGTAACTTCCTTCTCTACTTCCTCTACTGGCTTGACGACAGGAGCAGAAGTGGAAGATTCATCCTCAACAGGAACGATGCTGCTTGAAGGAATCTTTTCTTCAACAGGGGCAACGGTTGTAGCCTCAGACTCAGGGGTTTCCTTGTGTTCGTCTGATACAGGAGCTCCAGTGGATGGCTCAGCAGATTCATCCTTAGAAGGAGTAGGAGTGGTAGCACTGTCAGATTCAGGTTCAATTTCGCTTTCAGCAGAAGGAGATATAGAGGTCTCGTCTTGGTCTGGTTTCTGTTCGGCGTCGACCTTCGAAGGAGCAGCCGTTGTAGCGGGCAGTTCCTCTTCGAAGATATCCTGGGGCAACTTGGGCAGATCGCCAGAGGCAGGAGCATCGGTAGCAGTCTCCCCTTCGGAAGAAGGCTGTGCCTTTTCGGTGCTTGGAGTCTTGTCTTCTTCAGCATCAGTGGAGCCAGGAGCAAGAGCAGGAACTGGAGCTGCAGTGGCCTCCTCCTCTTCGACCTCATTGTCGGACACTGAAGGAGTGGCTGTCTCCTCAGAGGTCTCCTTTTCTCCTTCAGTGCTTGGTTCAGTGGCAGATTCTTCCTTGGTTGGCTTCTCTTCGATTTCGGCTTCAGTAGAAGACTCTTCGACGGGTTTCTTCTCGGGCTCAGTGGGAGCAAGAGTGGGCAGTGGAACGATAGGTCTCGAGGTGCTAGCATCTTCAGTCTGGGTAGGCACTGATGTGGCTGGCACGATGTCTTCATCATCAGCTGGTTCCTTCTCATCAGATACCTCCGACGGGGCAACGGTGGTAAATTTGTCCAAGTCTTCAGTTTCTTCTCCAGCGGGAACACCTGTGGGAGATTCGATTTTGGGAGTCTGGGTGGCTGTGGAAGGCTCCTCTGCTTCTGGTTTCTTGTCCACATCAGCAGTTGGCAATTCGGTCGAGGACTCTGAAGTTTCCTTTTCGGGAGCAGCAGTGCTGGCGGAAACTTCATCTTCGGGAGCAGGTTTCTCGCCCTCGGCAGGCTTCTCTTCATCAACAGGCTCCTCAGCTGGTTTCTTTTCTCCTTCAATAGAAACAGGAGTGGTTGGTTCTTCCGCTTCAGTTTCCTTCTCAGCAGGTGTGGAGGCTTCCTCTTCAGTAGGCTTCTTGGTTGGCTGCTCAGTGGGCGCCACAAAGTCCTCTTCTGGAGTCTTTTCGTCCACGGGCTTGTGTTCCTTGTCAATGGGCTTCTCAGCTTCTTCCTCGACTTCAGGAGCCGGAGTGACTGCAGAGGAAGGCTTTTCCTTCTCTTGCTCCTTCTCCTCCTCTGGTTTCTTCTCCTCATCGGCTTCTTCTGGTTTTTTATCAGCGGTGGTCGGCGTAGATTCTTCCAATTGAGGCGATACAGTAGGCTGGCTCTCTTCCTCGTGCTTAACGTGGGACAGGGGTTGCTCCGTAATGCCAGTGGGCATGATAACATCCTTGGGAATTTCCTCGGTGCTGATCTCGGAGACGTCTTCGTCGATCTTGTCGTCTGGCTTGGCAGTGGAATCCTGTTCCTTTTCAGGAATTTCGGCACTTTCATCGCAAATGTATGTAGGACAGCAGCCGTCCAGAAGATCGGTAGCCAGGACACACTTCTCGCGGTTTTCGGGAAGCTTGCACTCCATCTGCTGGCAGGAGACAATGCTGCTGACACATCTGCAGGAGACGTCGCACGGAGTTGTGGCAGGCACGATGCTGTTGTTGGTATAGGTCTTGCCTTCCACCAGGCAGTCGCCTTCTCCGGGAATAGCTGCGGGTAGGTCCATGGCGGGCATAGCCTCGGCGGCAGGGCTCTGATCCTCGGAGCTGGGAAGCTCAGTAGTCTTCTCACCCTCAATATCATCGCGACTGACAATAGCGGGAGTGCTGGAAGGAGCATCGTGGACGGCTGGCGTAGTTTCGGTTGACTTGGCTGGCTCCTGCTCCTGGGCAGTGGCCTCAGTGGATGCTTCTTCGCTTTCGGTAGAGTCCTTATCGCCGGCAGGAGGCAGATAGACAGATGGAGGCTTGTCGGTCGAAACTTCCTCTTCAGTCTCCACGCTCTCTTCTGGTTCGTCGGTAGAGATTTCGTCAGGAATGGCATCGGTCTTGACAGGCACTGATTCGGTGCTAGTCGCCTCATCCTCCTTGTCCTTTTGATCCTTATCGGAGGGTTCACCGGCAGGTTGTTCCTGTTTGTCGACTGGCGCACTCGTAGTTGCCTCAATCTCGGCGTCCTCGGCTTCAGTGGATGACTCCTCTTCAGTCTTTTCGGTGCTTGGAGCCTTGGTTGTGCTGGGGCTCTTGATCTCTTTCTCGGTAGGCAGACCGGTGGCACTCTCGACTTCACCTTCGGGCTTCTCATCGCTCTCGAGAGTGGAGGCAGTGCTAGCCTCTTCCTCTTGACCTCCAATTCGGGCCGGAGCACTGGTCGAAGTTGCAATCGAAGCATCCTGGACACCTTCCGTGGAGGATGCGATTCCTGGGGCAGCTGTTGAGCTCTCAACATCTTCTTCCTTGGGCAGTTCAGTGGATTCCTCTGCAGGTTGTTCTCCCAAGGACTCTGGAGTGGTGACCTTAACGATCTCCTCTTCGGCGCTGACATCTTCAGATGGTGGGATAACATCCTTCTCATCGGCAGGAGTCTTGTCGGTTTCAGCTTCGACTCCATCGGCTGGAGCGGCGGTGGAGGCTTCTTCTTCCTTCTCACCTTCGCCTGAGGCTTCAGGAGCAGGGCTAGTTTCCTTGGCAGGTTCCTTCTCTCCCGCTTCGCTGCTGACTTCTCCGCTGGGTGTAGTTGCCTTGACAATCTCCTCCTCGCCTTCTCCGCTAGCTTCCTCCGGGGACTCTGTAGGCTTGACGGCTTCACTATCATCGCTTGCAGGTGGAATGGCAGTTGGCTTGGCGGAGTCCTCATCTTCCTTTTCTTCTTCGGGCGCCGGAGTAGGCTTAGCCTCATCCTCTTCCTCCTTTTCGGGAGCTGGAGTAGCCTTGGCACCTTCTTCCTTTTCGTCACCAGTTGGTGGAGCAGAGGTGGAGGATGCCTCTTCCTTCTCCTTCTCACCGCTTCCCTCGAGCGCAGATGTGGGCTTGGGTTCCTCTTCCTTTTCATCAATTCCAGCTGGAGTGGAAGTGGGCTTGGCCAGCTCATCTTCCTGGCTTTCCTCTGGAGCTGGAGTGGCCTTATCTCCTTCCTCCTGCTCGCCGCTTCCTTCTTCGGCAGAAGTGGGCTTCTCAGAAGAGGGTTCCTTTTCTTCTTCGGCAGACTCGCCGGCTGGGGTAGGCTTGGCATCTTCTTCCTCCTTTTCTTCAGTAGTTGGTTCGGTAGCCGCTTCCTCGGCAGGACTGGCCTTGGCAGGAGCGGAAGTGCTGACCTTGATGAGTTCGTCCTCAGTAATTTCCTTCTCAAGAACGTGGTCAGGCTTAGACGTCTCCTCCTCTCCGCTGCCTTCGTGCTCTGGCGTGGTGACGATCTTGGCAACATCCTCCTCGGCAGATTCAGTGGAGGATTCCTTAGTTTCTTCCGTCGAAGATGGCACATCGATTCTGGAGTCCGAAGCAATTCCTGCGGTAGAGGATTCTGGCTCGAACGAGAAGTCCTTCTCGTCGGCAGGGCGAACTGGGGCAGCTGTGGTGACTGGTAGGGACTCCTTCTCCTCCTCCTCATCTTCAACTTCCCCGCTGCCTTCCGCGGAAGGAATTTCGGTGGCACTCTCCTTCTCCTTGTCCTGATCCTTCTCCTCATCATCGATGTGCTCCTGCAGATCCACATCTTCCTTAGGAATCTCAGCATGAATACCCTTAGCCGGTATAGCAGTAACGGCCTCCTCCGTGGTGATCTCCACGATTTCGGTGGTGGCACTATCGTCTTCGCAGATGTAGTTGCTCGGGCAGCACTCACCCTCCGCTGCCGGCATGGCGCGACAGGACTTGCCATTGGCCGCCATCATGGGCACCTCACACTCCTGCACGGCGCACACGATGTCTCCACGCATGCAGTAGCAGTGCTCGCAGGCATTCTTGCCCTTGATGGAGGCTCCATCAGCATATACGTCACCGTCGTGGATACAGTCGGTGGTAGTGGGCGGTGTCATGGTGCTGGCTAGGATGAAGCCAGTTGTAGGACGCACAGTGGTAGTGGTGGTTGTGGTAGATTGGTCCACAAAGTCCAGTTCGTTTTCGTGGTCTGCAAAAGTACATTTAAGGTGTTAGTTTTAAAGGATACAATAAGTTTCAAGATGCAGCTCCCGAGGGGGATACTTACCACAACTGTAACGCACGGGGCAGCAGGATCCTTTGTTGTAAATGGGCAGGCAGCCGTCCACGTGTAGGGTGCACTCCTGCATGACGCACTTGGTCTGGTTGTTGATGCAATAGCACAGCTCACAGGGTTTGTTGGGATTCGATGGCACTTGAGCACCCTCGGGATAGAACTTCTCTTCGATGCTGCAACCGAACTTCTCGGGAATGCTAAGCTCGGTTCCAGGCTCCGGCGAGTGGTAGGGAACATCCACGGGCACTACAAAATGTAATCAAAAGTAAGTACTTTGTGAGGACTGGAGGAGACCCTGCGACTGTTTACCTTCTGGGCAGGTGATGATGGGGCAGCACTGGTCCTCCCGCTTCTCCACGATGCAGTCGTGGCCAATTGGCTTGGTGAAGGGGCAGACGCGCAGGTAGCACATCAGCATGCGGTTGTGGCAGGTGCAGTTCAGACACGGCTCATTGGTCATGATGCGGTCGCCCTCCTGGTAGTGAGCGTAGTTGTAGTAGCAGCCCTCTGCAAAGGGAACGAGAATACTCAGAATGGGATTTGGAATCTGGGCCGATTCCCCGGCATGGGAATTCCCCACAACAATGCCCTTAGGCCGGGCCTGGCTAATAAATTCCAGGCATTAGACATGCAAGCAGGGCATTCATATAAACCATATAGAAGTTAGCCCCGCCCGATGTGTGCTACTGTGTAGTTTTGGCCATAAATCGGGCTTAGCGCCGGCGGCTGTCATAATACGTGTGTGCAGGCTATAGACAAATTTTATTGCTCATCAGTGTCGTTAAACAAAAGTCAAGTGCCACTGTCGTCTTGCCTTAAAATATGCACAAGTTGCTGTTCGGAGTTGTTTCTTTTTTTGTTGTGCGGCTATATCCGTCACGGCTGACTGGCTGCCTAATTTAGTGACGTCCCACCCGCAATAAATTTCACATCACATTATTAACACGTTAAGCCCGGCAGTTTACCCATTCCCCGTCTCTGTGTCTCTGGCTAGACCATTTTTTGATTGAAATCTCTGGGTTTGGGCCAGACTTTGGGTTTGAGCCGGGGTTTCAGTGCCTGGGCTCGAACGAGCTCACGTTTTGTAGCTTGGCTCGTAAAAAGGCAGCGTTTATTTCATTCATTCATGTTTTCGTTTGTCTTCGCACATTTGTCTGTTCACACCTGGCCTAATGTCTTTTTATGACGGCGATTGGCTCGATAATTGGCAGCTGATTAGCGGCTTATGACACCTGATACAGGTGGAGAAAAATAAATAAGATTTACCAATTACTACCCTAGCTCTAACAAGCATTAAGGAATTCTTGGGCAGATTCTGATTTCAGAATGAAATAATTATGCTAGAAGTAGCAAGCCAATCAACCGTTTAAGATCGGAATGGATCACTTCATTAATGGCTTTCAATTATTTTAGTGGCCTAACAAAATAGGAGCTTAGTTTTATGGGACAGCTGCGTGGAGCATCGCTTCCTGCTGGCTGGGCAAATATTAAAATCTCAGCATGCCATTAATCGTCCAGTTCCGCATCGCCGGTGCAATGTTGTGCGAAAATGTAATCATCATAAAAATGGATCTGAATGTACTATGGCTACTATTGGGCAATCACCGATGGCCGCCAGTTAATCAGATCCCATGCTACTCCGGTACTTACCCGAATACTGTTGGATCTCCGTGTACTCCTGCAACGGTGCTGCAATGGGAAGAACGGGAGAAGGAATCTTTATTATTTAATGAAATACCATACTTGCAGTTCGCCCCATTACGGCGGGAATTTTACGATGGCCATATCCGTTAGCCATCGCCATCGCCATGACCATAATAAATTAATTTATCTATTGCCGCGAATGCCGAACTCTAATTGTGCCTGCATGCAATTGAAATTGGCCCAGGCCGGAGCCTACGTAGGTACGTAGTCTCCTTCTCCTTCTCAAGCCTCCCATTCCCCTTGATAGCCTGATAACAGGGTCCAAGAGCAACATCAGCAGCAACACCAAATTGCAACATCAGCAACGGAGTAGGCTCAGAAGCAGCAGCAACAGCTCTGTGGCTCTGTGTGCGTGCAACGTGTTATTACCACATAATCAAAATGCAGCCAGAAAGCCAGAAAGCTGCTGCAACATCGCAAGAAGAACAGCAGCACTAAATCCAGGAAAAATGGCACGTAGCCGCAGTTCTGGGGTTCTGGTTCTGCGTGTGGGACACGCTACTCTCCCTCGTCTACTCTCCTCCGCAGGTCCCTCCCGATGAAATGGCTCAAACAAATTGTTTAAGCTGACAGTTGGCCAGGAAGGCCAGTTTCTTGGCGGCCACTTGTTGCTGCTCGCCGGCCACAAATGATTTGACAAATTGCTGCTTTATGAATTGCTTCTGCTGGCAGGCTGAGCTTTGATTAATTGCGTCTAGTTGAAGGGTTGACAATTTTGCACATATCTCACGTTTTAATATCCGCATACCTTCCGGGGGGGCCACCCAATGACTTGGCCATAATATAGCCACGAATAAGGGATCAGGCCTCCACATTTAAATTGTACCACGGGCTCCATACAATTTGGCAACAAATTGCAAGGGAAAACAACAATGAAAATCCTAACGGCAAGTGCTCATAAGCATGAATTTTAGACTCCGGACCGGCCAAGTCAGCAGCCACGAATCCAGAGTAGCAATTTGGATCCCCATTCCCATTCTTATTCCCAAGCAGGAGCAGCCGACTCCCCCTCGCCGTCTTGGCCACAGCCTCTCGGGGCTAACGGATGTAAATTACATTTTATGCGGTAAGAACAACAACACGACCAGAACCTGGCAACGCATAAAAATTCACACATTAACTGTTAAGGATGAAGCGGGCCGCAGGAGGAGGCTCCAGGAGGGGATATCCACTTGAGCCTGGCTGCGAAAGAATTTGGCTGCAGACTTGGCAATGGGAGTCAATCATGTGGCCGGTTCTCGTAACCCAAGACAATCCCTGCCCTGGGAGTACCGACATGGTCTTGGTCTTGGACTGGGTCTGGGTCTGGGGACCGGGGACCGCCTTGTAATGCAAACTTATGCAACAATTTTGCTGGCTGTGTGCAAGTGCAACAACTAAAACAAGCCGCATACATCATCATCACGATGACGATGACGACAAAGACGGTGACGACGGCGAAGAGGATGATGATGGTACACATCAAACATGGTCGTGTCGGTCCAACAAACAGAAGTCAGTCAGTCAGTTAGTCAGCCAAGTTGCTGCTGCTTGGGCTGTGGCTGTGGCTGTTGCTGTTGCTGCTGCATGTTGCATCTAGCAAACTCGGCTTCGTGTGCTCAAGCAGCTCAAGCGGGCCAGGCCAAAGTTGTTGGCGGCTCGGCTCTCTCGCTCGAGTCGTGCATTTTGTTTATTCTAGGAAAGCGCGCGCGCACCGCCTCCGCCTCCGCCCCTACCCTTGCTACTGCCCCCCGACAACCGACACCACCTGACCATGGCCGTGGCTTTCTGCTTCTTGGCTACAACAAAAAGTTGAATGACCCGTCGCGCATGTGTGCAAAAATGTGTACACAAACCATAAAATACAAGCCACAAGCACTGGCAGCCTCACTTACATAAGTAGGCCTAGGTGGCTGCAGTCGTAGTCGCAGACCCAAAACCCAAACACAAACCCAGACCCAGACCCCGACCCAAAACCCCAAATGGAGACCCAGAGCACCAGGCACGCCTTTTGCTGGTTACGCTTTATTATTTAGTGCTGTAGGTGGACTTGCAACCGCCAGGGGCAGATGTGAAAAACTAGAAGTTTTCCTAAATATTCCCCTTGATACACAATAAAAAAAGGATATTTCGTTAAAAGACATCCTCTTTGGAGTTTATATGGTTTTCCCAAGTGTAAGACCCTTGGGAGCTCCAGCTGCTCTACGCGGAAACTGCAGGCGAGTGAAAATATTTGCCATGCCACAAATATTTCAAAGATTACAAAATAAACACAAATCTTCGCCAGTTTGTTGTCCCCAAATGCGTTGTCGTTGCCTGGCTCCTTTATTTTGTAGCTTCTATTTTTATTTATTTATTTTTTTTTTTACCGCTATTCGCAGCTGCAACATCAGCAACTGGCAACTTGTTGACCACACCCACCTCTGGCCAAGGAGGATGCAATTGCCTTGTTGCAATTTCTCACTCTGACTCTCTGCTGCGTTTATCTACAGCTTCTAATTAGATGCAGCCAAAAAAAAAAAACGAGGAGGAGGAGGAGGATATTGTACGAAAAAAAGGAAACAATGCCCCCTGGGAGAAGAGCAATAAATCGATCTGTAATTGCCAGACTACGACTACTATCCTACAGACGGGGCATGCAAATTTTCAGGGCTCCCAGCCGGGAAACAATTTTCATTTTCCATGGCCTTGATCACATAATTTCCATAATGCCGAGCAGATCAATATGGAGTGAGCGACAAGCTAACAACAGACTCGAGTCCAGAGTCCCTAAGCCAAAGACCAGACTCCAGGCCTCCGTATCATGTCCATGCATCAGTGCTGAAAGCCGCCGCCAGGCAGCAGCAACCACCAACTAGCAACTACCAACATCCCAACCAGCAGCATCAGCAGGAGCAGCATCAGCAGCAACATCTGAGGCAGGCGCCCTAACAATACAACTGCAACTGGTGGCGGAGGAGGCCGCCCAGCAAATGAATTTGCGAGTAATTTAACATGATTATGTCGGCGACAAGGTAGCAATGTAGACATCGAAGCTGCTGTTGCAAGATGCTGATGCTGTTGCCTCGGCTGCTGCTGCTGATGCTGCTGCTGTTGAAACCAAATTGGACGCAGTTGCGCAAAGATGGAGCCTTCTGTTAGGGCGCTACCTTGGCGTGACGCTGTGTTTTATTACCAAACCAGAACCCGTACCAGAACCGCAAAAAGATGGGGGCTCTTCTTCTGGCATCAGGCTAGACCATGATTCCTTCTAAGTAAATTATGCCCGATGGTCATGATGCTGGCCGGGAATGGAGGCTGCCTGCCATGAAATTGCCAGCTAGCTAGTCGAAGCGAAGGCTGTTTCATGAAACAATTACCAAGGCTAGGGCAATACCGAGCCTGTCTATATGTGGACATTGTAATTGCTAGCTCCTCGAGCCTCGATCTCATATGCATATTTATGGCTGCTGCTCCGCTGCTCTGCTGGGATGCTGCGATGCTGCGATGCCGGGATGCCGGTCTGGCAATGTCATTAGAGAGTCAGTGTCTGTTTGTCAGTTTGTCAGGTCGATATGGTGTAGTTCCTTCAGGAACGCCTAGTGTTCCTGGTATACTCCTGCTCCTAGTCCTGACTGCTTAATAGATAATAATGAGTCCCGGCCCGGCCCGGCCTGGCCTTGGGCGCTGTAATTAAGCAGTTAAGGGAGGAGTTCCAACCGGCATTCTTTCCCACAGTTCCCTAGTGTCCTGTCTTTGATTTGTTTTGATGGCTTTTGCATGGCTTTAATGAATGTTGCCCCTCCAAGCCCCCCCGCTGGCAATCAATCTGTCCGTCTGTCAGTTTTTTATTTTCCTCCCAACCGAGAGACTCTCTGGCCAATCACAGACTCTTGCGAGGATCTAGTGCGGGTAAATATATCATAATTTTGTTTGTGCAATTTTATACAAATTCACAAAAGGGGCCAGGAGAGGGGACTACCAGTCGAGATGAGAATTTCTTTCCAATTATTACACCGCTAGCTATTATTGATAACAGCGCATTGATTACAGCAATTGCCGAAATAACAGATTCCGATGCAGATCCAGATACAGATTGCGGATAGAGCTGCGAGCTGGGAACTGGGATCTGGAGCTAAAACTGAGACTGGTGCTGAAGCTCGTCCGGCTGACAGATGATGGATGCTTCTATGGACCGTCCCCGGCAATCAACGGGAAAACAACAAGTTTTCCTTCCGCGCGCATGCGTAACTGTTTATTAATTTGCCCCAAGAAAATACTACCCAAAAATGAAAAAAAGTCTCACGTTTCGTGTCCTGAAACGCGATTCAATTAAGTGGCATTCCGCGCGCTAATTGCTCGCTGACTTGGCCTCTTCTGTTTTAGCCCAGCTGCATCCGATTTGTATCTGCGTATCTGTGTATCTAGTATCTCCTCCCACGCCGGCATGGCATTTAGCTAATGATCGGACACCGGAGATAGTCCGGATAGCTGCAGAAAGCTGCGTGTTCTCTCTCCCAGCCGAAAGCCATAAAACTCAATGGCCCATAGACCGAGCCGAGGCGGCACTCCATCCATTACATCATGTGCAGAAGATTCAGCAAAGCGATAATTATACAAAGTATTAGTTCAAGCGACGAGCGTCTGACTTGGCATGACCCGTCTCTTGGGGATTGGATACTATGTACTGGGTGCTTGGGAGCTGGGAGTTGGGAGCCGGAGCTGGACTGTTTGGATCGGATCGGATCTGTTCTGTCTGTGGTTGCCATGCGTAAAGGTGCCAGCCAGACAGGCAGATGGGAGAGTTGATTGACCGCCTCGGTCCGGGCGTTAGAATAGGTAAAAAGGGAATACCTAGACAAGGGCTAGGGTTACACAATTGAAAGAGAACGCTCCCAGGCACCCAGGCACCCGGACCAAGTCATTGCACCTGTGATAGTGATCTCTCTGCACCGTCTGTCTTTTTCCATCTTGGATCCCCCGGCTCTTTCTTTGCTAATTACCATTTGCGACCCGCGCTACCTTAA